TGTTTAAGTGTGTTTTTGGAACAATAAAAAACTGCCACTACCAAGAAAATTTTTGATTTGACATTCTTAGGAGATCAAATGGGGTGTCGAAAATAAAAGTCTTACTATACAATATAATTTGGAAAATATATTAAAAATTACACAATTTTATGAAATTAATTATAATTGAGGAAATTTCCTTAAAAGACTTATAAATAAGAACCTAAATACCACTCATATTTAAAACTTTTTGGCAAAATAAAAAACTGCCACTACCAAGAGATGGTTGGACAATTTTTGATCTTGAGGCTAAATGAGAATTCGACAAAAAAATTGAGAAAAGTTACTACGGTTTTTGGAATATAAAAGAATGCTATTGCTCTTGGCCTATTGAAATAAAAACACACTTAATAGTTACTCTAAAACTTAATCGTTTAAATGTTAAGTGCCAAATCGTAGGAGAAATGTTTCAGTTTTGAGAAAAATATTTTCTGAAATACTCCATACATAGTATGCTACATTAAAGAAATCTTTAAATTGTTAATTCGTAGTACAAATATGTTTGGTTTTGAGAAATCACATTTATGTTATATACATATATAATAGATGAAATAAAGAAATCATGTTTGGGCATAAATGTTTTCTCATGCAACAAAAGTTTAAGATAAGAAAAGCATAGATTTAGGTTTAAATTATAAAAAGTTTCAGTAAAACTATTTTTAGAGAAGACTTAAATATGTACAATATGTACATATTAATTATAAACATTTTTATTCTTTACAATACTAACATTTTTATTTTTTTCAATACTAATATAAACTCTTTAAAGCTATTTTTTCTATCAACCGATGGATTAGTTAAAGAACTGTGTATGAACGGAGGCACAAAAACACAAACTGATTTCTTTTGTGTATTCTTTGTAGCTCGAAACGCCACAACTCTATTGGGAATGAGCAAATGAAGCTTTGCCACAAGAGGAGGCAGCTCGGCAAGACGGAAGTGGTCGGTTTGAACTGTTGGACATGCTGGGAAGCTGAGGACAGCATTGTCTGCAACAACAGCTGCAAAAACTTTCAACATCAATGAAGGGAACAAACAAATTTTGTATTTTGTGCGAGGCTCGTTTAGATGTTCTCTCGTCCTGCAGGACAGACAATGGCATAAGCAACTGCACCAACAACAACTGCAAGAACAAGCTACTTATGGTTTGTTGCTATGCCAGCTCCTTGCATGTAAGTCGAAACACAGCTTAATGTCCACAGTTATCTTATCTGAGAGTCAGGCAATTTATGAAAAACTTTAAGAGTAAGAATAATGCCCTAGATTATTGCAACTGTAAGCGTTGCAGCAACAAAACAAATGCATTTATGAAGAACTGAAAGAGTAGATCTTCGAAGCTTAAATTAGTTGGAACATTTGATATAGTTGTTGATTTTTTGTTTTATTTATTCTATAATGTGTGCAGATTTGATTCGAAAATATGACTGGAAACTAGAGCAGGTGTTTCGAAAGGGACCAATATTTCTTTTTATTTTTAAGTTGGCAACATTCTAATTATTTGTTTTTGTTTTTGTTTTCAATTTTCTTTTTTTCAATTCAATTTATTCATTTTTCTTAAAGATATCTTAATGTTCAGAGTACAACATTTTCTAGTTTATTGCACAAAATGGAGGGATATAAAAAGTTAAGCTACAATTGACAGTATAATGGGGGAAAATTATACAAAAAAGAAACCCATAAAACTCAAGGACTTAAAACAATTTCCATTTTATTTTGTTCATTCATTTGATATGTGGGCCTGTGCTTTCTGAAGATCTGCTTGTAAGCATCTTGTCTTTTGGATCTTACACTATCTGTTATTAATTAAATTAAAAAGTTAATAATGTTGCAGAAGTCTTCCAATAGTCAGGCTACGCCAAGAACACAAGCTTATGAATGGCAGAAAATATTTCAAAGTGAAAAAGAAAAAGAGATTCAAGCCGAATCGAAAAGGATTATAGAACTGTTTCAAAGATTGGAAAAACGATGGCCTATCTGCATTGGAATTTTGAAAGTTATATTAATATCTGTATATCATACACTTTTATTAATAAGTAGGACACATGTAACAACTTCAAAAATTATAAAATAAAATTTATAATATAAAATAAGAAGAAAATGAAAAAATAATGATGATAGCAATAATAATTAAAGCTAAGATAAATTAAAAAAAAATTAATAATTGTAATCTTCAACGTCAATAAAAAGTAAATGAAATTTGTAATTAAGTACAATTGAATTAAATTTAAAATAAATAAGTAATGTTTAGCGTAATAACTTTAAAGTAATCTGGTTCTCGTTATGCTGCAATAAGGTTTATAAAAAAGTAAATAAATAAATAAATAAAAAAATAAATAAATAAAATAAAAAGTGCGGTTCATATTTGTGCACAAAATTACATCATATGGTAAATGTTTTATAAAATTGTTTCTTGTTTCAAAATCTTTTTGAAATTAATTCAGATGTGTTTTCTTTTTCTTTCTTTTTGTAATTTTATAAAACAATTTATTAACTGCAGAGCGGCCTGGCATAGCTCAACCAGCTATGTGTGCTCGTTTCTGCGTATTTAAGCGTTGTATTAGCTAATTCAATTATAATGTTCAAATTCCATGGGTTGACGTTTTTTCAAATCCTTCAAGCAGCTCGAAAGTCGTTTTCTGGAATGGCCGTAATCGGTTCGGATTTCCTTAAACGTTAAAAAATTTGGTCTTATCAATTCAATTAGAGATTCCATTCAGAGAGTATAAGACTCGGTTCCAATCACGGCGCTTCCATCATCGCATAAAGAGCATGAATTAAAAAAATTAATTGCAGTTTTAAAAATTATGTAAGAGTGGTTTCAAATATTTAAAAAAATGTCAAACTGTAGTGTTATACACCTAATTCTGTTTTTGCACGGTAGATTGGTTCTACTATATAAGCAACCGTGCAAAAAAAGACATTGATCAATATGTGATTGCTTCCTTATCACTAAAGAAATATATATGGAATTTTTAATTTTCAAACCGTGCTATATCAAAAACGTGTAAAAAAGACTGTGTAAAAACAGAATTAGATATATAAATTAATTTTAAATAATAATAACAATTAAAAAAAATTAACTGCAGCTAAAGCCACTCTTTAATAGCCGCACTTGCCGACAGAACTCCTTTTCAACTTGGCCGACTATAGTTGACCCAGAAAATGTATAGTTCAAATATTGACATGGCATGTCAGTCGAGACAGTCGGGCAGACTCACAATTGCAATCGACACTCTTACACACACACACACACACACCCACAAATTTGGTGATTGGCCCATACGCAAATAAAAGTGCAAAAGGCCCAAGTAAATATTTGTACAGAATATGCAAAGTGAAGAGGATATGAGCCGAGTGGCAGGCGGAACGTGCGCACAAGATGGCCCATGTTGGGTATACGAGTATTTGCGTGTTTTTCCTCTTTTTTTCTTAACCGGAAGCTGACCTCCATTGGCTATCTGACCACGTAGACAGGCAATATGCAGTTCTGCTTCAATTAGTTATCACATGGGCTGTTTTTCGGTTGCCATACTAATTGAGGATTAAACGGTCCCAATTGACTGCCGCTTTGATAAAGCCTGAGCATTTAGAGATGGCGTAGGTGAGGCAGCAATTTCCAGGCATAGTTTTCTTCGACTTTCCTTTACAACTTTCAATTCGGCAGGAGAAGTTGTTAAGCGGCAAGAGAATGAGAGAAAAGCTGAACTGAAGTGTGACAAATGCTGTTTACAGAAAAAGTAATCCATAAAGGAAAAGAGTCGCAGGAGTAATTAATAAAGTAATTAACTAAATGCCAATTTTTTCATTTTAAAACTTATTAAAAACCCTTTCATAAATAAAATAAATAAATCAAATTTAAATTGATGTTCAATGTTAATAGTCTGTTTGTATTAGTCCGCCTGGCTGTTCTTTCTGTTCGTTTTAAGCAAAATCTTATTAAAAAAGTAAAATAAAATAAATTTTGATTATTCAGATTAGTCAGGCAGCGGGACTAGAAGTTTGCAAATAGTTGCTTTTTGAGAGAAGCTACCTTCCATTTCAACTAAATGAGATGTACTTGTATTTATGATAAAAGGTTTTATCGTGGAGACTTCATGACGAATTTATAGTCAGGGAGATGGGAGAATCGGAGGAGGGGTCCACAGAAGACTTTAAATCCACAACCATTGTAGGTAGGAGCCCAATATTTATTCATTCCAGCCAAGGGCGTACGCAGGGGGCCCCCTTTGGTAAAAGCTGCGTACGCACTTGTTTCCACCTTTAACATTCGTTTCCAACTCGAAAAACTCTGGAATCTCTAACGGGACAGCTCAGCAGGGGGCACCGGAACATTGAGGGCAACTGCATTCAAGGCGAGCTGGTCAGGAAAGGGACTACTGCACACATTCCTTCTAACAAGTAAGTAATCGATATGCCCCTAGTCTTTTCCAGGCTTAATAAGAACCCAGAAACTGTATAAAAATATCGAATAATGTGGTATTTTGAAAATAGAAATACTAATTAATCTTCATAAATTGTACTTAACACTGCAATTATTTCCCCCACCGGGTTGGAGATTTCCCTCTTTTTCTTTTCGTCTCTCTCTTTCCACCTTTCTCCTTTCCTGTTTCTCTATCTCTCTTTCCTTCTTTCTTTTTCTCTTTTCCTCTTTCTACTTCTTACTTTTTCTAATTAGTTCTTAAATAGAATTGATTTTCCTCCTCTATTTACTTTTTGTATAGATTTTAAGGCTATAATGTATCTGACCACATATGGCTGTGAATCGGGGCATAGCTGGCCAATTGGCAAATAAAATTCCCCCAACGTGTTGGAGGCATTAATAGACGTCACTGTACAGCTTTGAGTTAGGCTTTCTTATCTTTTAAGTTTTGTTTAAATTACAGACAGCATTATTGTTGATATTCTAAATGAAATAAAATAAAAAATAAAATTTTCGTTCACCTTTATTCGCCAGAATTTTCTTAAACGCCACTAACCGATTCAATCCAATCACGTACTGCAGCCACTCTAGAATAGACGCCCGGGTAATTAGGTCGCGCACAGCCATAGCCCCAGGACACAACGCCCCAGAGCGTGCCGTCGGCGCTGGCCAACGGACCCCCTGAATCACCCTGACACGCATCCTTGCCACCTTCGGGCAGCCCGGCGCACAACATGCGCTCCGTTATATCCCCAAATCCTCCATAGGCCTTCAGGCACTCGGCGTGGCTAACCTTTGGCACAACCACTGAGCGCAAAACATCACTGGTCTCCGCATTGCTCTGTGTATTGCCCCAGCCGGAAACCGTGAGTGGGGTGCCGTCCTTCAGATCCTCATCCAGCTTGGGCAACTGAGCATAGGCCTGCGTCACATTCGCCTCGTCGTACGCGGCCAGTTCCAGCACCGCAAAGTCATAATCTATTGTCGCGGAGCTGTATTTGGGATGACGATGCAGCTTCTTGATCTTGACCAGAACGCCGCCGCTGTCCGAACGCGTTGCGCCAATGCGGACCTTGGAGAGCAATGTGGCGGAGCCCTCGGTGCAATGAGCAGCGGTTAGGACTAGACCTTTGCCGATGAGGGAGCCGCCGCAGAAATGATATCCGCGCTGCAACGACACCTGAAAGGGTATCTTGTCAATGCTCGTCTCCTGGCCGCCCACAATGCGGCCATCTAGACGCGGGCGTGGCAAATCCTTTTGAACAGTCCGGCCCTCACAGCTGGCCACCCCGATGATAAGAACTAACGCCAGCAGTTTTCCACTTTGATTGCACATGGTAGCCGAACCGTTTGATAATGATGCAGCCTGAGCCGCTGAAGCGGTATTTATATGGAATAGCATTTGGCCCCGGCACAGTGGTTTGATTTAATAAGTTTCGGCAGAAAAACCAAAACGATTAAACAACAAATTATAAAAGCAATTATTTTTATATTGCATTTCAGAAGCTGAAAGGTAAGTCTTTATGTATAATAAAAAGCTATTCACTGTACGTTGGAGCATAAACTTGAGTCTTCCAAGGGGTTTATCTCATTTAACAATAAAAACAAATTAAATGATCCGAATTATATAGCCTAGTGTATTCGTATTATCTCTTTTATCAATAAAAACAACGAAACTATTCCCAATATTCAATTTCATTACAATATCACTATAAACAACAATTTGCAAAAAAAAATTTACAAAAATTCCATTTAAATCATATTATTTCTATGGTAGTTATATGTTAAGTGATCTCAGTTTCAACGCGTTAGTTTTAAAACTATAGGGGGAGTATTAATTGAAGCGGACAGACGGTCAAGATTTTTTAAATAAGGACTTGTATATTTTAAATGATTTTTCTAGAACAAAGATGTTTCTTTGCTGGCAGTTTGTATTACAGATATAATAATTTGCAAAACCTCATAATTGGGTAATGGTATTTGGTAAACTGGACTTTAATTTGCAGCATTTGTTTATGTCCAAAAAGAGAAATAACATTTCACACAAAACTTAGCAAATTGTTTGTACCAGTATTATATTCATCTTCCAATTTATTGGCATTTATAAACTAATCATTAAAAAATAATTAGCATACAAGTATATTGTCCAAAAAGAAGATGTAAGTTTAGAAATACACTTTCTAGTTTTAATCGCTTGATTATTTATTTTGCATAACATATAATTAAAAAATTTGGAACTAAATAGACCAGTCTTAGGGAAATACCATATGCATTAAAAGACAAAAGTTATTTATTCCAAGTCCTGCCTTCACCGCGCTTTTCAAGTGTTAGTTATGACATGGTAATAGGTATAAATAAATATCTTGTATAATAAAGGTATTCTTTTAAAGATATACTCTTTTGTTTTACCCAACAACTTAAAAGCCCCATCAGTCAACAGAATTAGTAGAGATGGATAACTTCCTCTTAATGCAATCTAATACCGGAACGTTGACATTTTCCCACTGTGCGCCACCTAGCCAGGGTCACTGAAAGGCCACACAAAGTACTCTACTCATAAGTCCGTGTCCACTTGGCCTAGTTAACACGATCAGTCCAATAATGCGCGCTACATTGATATTAAATTTATGGCCATTTTTACGTTATCTATCGAATACAGCGAAAATCATAATGGCTCGATACGTAATCAGTTTACAACTTGAGCCATGTTAGGAATTTATTATTCGATGGCATATCAGTAATCTTTTCCAGTTTCAATCCATTCTGCTCGGCCAATGGCTTCAGATCCTTGATGTCTCGCACGCCCCATTCGGCATTTTGGCTACGCAAGCCCGCATCGAACCTAACATTGCTCTCCGGCGTCAGGACACCATCTTGGGCATACGGTCCATATGTGAAGAGCTTGCCGGAGGATTTCAGCAGCTGGCCCGCTGCACGAAACAGACCCACGGAGCAGGCCCAAGGACTGATGTGCATCATGTTGGAGTTGAACATGTAATCATAGCTACCGGCCTTCACAGCACCTAACGTATCCGGCTGCCATTGGTCCACTGTCTGCGTAATGTCCACATAGAGCGGCAGTTTAATGTTGCAAGTGGCACAGTCTGTGGCGTATGCCTGAATCGATGGAAACTGACTACGTTCGACTTCTGTCGGTTGAAAGCTTATATTCGGCAACAGTGGCGCCAGGTAGCCCACATGTTGGCCGGAGCCGGAGGCGATTTCTAGCAAGCGTAGATTTGGAGTCTGTTTGTCCACCTGGGCGAGCAGCGCCTCCGCTATGGGCTGCGAATTGCGGTCAGCTGAAGGATGTGTCCGCTTCCATCCACTGGCACGACGAATCGGAGCATGCAAAAAACGTTTGGCAATTTGTGTGAGACTTGCGATTATGTGGGATGTGTGAGTTTCTTATTAAACAAATGATAATGCAACTGAAAAGTAATGTTTACCTCATTTTTCCACTAAATTGACCAAATATTTAAGTAATAGAGATGAGCTGCCGGCTTTTTTTTATGAAACACTTTCAAACGTTTGCAAAACCAATCGATATCGATTATTGCTTAAAGCGATGTTTCAAATCACGCAAACGGGCCGTTCCTATACCTTAAGTAGGGAAAGAAGCAACAAATTAACAGTTTGTTGTCTATTCGCCTGCAAATTGTAGATATATATTTCAGCATGTTTGCAATTTCACAAGAGAACATGAATTGAGTTTCTCCATTTTCAATTTATTGATTGTCCGCTCTTCGTTGCAGAAATCAAACTCGGCCGTTATCTCGAGAGCAATCAAACAAGTAATTTACACTGAAATACTGAAATATTAAAACGAATTACTTCTCAAATTAAAAATGTGTACTGTTTTAAAATTCCAGCTCAAGTTTTAAAATAATTAATGAATAATATTATTGAATACGCTTTGAACGAATATTTTAAATTTAAAAAAAACCGCCAACAGCTACTGCCAACAAAAGCTGACTGTTACAGCACGCTTTTTGTTTTGAAAACATCGCTGCCCATCGATAAAGTCTGCAGGTACATCGATAATTTAGAACTCTGTCATTTGTGTAGTTGCAGGCTGTCGGCATTTGTGCATATTTATTTGTTTTTGCCAAACAGTTCTCAAATATAAAATTTTTAAATATGTCTGATAACGACGATGACTTTATGTGCGACGATGATGAAGACTATGGCCTGGTTAGAGTGCTTGCATCTGCATTTGTTTTCATGGCGTGACCCACAGTCTTTTTTGTAGGAATACTCGGAGGATAGCAACTCCGAGCCCGATGTTGACTTGGAGAACCAGTACTACAACAGCAAGGCGCTGAAGGAGGACGAGCCAAAGGCAGCGCTAGCCTCGTTCCAAAAGGTGCTCGACTTGGAGAATGGCGAGAAGGGCGAATGGGGATTCAAGGCGCTGAAGCAAATGATTAAAATCAATTTCAAGCTGGTGCGTATCGCTGTTATTTATCAAATCTTGCGCTTATCAATTCCTTCTTTCCGCAGTGCAACTATGACGAAATGATGGTGCGCTATAAACAGCTTTTGACGTACATAAAAAGCGCAGTGACGCGCAATCATTCGGAAAAGTCCATCAATTCCATACTGGACTACATCTCCACGTCCAAAAATGTGGGTACAAGCGAGTCTGACTCTGGAATAATTTGACTAATTTGTTGCTTTTCAGATGGGCCTGTTGCAGAACTTCTACGAGACAACTTTGGATGCGCTGCGCGATGCCAAGAACGATCGATTGTGGTTCAAAACCAACACCAAGCTGGGCAAACTTTACTTCGATCGGAATGATTTCACCAAACTGCAAAAGATACTCAAGCAACTGCACCAATCGTGTCAGACTGATGATGGTGAGGATGATTTAAAGAAGGGCACCCAACTGTTGGAGATTTATGCCTTGGAAATTCAAATGTATACGGTGCAGAAGAATAACAAGAAGCTGAAGGCGCTCTATGAGCAGTCGTTGCACATCAAGTCGGCCATACCGCATCCTTTGATTATGGGCGTCATACGCGAATGCGGCGGCAAAATGCATTTACGTGAGGGCGAATTCGAGAAGGCGCACACCGATTTCTTCGAGGCCTTCAAGAACTATGACGAGAGTGGCTCGCCCCGTCGCACCACCTGTCTAAAATACCTGGTGTTGGCCAATATGTAAGTGCACAGTGCGGTTTTTAAGTCGAACTTAACCATAGAACTATTGCATTTCAGGCTCATGAAATCGGGCATCAATCCTTTCGATTCGCAGGAGGCCAAGCCCTATAAAAATGATCCAGAAATTTTAGCCATGACCAATCTGGTCAATTCGTATCAAAACAACGATATCAATGAATTCGAGACCATTTTGCGTCAACATCGTAGCAATATAATGGCCGATCAATTCATACGCGAGCATATTGAAGATCTTTTACGCAACATACGCACGCAGGTGCTCATCAAGCTCATCAAGCCGTACAAGAACATAGCCATACCCTTTATAGCCAACGCCTTAAACATAGAACCGGCTGAAGTCGAAAGTCTATTGGTCTCCTGTATTTTAGATGAGTAAGTACATACTACTATAATAAAGCATAGGAAACTCTGTTGTTACTCCAACGATAAGAGGGTATACTAATAAAGGCATATGTTTGTATAAACATTGAGTAAGAGGTAGGGACACCAAGCCAGTTGTGTTAAATAGTGTTCGTATGCAGATCAAGTTTATTGCACACGAATGAGAATTAGAAAATTGTGAACCTGGAAAGTAATCAAATGTTTTTAATGTTTATATATTAATACATCATATAGCTACAATAGACACGATATTTGTATTTGTACTATAAGGACCTTTTTTGCTTAGAAAAATATAGGAACTTAATGTCTGAGGTCGTTGCATCACTAGTCGGTCGCGAAAGGTGACTACAGCTGACCAAATACAAATTTAAATAGTATATTCTAAGGAAAAAATTTAAAGTAGGGCAAGCAGTTTGTTATTCTAAGTTTTAATGAAGAATATACGAGAATAATTTCGTACTTTATTTTTGTTTAAAGTCTAAAAATTAATTTAGAATTAACAAAAGCCGGGCGCGCGTAGTTTTTAAGGATTTGAAAGAACGCTACACTTTGTGGTTTATTTTTCGAGAAGTGTTTGTATAAATATAAATAGAATAGACTTAGATATTTTCGACAGCTAGCTTCTGTTAAGAAAATCAATAATTATCCCTATTATTATTTTACCATTATACTAATTGCCACTTCTTCTTTACAGCACCATCAAGGGTCGCATTGATCAGGTCAATCAGGTGCTACAGCTTGACAAGGTCAACAGCAGCGCCGCTCGTTACAATGCACTGGAAAAGTGGTCCAATCAAATACAATCGCTACAATTCGCCGTTGTGCAAAAAATGGCCTAGGCATTGAAAATAAAAATGCATATAGTTTAAAATATATACATTTAACAAAAACTAAGTCCTTTATTTGTTCTAATTAGTATTATTTAAACAGTTTGCACAGTTTCTGTAGACGCTGATGTCGCTTGCTTCTTATTGCTCTTCACACAACGACCATAGAGCCACAGGCGCAGTCTATAGATCCAGAAGATGAGTATGCAGAAAAGCGTCATCAGAACCACGCAACCACACACAGTTCCAATGGCAAGACCCGGCTTCGACCAGTCGAGGATGTAGTAGATGAAACGATTACCAGCACTATTTCGAAATGTTGTCAATAAGCACACTTTGAAGCGAGAATAATATAAATATTTTACTCACAAGTCTTCGCCACCCGCCAAATAGTAAATGAGCGAGAACACGCCATAGATCAAGCCGATCGCGAACGGATAAATAAAGTGCATGAGACGTGTGGGAAAGGCAACCATGAAGCAATCGAAGAGCATGCAGATTGTATTAAAGGCATGAGCCCACAAATTATAAAGCTCAGCGCCCATTTCGGGCATTGCTAATTAGAGTGGAAGGATAACAAACAACGGATATAAACTTCCACAGAATGGATATACAATTCAGAGATTTACAAATACTCTAAATAAAGATTGAATCCTTTTCCTTAGAGAGTTTTGGCGAACTTACTCGGATACAATGCTGCCCAAAACACCAGCGTTATCAATAGGGCTAGTGTGACGGTGGAGAAATGCGAGATCCAATAGATTTTCAGCGCCCAGCTGCCGGGAACTACAGAACAATATTGACTGCTTAAATTCGATTTGAAACAACTCACCAAAGTAGCGTGGTTTCCAAAAATGTATGGTGGCCACCACAGCGCCATAGGTGCATGCATACCAGCATAGAGTGAAGCCCCAGTCGGTCAGATAAATAAACCAAGTGCCACCATTAAGCGAACCCACTAAACTGCCAATAACGCCGGCCCCAAAGAAAGCTGCCAGAAGCCAACGATAGACTAACCAAATGAAGCAACGCTCCCCACGCTGCCACTGAGAGCGACAGAAGTCCGCCGGTTCCTCATGGTGGAGCGAGAATTTGGAGCGCTGGAATTCTTCGCGAAAGGGCAAACAGCAGCTGGACTTGTCGCTCGGATCACGCATCACCGAATTGCTTGTGAATGGTTCAACTTTTCGTCTTCTTCGCTGAGCTAAGGCTGCAATTCCCCACCACAATAGCTGTGCGGCCCAATGATAGAACGTGAACTGCCGCAATCGGGCCACGACAGAGGCCAATAGACCTCGAAGGCAAACATTTGCGGAAATTTTTTTTCGTAAATTTGTGCTCGTAATGCCAATCAGTTATCGTCGTATAGTTTTGGCCAACGATCCTTATCTGCTTAATATACACCGTTCGTTAGCTGTTCCGCGACTTACTGATAAGACAGCCAACAATTGAAAATATTAACAAGTGTTACGGTGTATCGGGCGCCATATGGACAGCTGACTTACAAAAACTTCCCACGATTTCTGTTTAAATTTTCACGCAAAAACAAAGTTCGGTTCATTAATAAAATAGAAAGGTTTCTTTGGATTATTAAACATTCTGGGAAATTTTGCACATGATTTACGATTTTATCAAACATTCAACTACACCCCCATTGACATTTAATCTGAATGGTTCATGCCATAAAATACTCTATGGGAATTACCAAATAAGAGCTGATACGAAAGTTTCCAAGTTATGATGCGATTTTGTATGCAAACATTAATGCATTATCAAGTCAAATCAATTGGTGGAAATAGAGTTTTTGGGAAATAATGTTGGTTAACTAATTTCAGCTAACTGCTAATACTTTCCTGCTATTTATTTTGGCTTACAAGTAGTTCGCATGAAACAATACTAAGCTGTGTTAACAGTTAAATGGGAAAATGAAACACTTTTCAATTCGAAAATAAAAAACCTTCAATAAAGGTAAGTAAAGAGCATACAAACAACACTAAACTATAATTGGGGGACGGGACGAGTATCAGTGATTCAAAATCTTACATTAGGCCGCGATATGGGCGTCGCCGATTTGTTATTATCAGCAATTATTTCCGATAGGCCTTGACAGCTAAAACGTAAGTAAGTAAGGTTGTTGAAGGCAAATTATTGGCAACGACAAGCGAGCCCTTTGGATTCAAGCAATTAGAATTACATACTATAATAGTGTGGAACTGTTGTATCGCTTTCGTTTTTTGAATCTTTTCAGAGCTGCCAACGAATTGAAACCTGCTATGCTATTTCTAGCCAAGTTATTAATTGTTTAATTAACAATGGGATCTAGCGGCAATAACTTAACTTAAATCCGATATTACAGGCTGGTTTGGGGAAAAATATTATCTTAAATAATTTGATTACAAAAAGGACAAGTCTATTTTTTGCTTAGATAACTTAATTGCATCACAAAAATGTTAAGGAATTCATATTAAATCGACTTTACAAATTTGAATATAATGTCAAAGAAAAAAACACAAATAATTAATAAAATGCTTCCAACTAAAGATATTAACAATTCTATAAAGAACAAGTACTATTTGTAAAAAAAAGGGAAATAAATAAATTCCACATTTACAAGTATTCCACTAATCTGCCAAAATTTACTCAGTAGTTATAAATATAAATATTCTTTTTAAAAAATTTAATTTTTTTTGGGTTCTTCTGCATTAAAATATTACAAAATTTTAAAGTTAGAATTTAATCAGGCTTACAACGGTTTGAACTCAGATCGTGTAAGAATTTTAAACGATAACGATTTGCTGAATAATTAATGCATATATGTATACTTTTTCCTGCAACTTAACCACCAGCTTTCTAAAAGTGTTCCTGGAGTATAGGCCTGGAGTCGGGAATTACCTGATATAACCCGAAAGTTGGTGTTGCTCCATTTCTTAGCTAAGAGATAATACCTGTAGTACCAACAAGAAGGTTCTCCGCTTGTCATATAAGGTGGCTAGAGGTAATAAGGTCCAGCACTATTAAAAGGTCCCTTAGTCTACACATGTAGTTACAACGAAGATTAACTTACATTTCCCCCAATTTGATTATTCTTTTTCCTAAGATTGTATCCGAGCTTTACGCAAATTTTCAATCACAATTGGAAACCACAATTACTATTTCTTGGATGTGTCATGCGATTTAATCGCGTGATTCCCACACACATATGCCAGAATTCACCTCAATTGCTAAATAAAACACTTGAATGGCATCGCATTACATCAATTTGCAATGCAATCAGGGGCCGATAGCGTCCACAATTGTTAATCAAACAATCATTTAAATTGATATTAATATTGAATTGTAAATTTCATTTATAAAGTTCTCCCCATCAAGCTCTTTCTGACCTTTCTTGTGCTGGCACTTTCGCTTTTAAGTGATCGGTTCGATCGGTTAGTATCTGGCGGAGGAGCCCTGTCAATGGCAAGGTCGTCTCAACGGCCAATAAACCATGGACGTAGTATATTTTGGCTCTGTATAGCCATCTTGCGCGTGTGTTCCGCCAAATTGTGTGATATATTTGTTTAATATGCAAATGCCATAAATTAATTTGTAATCGATCCCCTGTTTATTGAAGGCATGTAGAATGATCCAATTTCAATTGCAAAACAACACACACGTACTACTATTTGGAAGTGCTGGACACAAAGTCAAAATGCTGTGGCACATTTTGAGGGAATACATGATAAGTCAGTTACAAATCAGAAAACGGTCCGACTGGTCTTTATGGATAGCTAGTCTTCGTGTAACCATACTTATGTAGAGTCTGTGCAAAGCTTTAGTGTTGTTTTAAAGATCGGCCGGAGTAGTAATACCTAGTATTATATACTAAACTGATAAGGCTGTTCTCTACCAAATGGTAGACAGACAGATAAACAAGTATACAAATGGAAACGAAATAAATCCTATACTCGTATATAGAAAAAAAAAAAACAAAGATATTCTATAATACAAGTAAGTAAACATTAATATCCAGAATATCCAGTAACAAAAAAAATACAAAATCTATCTTAAGTTGTAAGAAATATAATAAGTATTTGTATTTGTAAGCATGGATGCTGCAAAAAAAAAGTTCTTTAAAAATATATATGTATAAATATATTGTATATATTCATTATATAACAAAAGATTTATTTTTGGATACGGTATTAGTTTTCTGGGAGCCAGAAAAAGTTTTAACGAAGACCAAAACTGAATCGAAACGAAAATAAATAGAGATTCTCCAAGCATTTATAGTAAGAACTCTCAGCTGGTTTGACTTAAAAGGGTGGAGAAAAAACTAAATTAGAAAATTTAAAGATTTTAGAAATAATCATCTGAAAAATTGCTCTTTTTTTAGCAAAATACATAAAATTAAATTATTATTAGTATTTTAAAACAATAATCGACAATTAAAACAAGCTCTATAGATCAAGAAAAGTTCCCGAAACTAAAGCGGAACTCTTTTAAATAGGGGGGTATATTTTATCCCAAATAAAAAGGCGTTAAAGAAACTTTGTTTCAATATATTTGAGAGAAAAGAAGAAAGATTTCTATATAAAGACTATTTATCTCTTTTGTAAACTGTATTCAATAGGTTGATGGGATGTGGTTGATTTCAAGTGAAGACTGTCTAGATACCTCTTAGGGGGTAGGAAGATGCTAACTACTCCCTGATATATAATTTTCACAAGTCTAATAAGCCTAATAAGCCCTCTCTGCCCTTCGGTCACAGGGTATAATCAACTTAAAAATGCCTCTACCTGTATTAGTCTGTAATTGTAGCTATGATACCTTTCGCCAGATAAGTATAAATACGTATGTATATCCGTACATTTCAATCAAAGCTAATTTCAGGAAGAAGAGCAGACCATAAATGTGTATTTTCCTGGAAGGGTAGACAAACTTTCCTACCATTTTTCTGGGCATTCTATTTTGTACTTATTCAGATGCTTGTGTACATGCAGCTGGACGGATATCTATATATCGCATCGTCTTATCTGGGTCAACTAAAGCTAACCCTCTTACCTTTGGAACATAGGGCTAAAATCTACACAAATCTAGGGCTGCTACACAAAGATGTGAGTAGGCGCTCATCGTTCAAAAGCTTTTAAACTTAATTATTGGGGGGTCTATAAAAAGTTAGCTATTGACTCAGCACTTTGACTTGTGTACGATGAGTATGGTGTGTTATGTGTTGTGGGGAGAGAGCACTACTGGGCGTTTAATTGCTGACCTCTAGAGCGTCAAGTTCAGTGTTGGTCAATCGAGTCAACACTTGTCAATATCATTGATATCATATCGTTGTCATCAAATGCGATTCCCACAGCACATCACAGCGCAGACAATTGTCACTCTTTTTTTGTTTTTGGGGAGGGGGGGCCAACGAGACTTCTGAGACCAGCACTAAAATAGTCGGCGTTCCACTGAATCGGCGTTATTTGACACCCTTACGATCGACAGTTGTGCGAAATATTTATTTTTCCATATACGAGCATATGACAGGGCAATTTTTGTTGCCCTCGCCCCTCTACTCCTCTCTGCTCGTGGAACTCTGCAAGTGACGGCATTTAATTGAATTAGAGTATATTTATATCAATTTTTATTCGTAAACGTTATGGTGGTCCGATCAACTTGTATCGCTCATACCTACTATATGTATATAAAACATGACAAGTCGGCAGTTACTTTTCGCATTTCCCATTTGAAGCTTAGCGAGAAAAGCCGCGCGCGCGTTTCGTTCTACCTTCGTGCGCATCGGGTTGGCTTTTTTTCCATTTAGTGGTTACTCACACATTCGTTCGCTCTATCTTTCTATATTACATTCCATTTTTTTTCGGGGGTAATGCCAAGTTCCGTTTCCCTGCTACTAACATTTCGCATTGCGCCGTGCCCGAGAGCGCGTGTCGAGTGAAGCTAGTCGAGAAAAAAAAGTAATAATAATAATTGCTCGTAGAGACTTAAAAGGCGCACCGCTTTGGCCAAGTGTCAACGGTTTCCAAGATCATAATATTGTTGGTCTTAATAATAAAATTTAATTAAATTGCTGCTTGGGTTAACGAGCAGAGGGTGTGCTTGTGCTGTGTGTAATTCACGTTGATCGCGAACCAAAAATGCAGCTCATCAAAAAGTTTTGCAAAGGCTTTGGCAAGGAATTGCAATTACAGAACTTCAACTATGAATACAATCGCGTGGAATTGTTCTACAAGTCTCAGGTGAGTGAAGAATGTCTGTAATAGAAACATAAACCTGCCCAACAGCTGATGTGGGTTCAGTTTTCGCATGCGTAAAGTCCATAGAGTTGATTACATTAGGGGAACTTCTCACAACGTGTTTACTTTGTTGGTGACACGCGTATGTACCGAGTAAAGGTTTCCGAAATAGATATGGGTGCAAACAGCAAAGTGTGAATAGTTGGAGTTATATCTTTAGTTCATGACGTATGCAATTTTTGTAAGAAATCACAAGCAGGTTGCGAAATTGAAGTTCATTTCTAAGATTGTCAAACTACTGCAGTTGCTTGTAAAAGTCGTCGAAAAACTTGAGGCTTTTCGAACTCCGGAAAACTCCTAGTCTTATATAGTGTGTCAAAAAATTAAATTGAAAATAAACTTATATAAAAAAGTAAGCAATGCTCAGAGAAGAGCTTGAACTCCTCTTTATAAAAAAAACATTTCAATGAACTGTTTTTATTATAGTTTGTAAGCCAAAACATACATTTTATTACAAAAAAAAATACAGTCGAATTGATAACCTCCTCCTTTTTGAAGTCGGTTAAAAATATGAAAATGAATGATTACGAATAAAAAGATCACTTCAAAAGGCTTTACTTCATATGTATGTATATATTTTATTATTTTCAAGTTCGTTTATCAGTCAACATCTACAGTTGGAGAAACAATTAGAAAGTCTGAATAACTTTAATTACTTCTTTAGTTGTCCTTTAATTTCTGAATGAAATCTCACGAACTATTTCGATAACTAATTGAATTACTTCTTTAATTTCTCTTTAATTCCTGAATGAAATCTCACAAATTATTTCGATAACTATATGCAACTACCTTAGAAACAACAAATCGGTTGGAAAACTTGGGCAAATTATTCGACTATTTTTGGAATTTTTTATCCATCGATTTTAAATCAAAATATTTGATCTTTCCGTACTAATTATTTAGATTATAATTTGTATATATTTATTTATTATATATGATAACAAATCTTAATGAATGGAAGTACAAAAACAGTAGCGTTTTTAGAGGAGAGTATTAATTGAGTCTTGTTGTCAAACAATGGTATTTGATGGAAGCTTCTACTGCTATGGCTATATAGTAGACTATTATATTTATGGAGCAGGAAATTGCAGAGCAGAAAATAGTGGCATTTCATCAAATGGAACAATTTACAAATCTTTCTATAAAATGAAATGTTACTCTTTACCAGCAACTTAAAACAATTCTAATTTTAACTTTAATAAATAAATTTCAATTTTTATCTTAACTCAATTTGCACTATATTTTTTGTGTGTAGAAAATCCCAGCAAGTTCTTTTTGTTGCATACATATTTCTAAGAATAACGAAAATAAAACCTTCATATCAGTCAAAACAAAGAAATTCTTTGGTACGCACGTGATGTAATGGCGCCCCCATTTGTCGACCCCCATGTGACATTCCGAAAACATTTCTAATTAAAACTACAACTTTTTAGCACATTGCCGCCTAAAACTTACTGGCAAGCGTATGGCAGTTAGCACCACAATACGAGTATGTCACGAATTCGGGGCTGTGAATTAATTGATTTCGTGTTGAATCAAAAAGTGGAGAGCAAAGACAGGAAATACATGCTATTACGTACGACACTTTTCGGGGAGAATCTATGACTGCATTTGAATAATGCAAAGAGTAGTACATACTTATATATACGTAATGATACGTACATATGTATTTGCCTTATTCATACTGCAAACAAAAATCATGCGGAAGTCGTTCCTGCGACGTCATCGTTGAGCCAACACGTGGAGGGGCTGGTGTAGGTCTAGCCCCTCTCACACTCTCTCAGCATCAATTGTATGCTGATAAGGTCTGATAAGATATACCCACACTATATACACTTGTACATACATTCTCGTACATGTACATGTACATATGTATAGTACCTTTAGTACCGTTGCTTTGAGTGCGAACATGGAGCGTGGTAGGTGCATGTAAATAAAAGGAGAGCGTATTGTTTACGTTTGTTAGCATTATCTAATGGAATCTAATATACCCAGTAATCGTATACGAACGCAAAATGAATTCAAGGGCATATGTTTGTTTTGCTTCTGATCGATTAGAAGACAGCAAAATCTATTTTCAATTGTTTATGCCAACTTTAAATGAATTTGGGTCGGTGGGAAAGTCATGACCACTTTTTTTTGCAACTTTTAAGGAACGTTGATTATTAAATAAAAATTTGATATTTAAATACCATAAAGGAAGGATTAAAGGGTATATACTTTTGCCGCAGGCTTTTTTATGTAGACTTGTTTGTTTGTTCATCATCAAAACATAAAATGGTATATTTAATTTACCAATAAATTGTTTCCAATAAATTGTTTGTTGCACTAAAACTTGCTTACAATTGATTCAACAAATCGAATTAAAACACATTAATTGGTAGAGTTTTTAAAAAAGGAATTATTTCAATATTTAAATAAATTGTATTATTATAGGTATGTATAAGTTTTTTATTTATACAAAAAAGTTTTAAATTGCATATTTAATGTTTTTATAAAGTAAATAGTTGTGTGAATTCTAAAATACTTCTTCACCTAATTACAAATCTAGGAGCTTTTTTGAAGCTGCCAAAAACCAAAAACTAATACCATTTTGAGAGTCAAAAGAGAACCAAAAAAACGGCGTTTTTTTATATTAAAGTCCTGATATTTTAAAGTAGTTTTTAATCATCTAATCCATATGGACCTTTGCAATATGCCTTAAAGGTGCTGTGGATCGTCTAATGCTTATAACTTGACTCTCTTAAAATACAATTAATTAATTAGAAATTATCCATCTATTCTTTTCCTTGCAGTGGCAAAAGAATGAGCTCAGCTTTACCTATTTACTGTACCGTTGGGTGTTGGCGCTCTTCTTTCTCGGCGTCCACATAATTTGCATGATCGTGCAATTCTGCGATGGCAAATTCTTTATATATATGACGAACTGGGGCTTTGGCATGTGCACAATCACACAAATCATTGCCGCCATACAGGTCACCCGATGGCATTTCGATCTACAGAATATACGCAGTCTGGTGCAGGAATCGGGGGCTAAGGCGCGTATGACGCGATCTCTTAAACTCTACTGGCTGATCTACAATATGTCGCTATCGCTAGCATTGATCATATCGACAGTGTATTGGATATTTTTACATGGCAAAATGAGTGAGTGGCTCCATCTATTTATTTAATAATAATCTATAATATATGGAGGTTTACGTCCTGGATTTTTTTTGTAGATAAGCCCGCGCGTTTTCCGGTCATAAGCGTCCTTACGCACGGCCTGAACTCAGTATTAATGATCATTGACTTTCTAATCATTGCCTTCCCACTGCGACTGCTCCACGTCGTCTACTGCATGTCTACGGCTATATTCTTCTTTGTGTTCACGGTGATCTATCATTTCAGTGGCGGCACTGATGAGTAAGTGTGAGAATTAACCCTCATGAGCATGATTTAATTGTGTTCATCGTACACCCACAGATTCGGTAATCATTATGTCTATCCGATATTAGACTGGACAAAGCCAGTGGGCTGCATTATCACATTCGCCGGCATCTTCATGCTCTACATCATCTTCTGGCTGCTGCTCTTCGGGGTCTACAAACTGAAGCGTGTGTTCAATCGTGCGTTCAGCATTGTCTGGTCCCCCCATGCTGTGGGCCTGCTATAACTAACTTGAGAAGAAAGACGAGGAAGAACACGCCGCCATGTGTTGCATCTGTGGTTGCTGCTTTGCCACTCTATATGTCGACGAATTACACATAAGCAGCAACAACAATAACATCAACAATAACAATAAGAAAATAACACCGCCAGCATTTGAATTATGTCATAATCGCACAAAGACACACACTCACAACCATCTATTCCCATCTATTTATGTCGCTTTGTAGTTGTAAGAATTAGTAAATACATAACATACACTAGGCTAGTATTCCAGTTCCTTACATATTAAGAAACACAAATCGAATTATTTGTTGTTTTCATAGGCAGTAACAATTTAATAAAACATTGTTTGAATTCCGTTGAACGAATTATGAATCGAATATGAAAACTCTAAGGAATAATTTGATTTATTCATGGCAATTAAGAATAAGCTATCAAGTTTTTGGGGTTTCTCTGAGTCGATTTATTATATAATTTACATTTTGGCAAAAATTATAAAAAAAATTCAAAACAAATAAATTAAAAAAGCTCATGGGAAGAAATCATTAATACAAAATAATATTGATAAAACGCAACTCAAAACAAAACATATCTTAAAACATTCGCAGCTGTTTCTCATTTTTATTATTATTACATTTAAAGAATCAATGAAGCAAGTTCCTTTATTCAATTAACAAGTTAGTTGCCGAAAACTTATTGGGCTTTGCCATTTATCGCTCAAGTAAGTTGCCCATATTTCGAGTATACGTTTCCACATTTCAAAAAGTTTTATTTATCGCAAAAGCTGACGTTTTTCAGTAGAAGTTGGAAAGAAGAAATAACTTTTTTTTCAAACTCAACTTTTAACTCACAGAAACATAAAATTAATTTTAGAGATAGGGTCTTAGAAAAATATATAAAAATTACATGCACCTGCTATTATAAATAAATCTCAAGTCTCATCAGCCGCTGCCCCCTTGCATAGTCGCTGATTAGCAACCATTTTACCTAATCTTTATTTTTGAATAGATTACCGATAAGAAATAACAAATATTTTCCTACATCACACATATCCAAATAAATAATATGATCTTTGGACTTAATGAAACCATTGGACAGAAAGGATGAAGAACTGAAATGTAGTTTTCCATTAAGCTTAATGTAAAGTTTTTAGCGTTCTTAATCCATTCGTCGAAGCAGAAACAATTTCATAAACAATTCCATAAAAAATTCCATACCAGTCCATTCTATTTTCGTTTATGTTTCTGTAGCATTCTCTCCTGTTCTTCTTGACTTTTTTTTATCCACATATTTGGCCATAAACGTGCATTACCTGCTCTGTGTTTAGAAATGCGTAATAAAATGATGTGTGATGGGCATTATGAAGATGCTTCTTTTTTAAGATCGTGTGTAAGCCAACTACAGAGCAGCATAAAATCACGTTCTTTTTGATTGCCGAACAAAAAAGGCAGAACCGAAATAACTTTGTTTGCCATCGGCATTGTTTTCAGCCATGGCTCACACTATGATTGCAAAAAAAAGAAGAGATCCACTACAATATATATTATGTGTGCAAAGAACGCCAGATAAAAAGACTAATTAGGCAGCCTCGATGGTTGCTTCGCACTGTGGTTCAGATCTGTGGGGTATGTGTGCGTTTTAGGAAGACCGATTCAGATATATGAAAACGGCTTTAAATCACGCCTTCAACCGGGTTTTTCTTTATAAATGATCTAAGACAAGGTCCTTTTAATCAAATTTCAAGCTTCAAGCCTAAGACTAATCATGACTGATCATAATGACTTAAGACTAATCAGGCAGCATAGGACGTTGTTTCGCACTGTGGTGGAATTTGAAAATCACACAAAATCACGTGAATTGAAAAATTAAAAAAAAAAAAAAAAAAACTGGAAAGCAGAAGGATTTTCGGATATAAGCGGGACCACTTAGATTGGAGTTAATCTCAGATATATAGGTAGTTTTTATTTTGGAGAAACACAAAATAAGAAACAAATTTACCGATATAATCGGGACTGTTCAAAAAATCATAAATATATGGAATATTATAGAGTTTTGTGTTCTCTGTTGGGCGTTTAATTATTTAATTATTTGAAGCCAAGCACGTAAAACGGCTTATTAACGCTTACAACTTTTCTAATATGGAAAAAATTTATTCATTTAATCAAGTATAAATAGTATAAAATAAAATATATATTTTATATTGCCACTAAAAATGAGAAGAGTGAAAACCGTGATTCGAAATAACAGATTTCAATAAATATATACATAGGTGGCCTGTGTTTTTTCCACAAACTACTTCTTAGTATTTACAAAGCATAGTAAAAGTTATGTGCCAAATAAATCTACTTTTTCAGCTTCTGAGTATGAAGATTAAACATTTATTTAAATATTTTGTAATATACTTTAAAGAGGACATTTTGCCGAATGCCTCATTTAATACTAATACTATACACCTAATTCTGTTTTTACACGGTAGATTGGTTCCTAAAAAAGTCGTGTAAAAAAAACCGTGTAAAAAAGACATTCTCCATTTGCAAAATGAATCGTGCTAAGTGGAATATAAATGTGTAACCACAAATTTTTATTTTTAATTTTCAAACCGTGTTAAATCAAAACCCTGTAAAAACAGAGTTAGGTGTATATTATATTTCCAAGAATTTGTTCCCAAAACTTTGCAAGTTATTATGCAAGCACTAGCGAAAAGCTGTTTGCATTTGTAAAGGTTTCAAAATTTACAACAGCATAATATTTATGTATTTTAGTTGTTGATTTAACAGCAGGCTGGTAAGTTCTAAATGCTAACTTTCTGTTCAGTTAGGTACCCATTTTAGACCACTGTGCGTCTGCTTATGACGAAAGCAGATACGACACACAACGCACAGCCAAACAGCGTAAGCACAAAGCAGCGTAAGCCTCTCGGGGTCTTGGCTTTGCTGCTGTTTTCATTCAGTTTTTTATCATTTTGCAAATATCAGGCCCGAAAATAAACCCCCGCCAACAACAACAACAACACCTGCGCAGTGGTCGCAAGCAGCGACGCCAACAGCGACGTCGGCTCCAGCAGTTGGCTTTGAACTTTACGATATGACTTTACGATAAAGCTTACGCTATTGCTGGCATCAGTGTTTAAGCTACGATCAGTTTTAAAACGTGCGTCGCGTTGACAAATCGTCGGTTTTGGTCGGCGCCAGCGTGTTCAAGTTTCCCGGTTAGTTGCATTTGAAGTTGCCGTTACTGTTGTTGTTGTTGCTGCGGTTGTTGTTGCTGTTGCATTGCGTGTTGGCTGTAACGTTTATTCTTGTGCATTGGCGCATGAATATTCCATACGATCGGGCAATGTTTTTCTGCATTTTTTCGGGTCGTTGCTGTAATATTTGTACATACAAACGTAGTTGAAAATGCAATAGGCAGCAGCAGCAACAACAACAACAACGACTAGCAACCACTACTAACTAAACGCCGTTATGCAAAGTTGCTCTTGTTGACCCACATAGACAACAACAACAACAACAACACCAACACCAACAAGTGGTTTGAATGACAAGCCATGCGTATAATACGCACAAAGTGCTTGCAAAAATAAAAAATAAATAGGAAAAAGAAATAGCTAGAAAGCCCTATTTTTGTAGAACCAAAATAAAAAACTGCCATTACTCTTGTTGTTAGCCCCAATTGCTGTAGTTTTGGCAAAACAACAACAACAACTACGACTACAACTCAATTGGCCAATCGTGTCAGTTCATTCTTGTTTTCGCGGTTTATTTCTGGTTCCCGTTCTGAGCTTGTGTCGTGAAGCGAATAATAATTTGAAGTTTCATTAAAAAAGTACAAAGCACAAAAAGTTAAAAAAATATATATTCGTTAAGACTCATACTTGTTTTCTATTCCATAGCAAAAGTATTATTTAAAGCGTGACAAAATTTTATTAACTTTTGCAATGTTGAAATGCTTTTATTTGTTGCTAAGCACAGATTTAAAATTAAAATAAAAACCAAAACAAATCAATTATAAATTTTTCCATGAATAATATAAATATTTTCATTGCTTTGGGAATTTCAAGCTAAATCACTGGCATATCCCTTAATGGGTTAAGGGTGTAAATATTTGCATGCAGCATTTTTTTAGGTGCTATGTCATTAGCTGCTATTTTGAATAACAGGCTGCGTACATTTTTGATTTATTTATTTATTTACTTTGCACGTAGAAGCCATTCGAAACATTTATCAAAAACTTTGGTTTCTCGCCTCTTTCTCAATAAAACAACTTTTTGCACGTTCTAGAGACGTTAATGAGACTCGTTAATAGAGCCGATGTGCAACACCATTTATAGATTAAGCAATTCAATCAAACAATTGAAAACAAATAACACTACTTCCTGTACATTGAAGAAACGGTTATAAAAGCATCTTCTCGGTACTCAATGCTGTTAACTGATTGAGCCAACTTATTGCTGAAGGTGAGTCTTATTATGTCTTGTTAAGAATGCTATCAAAACGTACTAATTCATGGGCGTGAATAGAATTCATTGTTGAAGGGCTATGAACAGATGTGGATTGGCACATCGGCTGAGATTTAGGATTATCCACATTCGAGGAAACTTTAAAGCAAATATATAATGAATTAATTTGCAGAGAGATTAATGAAGAACGCTATTCTAAAACTTTCCATTTGAAAGGGGTAATTGCTTAAAGAATTGTTACTACTTACTTTTTGTCTCTATATCGAGTTAAGGGTCAGCTGAAAGCAAAAGATAATACATAAAGAAATGAATAGATAAATAATAAATAATACATAAATAAAGTGTTATTTAATTCTTTATTTTTAAATTTTTTTCAAACTTGTTTGCTAGCTTGTTTATTTTTTCCTCTTATTAGTTAAATATTTTATACATCCCAAGAACATATTAAACATTGCTAGGTCGAGTATTTATTTCCCCTGCTTTAAAATAAATATTAGATATCAATATTTGTCTAAAACCTAGTACCAAGTTTAGCTTCAAAGTACATTTTGTCAAATATTGGAAACAAATATTGAAATCTAGTACTTATGTGCTAATAATTGAATAAATAGTTGAATTATAAAGTACAGCTATAGTTATGTAATTATTCCAGAGATATTTAGCTAGAAAGAACTATTTTGTTTGCCAGTTTAAAAAATTCTTTGCATAATTTTGTATAGAATTTGTATGTATTGTTCAGAGAAAGAAATTTCTCAATCGAATGGCTGAAATAAAAATGTAAATTTGCACGGGGCCGTCTCGTTTAATCGCTTCAGGAAAGTTTTGTAGTTGTTGGCGTTAATACTAGCATATAGAAAATATATACTATGTATACGTATACAATATATTGCCTTCGATGGCGTTGAACTCTTTGATTTCACTTTCTACGTCGCCAAAAGCCAACAGACTAGCCAAAAAAAAAAATTGAAGCAAAAAGTAGTATGAATTGAATTGGCATTAAGTTGAAGCCAGTGAGTAGCTGGAAATGTTTGTGAAGTGGATGGAGTGGCCTACTAAGGCTAATGAGGCCACCCAGATGAGATAATTGTGTGTCGCGTAAATGGTTTTATCTTATCGGGCCCGACAATCTGTTTGTAACTTTGCAAAACAGCAGTTTGTTGGTTTTAAAATAATTTACAGCTAATGTATAACCATTTGCCACTACGCACTACTTAGTAGTAGGTATATACTTGTAGTAGAGTAAGTCAATGGGTATATACTTGTAGTAGAGTAAGTCAATGGGTTGGACTCGCTGGCAACAACTTATGTACAGACAGACCCACATCACATCTTTTGTTGTTGTACTTATTTATTTACACAGTTGGCGCGCATGTAAAGGTCAACCAGTTTTTGGATAGATATCAAGTTTTGAACTTCAGACGGCGGCATATAAATTATAAGTAAGGCCCGGTTCATTGTAGTACAACTTCAAAAATACATATGACGAATATATAGCAGAAAACGCACAACAACCACTAAATAAAGAGTGAATAAATAACAAATATAATATGTATATAGAAAAAAGGCACGACATAGAGACAAGCGAAATAGTTGGTCGCAAGCGTTGATGCTACGGCAGAGATTGTTGGTAGGTCGTCAATATTTTTCTTGGTCGTAACTCGTGCGACAGTGCGAGGCAAGTTCAGGGCCGTCGCACTCCATTGAATGGATTTGTGTGCGTGTGTGTGTGTGTGTTGAATGGTTATAATATAATTACTTAAAAATCTGAACATTGTGTTTTTCAAACAAAAACAAGTGTTCTGCCTCATCGTAATAAAACAAAGCTGGTTTTTAATGGAGCCATTAGCCAGCCAACTAACAAATGGAAATATGATTTTACTTAGCTTTTCAATTGAAAACAGCTGTGGAGTTACATAAACAATGCTATACACAATCATCCATAATGAGCTTATATGTAGAATAAATAGAGTAGAGTAAATAGAGTATTATAGAGTTTACGATATTTTTCGGGGAGTACTCAAAAAAGACTCTGAAAAGTGTTGCAATAGCAGAGAGATATTTGGAACGATATATATTAACATCTATATTTTAAAATATGCGAGTATATATGTTAGAAAAAAGTACTTCAGTTGTAATATAAACCTTAAAATAAATCTCGAAGCAATTATATGTACAACCGCGGTCTCTAAAAACGAAAAACTAACTGAATACAGATTAGAGGGCCAAGCCATTTTTCTCTTCCTGTTCATAGGAACACATGGAGAGTATTATTTTCTAATTTAACAAGACTGGACAAATCTCAGTGACTAAGCAATAATAATTATGATAGAAATAAAAAAGGAGGGTCAATTTAAACTCTACATATTTAATTAATTATAATTTAATTAGAAATGAAAATCAAGAAGTACGATTTTTTAATTTGTCCTACTTATTTATTTCGTTTGGATATATTTAATTATATATTTTTATCTATTACTTGTATTTGCATGGCCTCGCCAAAGACTCATTTAAATTGTTAGCTATTTAAGTTTAAAAAAAATTATTTTGTTAAAATATAATTTATAGTTCAGTTGTTACATTAAAAAATGTGTTGTCCTATTTACTTATTTCGCGCACCTTATATATACATGGATACAAGATATATTTTTCAATCCAACTGCGTAAATTCGCATTTAAATCTCGACATATTACAAGTATAGTTGGATCGCACATTCTCAAGGGAAGTGGGAGGTGGGGAAGGCCTTTTCTCACGCATGCATGTTTAATGATTGCGATAAACTAACGGATTAAACAGGCTGTTTAAGCAAACAGGCCTGTTCGCCTATCTCCCCTCTAACGGTTGCCTGTTTGAGGCCTGTTTTGTTACACAATCTCTAAGTGGCTGGCATGAAGCGGCCTTAGCTCGCCTAATCGTTTTGTTTTACTTACAACTCATATTTTATTACACTATAGTAAGTATTTAATAAAGCAATGCCTATTCATTTTGTAATCGTAATAACCAATGCCAGTTAACCAGTTAGCCAGCCAGCCATGCATTTAAACGTACTTGATGGACTGCAACGACTTGATAGCAGTGCGTTTTTTTTTTTTTTAACTGAAGGTTTCTTATCCATAAAAACTAGCATTAGAGTTTGAGTTTTCAGCATTAAACACTGGTATTAGGTAGCTAATCTTGTTATAACTATGAGCCTTTTAATATCTTTAATAAAAGGTTTTTTCTTATAGAGGAGTAGCTTTAAGGGGTCCTCGCCTTTCCTTTCTCTGGCTTCTATAGTAGAGTTTAATGTCTGTTTTCAACCATGGCTGTATACAAGACAGGAATACGTTAGGCATTCTCCCATTTCACCCTTTAAGAGGGCGGCTATATAAAAAATTATATTTATTTGTAGTAAGTTCTTTAAAAACGGTTCAAGAAAGTTAAGTCAGCAAATCCCAAGCTTGGACTGATATTTTTCTCACTCTCTCCTAAGCTCTCCAAAACCTTTTCTGACAACTTACCAAGACACATAATATCTCAATAAATAAACACTAATGAGTCCAATTGTCATGTAATATTGGGGTAAAGTGTTTTAAATAGGTTCCAAAATATTATACAAAGTTTACTCATTCAAACGAAAACTCTGCCATTCAAAGCATTATTTCCGGAGTCTCTTATTTTAGGCATTAAATAATGCTTTATAAGTCTTGAGTTGTTATGAGTTTATGTCTGGCAAGGTATCTGGCGAACATATTCTACACATTGTACGCAATATTCATATTAATTTTATTTGGGTATGCATTTATTTTGCTAATAGTTTCTGTGGTTTCTAATATGGAGTAATGATTTATTTTGAGATTGCATTCTTTATCCAACTTATCTCAGCTTTCAACGTATTATCTATAATATTACAATCTCAAACTAGATATAAATCTACGTCTGTAACAAGTTTTCTTTGCTAGTGAGTAAATATCGTAGTCATTAGAATATTGTGTAGATCCCTCTTTAATCAGCAGTCTTCAGATAAGATTGGGATCAACCATTAAAAGCCTGGCAAATGCAAAGAACGCATGGCTTAGCATTTTTTAATAATTGTTTTTAAAAATTGAACTTCTTTGTCAGTTTGAATTGATTTTTAAAGAAAAGACAACTATAATAATCAGTCATTTCATTACTTTATTCAATTTTGTATCGTCTATTATGTAGTTAAGCATCCAGAAGATAATTTGTTTTAATAATCCATACCACCTTTTTCATATTTGAATGTGTAGCCAGGATAAACTTTCTTCAGTATATCCTTAGCTTCTCTATGATCGGCCTTGCCTAAAACCTGTAAATAAAATTAACCAAATAAGCTTACAAATGAGTCTTGCAACCCTTTTTTTATTCCACTCAGTCACCTTTGACTTGCCCCAGATTGATATCACCTTGTGGCAATCGTCATGGTCCATCCAGCCGCCACCCAGACATTGTGTGCAAAGGTCTTTGTCGTGGACCTCGGCTTGAACCTTATCATAACCCTCCACTATAAAGTAAGCCCCCAAAATTTTCCATTTACTTTGTCTATGTCTGAGAGTCTGGTTTCTAGCTACTTACAATGGTTTTCTATGTTCTTGTAGCCGCGTATCAGCGTCCTGGCAGTGCGGGTTTCCCCATGGATATAGGCCATTATCATAAGATACCTGAATTTACCCGTTGGTATATCCACTTTTGGTAGCTTTACCAGTTTGGCACTCTGTCCATAGCCGCGCGCCACTACCAAGAAGATTTCGATATTAAAGATTATACCTATGCCTAGGGCTATGACTTACAGCGCAACATTGTGCCACAGTTGGGCACAGTCAGAACGTTACGGACCTTATTCATTGTGTACGGATTTTAAAATTTATTTGTAGAATTTTGATCTGTCGATGCCAAAAGAAGACTGAATGTTTTCGAGCTAGGAATGCAGGGCGAATGAAAATCGCACGCCTGCCTAGATTGTGGGAATTAACTTCTCTTTTTTGTAAATAATAATTAAGTGTGTTTGCAGTTCAAGTATAATAAGAGCATTAATTACCATTTCAAATGTAAATATTATATAATTTCAGTTATCTCAACATTTGACCGGAAAACATGCTAGAATATGACAAAGCAGTCAGTTGCTAATATTTTGTCAGAGTAGCAGTTGCATGTCTAGAAGATTTCCACGAAAATTACACAATTCCTATAAACGCAAATCTCTCAACCACGCCACCTAACCTCAGTTGAAGCTGCGAGTCATGAGTAAATTGTCGGTTTTGGTGCACCCTGTGAAGAAGGAATTTCGACGCAAAGCTTGCGGATTTGATCATGAAGCGCCAGATGATTTCGTCAAATCGCAGGTGAGTGAACAACTCTTTATTTAAATAACAAATGGCTTTATTACTTGTAGAAGGGATCTATAGTTGACACTATAAAGTTAAGCTACTATTTTTGGTCGAGGTTTTAAAAAAAAACACCAATGTCAACACAAACAGAGCAGAGTTTGTATGGGAAAGTCCTTGGCCACACACGCCCTCCATAGACACGCACTTCAACCCAGTATTTGTTCATCATGAGGGTCAATGTACATGAGTAGTTTAAAGTACCTGCCCCGTGTGCACCCAAACGCCCATTAGCAATGGACTGTGTAAACTCCCAAAAGATAGTTTAATGTTTAAATAAAGGGGGGAAATAAAGCTGACTATTTAGTACACTACAGCTGTTTCCATATCATTTGTTCATAATGAGCAAAATCGACAACCAAATTCAGGTTGTTGAGCTGTTAGGAAAAGCTATTAACCATTGCTTTGAAAAATTTATTAAAAATTACTGATATTATTATTTCTTTTTTTTTTTTTTATTTATTGAATATTCCACTCATAAGCCAAGATGTGTAATATTTTTTATTTACACAATAAATGATGTTCAAGAAAGCGCACACTAGATCTACTGAGTCAGATTTTAATTAAAGGGTGTCACGAAAATATCCACACTTTAATGTAAGTTATTGTAATAATAACAGAAAAGTTCATAAAAAAAATAATTTTAAAATATATCTTACACAACACCCCTGAAAAAAATGGTCTGCAGAAACACAAAGCTTCTAAATACTATTTTAATTTTATTTTTTGATCATGAGAAGCAGCAGCATAAAGCAAATAAGTAGCATTAAAATAATGTTTTTGAATATTTATACAAGCCTTGTTTGCATTTATAATATAATTAAATAAGGTTTAAAAATAGTTTTATTCAGGGGTGCCACAGAAAACTTTACAGATTTCGTGTTGAACTGTTTTTGAAATCTCTTTAATAATCTGTCGGTCAGAAATTTGAAACATTTCTGTGGCACCGAAAATTGGTTTTCTGGCAAAATTTGGGAGAAAGATATTTCTGTGGGACTCCCGATTATAATTGATTAATAAATTGAAATTCTTTTCAAACCAAAAATAAGTTTTTGCACGCCAAACTAAGTTTATATTGATAAATATATTATATTGATATTATCAAATGTTAGTTAAAAATTCGCAATTAATTACAAAATTTGTATTTTCTTTAATGTTTATTTGAAAAACTTAATTCATAAAAAAATATTGCCATCTTAGTAATTGGTCAAACATTAGAGGTTTCTCAAAATATGAATTAATAAAATGTCAGACTAAGCAGAAAAAAAAACATTTCTCTCTCATAAATAATTTGTATTTAAGCAAATCTTTATTAACACTTTTCTTTGCATTTCATTTAACGCAAGAGATTTTTCTGCGACACTTGGTTGAATTCTGGTTGAAATTTCAGTGACATTCTAAACCTTCCGATTTAGTTCTTCGGTATTTTAAAGAGCGCTGCGAGTACTTAACAAATTATTCAATAAGTCAAAGTCCTTATACAACCAAAGAACAACTAGGACCCGTGGGCGTTATTCACAACAACTGCTCAAACAAGTATTGAACCATCACCAACATTTTGTTGAGTTACCTTGAGCATATAGAATGAGTATTCTTTTTAATTCGTCGTATCAATGGAGTGGGGAGAGAACTAGAACTGGCTGGTTAATACTTAGTACCTTCGAGTATAAGGGCTTGTCGTTGCTGTGCATTCGAAATTAAACTAGTAAAATATTAATGGGAAACAAAATGATTGCTATACAAACTGAATAATCTTATATTCCCCCTCCCCCCACCTGTGTGTGACGGACAGTGGCAGACCTGCACCAAGAGCATTGCATATCTAGTCTATCGCTGGTTTATGGCACTCTTCTTCCTGGGCGTAGTGATTGAATCCATGTTGCCAGTTGCCACTGATAAGGGCAGCTATTGGCTATATTGTATCTATATGACCAATTGGGGCATTTGGTTGTGCATGCTCACAAATATGCTGGGCGCCATTTTGGTCACAATATGGCACTATCATCCGGAATATGCGGGTAAGTATACAAATAATTTGCTCTATAATTTAAATGCCATTCGACTAATGGTTTCAATTGCAGATAAATTGCTCAATATGCAGGCCTGTTGTAGTCCCTTTCGCATTTACTGGGGCATGCACATCATAACATTGGTGCTCTCGATTGTCATAACCATTATCTATTGGAGTATACTCTACGATGGTAAGTGCTTTGGACTTCTTACATGACAACGTATGCGGGAAAAGGGGGCATATTTCAATAAACAAGTTTTTAAATCTGGAAATAATTGGCATTATTTCGATTGCGATTGTACTTTTTTCCTCTAATTGAATTTTACAAATACATATAAAGTGTTTTGTTCCATATGGTGGGAGAAATAAACAATAAACAGATTTTCTAAAATACAAGAATATGTAATATGCCATGCATTATTTAATTTTTAAAGTAACACTCAAAAATAATTATTACATTTTTAGTGGGTGATTAAAACTTAAAAAATATAAATCATGGTGAAAATGGAAAGATAATCTTTAGAAAAGGATATCTGTAAAGACCCCGCTTTCTCCAAGTTACTATAAGTGAATGATTTTTCGTTTAAAAATAACAAAATAATCATTATTTGCAGTTCCCGTTTTTTTCCATATGTTGCATAGATTCGATTTTCTAAAATACAATACAAACATATGCCATGCATTATCGCCGAAGATGTAGGATAAATGTGGGATATATTTTAACTAATTACTAAAATTCCACTTGTAAAGCGAAAAATTATATTTCTGGCGATTTTTAAAAGAAAAAAACTTAGCTTAAAAGACTTTAGAAAGAAAATTACCTTTCTAAAAAGCACAGAAGTTCATTTAAAAGAAAATATTGTCTAGGAAATGATTTGCAAATAAATTATGATTGAAAAAAAAACTATATATATTTTATGCGAAATAATTCTCTGAGACAAACCAATTTTTTCTTGTATTTCACGATTTTTCCAATAGAGAATCTTTTAAACATTCTTTCAAAGAAGAATCTTGCTAACAGAAAGCTATTTAATTTAGTTTTAAAGATGTTATTGTCCTGGAATGCGCTTAAACCTAATAAATTGAATGGTGTTCCGTATAATTAAGATTTTAAATAATAATATGGGTTCGATTCAAAAACATTTTAACCGGTTCTGGATTGTAAAATACTGAATATATTTAAAAGAAAATAGTTTCTGTTATTTGTCTCAGCTACTTATTTCGCTCTAGAAATGGACGCTACAGCTATAGCGGCAAAAAGAAAGACAAGAAGATACACATATATTAAAACACTGGGCAAAAGAAAAAGAACAAAAGTACTAGATACTGTTTTATAGGGACTGATCTATCGTGTTTAGTTTTATTCAAGTAAGAAAGGTTTATACATGCAACAACCCCTCATACTACAATCTAAAATTGTCTGAAGTTACATTTAGGAATGACTGCTAAATAGTTCAGTTAAGATTGCGCAAAATCTTTCCTTTTATGGCAAACTTCTAATATTTTTTATAAATTTTTATTTTTTCTATTGTTTCTATTCTAAAATCGAATTATTTTTATAACTTTCCAGCGAACGAAAGCATCTTAGATGCCACGAATGTGCTAACCCATGGCTTCAACTCCATTTGCATGTTCATTGATTTGTGGATTGTGGCGCATCCTTTGCGCCTGCTGCACATGTTCCTTCCAGTATTGTTTGGCATTATCTATGCCATATTCTCATATATCTATCAAATTTGCGGCGGCATGAACAAGTGAGCACATTTGCCATCTAACTAAGAGCATTCAGCTAATGAAGTTTGTTTCGCCTTCCACAGAAAAGGCAAACCCTACATATATCATGTCATCGATTGGAGAGAGCCGAACAATGCTCTGATTACCGTTGTGGCTGTCCTTGTGCTGTCCTGCTGTATTTATGTGCTGCTCTTTGTCTTCTTCAAGCTGCGAATCTTTCTCTTTCGACGCTGCCATCAGAGACGTTTCGAGCTGCCCATCAGTGGCAAGAAGAACGGCAAGGTTATGGACACGAAGCCAACATCGAATGGAATACAACACTCGCCCTCAAGAATCTCAATGGTGCTGGGAAACTATGCAGGCTATGATAACCAGGGCTATGCTCCCAATGGTGAGCAATATGTGTTGAAGAAATGAATAAACCGACTGGAGGCCGAACAAAAGTATTTTGTTATACTACATAGTACTGTATTAGTCCAATTGTACAATAGAATTTTTGAACAGTGATATTATATATTATATATTTTAAAGAAGTTAATGTTAGGCAAATAAATTTTAATCCCAAAGTCGAATTCATTTTTATCTATTACATCTGCATAATATACACACATTTGCCCAATCATGGGTAAAACCCATTCAAGTACGGATCATTTCCTATCCACCTGCCTAGTTCCCAGCACAAATATTAAGAAATTTTAAAATTTCTCTCAACATTGGAACTTTGACGCCCTGAAATCAATATTTACATTGAAGCGAACAATTGAAAAATCCAAAAGCTTACATTTAATATTCCACGAAATAATTAAAAAGGCAAACTTAGTACGAGTATTGTCCTGAGAACTGTGCAGTTGATAATGAAAAATTCAAGTGTTGAACATTTGATGAAAAGGTTAAGGGACATGTGGGTGTGCGTGCACTGAACACACAATGACAAAATTGAAGGGACTAGTCGGGTTACAAAAAAACCCACAACTTTTGAAAGCTTTTCAAGCAATCAAGCGCCCATCGTCGCATGTCGCTGGGGAATGAAAAGAATAGAATGGTAAGGGGAACAAGTTGTGTAAATATTTTACACAAGTCTCTAATCGCCTTTGAATGAGAGCATTAGCCTAAATTATAGCAAAGCCCAATGCTAGAAGAATCTAAAAGTGTCCATGGTCAATGGTTAAGGCGAAGCTATTTCTGTTCCAAATGAGCCTAATTTACCAAGTAAATTATGTTGAAAATCAATACAAACATAAGTACCAATGCACGCATGTTAATATAAGCAGATAATAATCTTATGTTATCTACAAGTTATCTGTCACTGTTGCATACGAATGTAAGCATAAAGAATATGTATAGCAAAAGTGTCAGTCTCCAATAAAACTCTAAAGCGAACAGACGCACGGCGGTCCGCGACTATTGTCTTTTACTTTACTCCTACTGAGCCCTTCCCTTTTCAGCGAATATATAATCTATTCAATAGGTTATGGGCCCAGGGCATATAGGCTCATAGGAGAAGTTCAAAGTATTGTGAAATAGTAATCGTTTGGTGACTCAAGAAATATAACATTTAAAAAATGAGTGCGCTATATCAAATAGACAAATTGGAAGAGCATAACTATGACTCATGGAGCATACAGATGCGATCTGTCTTAGTGCACGCGGAATTGTGGAGTGTGGCATCAGGTGCTGAACCTAGTAATACTGAGAGTTCAAGGCCAAAAGATGAAAAGGCATTAGCAATTATAACGCTAAGTGTAAAAGCTTCACAATTGGGCTTCATTAAAAATTGCAACACTTCGTACGAGGCATGGAAAAAGTTAAAGGACGTTCATCAGCCGAGTGGACCTGTACGGAAAGTGTCGCTGTACAAGAAATTGCTAGGCAAACGCATGTTTCAAGGCCAAAGCATTTCAAGTTACATACACGAATTTAACGAAATTCTGGATGGTTTGTGTACAGTTGGCATCGAATTAAATGATGAGTTAAAAACAATCGTGTTGTTGTCAAGCTTGCCCGAACCATACGAAAATTTTGTCGTCGCCATTGAGACGCGTGACAATTTACCGTCATTTGATGTGTTATGTATCAAGCTGATGGAAGAGGGAGAGCGCAGAGGCAATGCAGATGGAGAGAGCGAGAATGCAAGAGCATTTATAGCTACGCAGCAGATCGTCGCGCATTCCAAAGCGAATTCAAAAAGGAATTCAAAAATCGTCGTTTGCTACAACTGCGGCGAAAAAGGGCACTACAAGGCACAGTGCAAGCGTGAGAAAATTCGCGGTGAAGGGAAAAAGCAATCGACAAAGAAAGAGATGGAAAAGCAGAGCAGCTTGTTAAATGCGTTGGACGTTGGAAAGATAGAGAACAACATGTGGTGTCTGGACAGCGGAGCAACAAGCCATATGTGTTGCGATAAGACGTTATTTTCAAAATTTATTGCGCACACTGAAATGATCGGTTTAGCTGACGCTGGTTTCCTGAAGGCCGAAGGCAGAGGAGAGGTGAAGTTACAGACAGAACTTTGTACCTTGGTGTTGTCAGATGTACTGTATGTACCGAAAATGAATGGCAACTTTATGTCCGTCAGCCGGTCAGTGCAAAAGAACAATGTTATACATTTTGGGCCACATTTTGCTAAAGTTATACAAAACGGCGAGTGTATACTGAAAGCGAATAAAGTTGGGAACCTTTATATGTTTCAAGGCAAACAAAATAGGTGTTATTCCGCAACTGAATCAGATGGTACATTGTGGCATAAGCGTTATGGCCATTTAAATTTTACCAGTCTGAAGGAAGTGATCAGCAAAGAGCTAGTGCGTGGTATTGGAAAGGTTTTTTTCCCAGACAACTTGAATTGCAAAACGTGTATGCTAAGCAAAATACATGTACAGCCATTCCCAAAGGTAAGCACTAACCGTGCCGAAGAGCTGTTGGAACTGGTTCATGCTGATGTATGCGGCCCATTCGACACGAAGTCACTTGCTGGATCCAAATACTTTCTGACCTTCATCGATGACAAGTCCAGGCGTATATTTGTTTATTTTTTGCGGAAGAAAGATGAAGTGTTCAGTAAGTTCGTCGAATTTAAAAACTTGGTTGAACGGCAAACAGATAAAAAGCTCAAATGTATTCGAACCGACAATGGAGGCGAGTTTGTCAACACAACATTCAACGGTTTCCTGAAACACCATGGTATTGCAAGGCAATTGACCGTGGCTTATACTCCGCAGCAGAACGGCGTGGCGGAAAGAGCAAACCGGACATTAACGGAGATGTCCAGATGCTTATTGGTGCAGTCGGGCCTAGGCGAGTCTTTGTGGGCCGAAGCAGTCAACACAGCAGTATACATAAGAAACAGATCACCTACCAGTGCACTGAACAACCTGACTCCAATGGAAGCGTGGACAGGTAAGAAACCCTGTGTTAGCCATCTAAAAGTTTTTGGTTCCATTGCAGTTGCACTTGCAAAGGGTCCCCGTAAAGGCAAATTCAAACCCAAAGGGCATGAGTACCGTATGGTTGGGTATTCGGTAGCAGCCAAAGGCTATCGGTTATACGACCCAGAGACGAGGACGATTGTCGAAAAACGAGACATTCTATTTGATGAGCGTTGTGGTGGTCATACCAATGAAGATACCGTTACGGTAGATTTTCCTGCATGCGAGGTTCAAGAGCATGTCACTCACACGGATGGTGACAGAAGCATCGACGACGATGACAGTGAGCACAGTTCTGACGACAGCAGCTCCAACGCATATGAGAGTGCAGTCGAAAAAGAAGACTCTGACGAGGATACTGTGAAGATTGGGCCAGGCCGGCCTAAAATTGTTCGAAATGGTAAACCTGGTCGTCCAAGAAAGCAATACAATGTGCTTGGAGCATTGGTTGCTAGTGACGTAATGGTTCCGACATCCTATGATCAGGCCGTTGGTAGCACACATGCAGTATTCTGGCAAGAGGCGATGCAAAAGGAATATCAGGCACTACAATCAAACGAAACCTGGCAGATGGCTGATTTACCAAAAGATCAGCGAGCAGTTGGTTGCAAGTGGGTATACAGCCTGAAACGTGACTCTGATGGAAAAGTCGAACGTTTCAAGGCACGACTCGTTGCTAAAGGGTGCTCCCAGAAGTATGGCGTGAACTATGTAGAGACGTTCTCACCCGTTTGCAGATTGGAAACCGTGCGGTTTATTTTGGCGTTAGCAGCGGAATTGAAGCTGTACCTTCACCAGATAGATGTGTGTACCGCCTATTTGAATAGCGACCTGCATGAAACTGTTTATATGAAGCAGCCACAGGGATACACAGATCCCAATAATCCAAGTAAGGCTTTATTGCTTAAAAAGGCAATATATGGATTGAAGCAGTCGGGGCGCGAGTGGAACTCCAAGCTCGATTGTGTACTACAAGGCATAGATTTTGTAGCATGTGAAAATGAACCGTGTCTTTACAAAAGGAACGGAAGAGGTGACTTATCATTAATCCTTGTTTATGTTGATGATATAATTATAGCATGCCGATCAAAAGAGGACTTGGCCAACATCAAGTCAGCCATTACAACATCGTTTGAATGTGTTGACAAGGGAGAGCTGCATTTGTTCCTTGGCATGGAAGTGCAGCGCGACGGTGAGCTTGGCGAAATTTCGCTAAGCAATTCGCAATACATCAAAGACATATTGCGTGAACATGGATGCGAGACCTGTAGACCTACAGCGACCCCACTGGATGCTGGTTTCCAAGTGATATGTACCAGCGGGCATTGTCAAAAGGTTGACATTGCATCCTACCAGTCTTCAATTGGCGAGTTAATGTGGCTGGCGCTTACAACAAGGCCAGACATATTGCATTCCGTTGCCAAGTTAGCTCAACGGAATCAAGATCCGCATGCAGAGCACCTAGTGGGTGTAAAACATGTGCTTCGATACCTGGCGTCAACTGTGGACCTGAAGTTGCACTACAAAGAGTGTGGACAACCCCTTACCGGCTATGTGGATGCAGACTGGGGTGGCGACCGCATCGATCGCAAGTCGTATACTGGCTATGTATACTACTTGGCTGGAGGACCCATATCCTGGCGATCTGAAAAGCAACGCAGCGTGGCACTTAGCAGCACGGAGGCGGAGTATATGGCTCTTTCAACTGCGTGTAAGGAGGCCATATACCTACGGCGTCTTATAGTGGAGATTGGCTGCGGTGACTCGAGTACTCCAACTATTCTTCATGGCGATAATTTAAGTGCTCAACAATTAGCTAAGAATCCTGTACACCATGAAAGAACAAAGCATATTGATATTAGATATCATTTTGCAAGACAGGTTGTAAACGAAGAACAAATTGTTTTACAGTATACATCAACCAATGAAATGATAGCTGATATTTTAACGAAAAATCTCCCTAAAGCGAAGCATGTTCATTTTACAAAGCTGTTAAATTTGATTTGAAAATTTTTGTAAAACATGTTTGCATTGAGGAAGGGTGTTGAAAATCAATACAAACATAAGTACCAATGCACGCATGTTAATATAAGCAGATAATAATCTTATGTTATCTACAAGTTATCTGTCACTGTTGCATACGAATGTAAGCATAAAGAATATGTATAGCAAAAGTGTCAGTCTCCAATAAAACTCTAAAGCGAACAGACGCACGGCGGTCCGCGACTATTGTCTTTTACTTTACTCCTACTGAGCCCTTCCCTTTTCAGCGAATATATAATCTATTCAATAAATTAAATAAATTAGATGCAAAGAAATAAATTATTTAATCATTTTAAATAGGAGCCTAAAAATACTCACATAACATAACAGTAAAACGAAGTTAAGCCCAATAATTTTTAAAAAGAAATATAATAGTTACCTTCTTCAAGCTGAGAATTGTAAAGTATAAGCTATTTAGTAGATGCCCTTAAAAAGGAAAAACAGCTTTTAAATCAATCGAATTATCACAAGTATACTAATTATAATGGATTAATATTTAAGCAATACCTTTATAGAGACTGTAAGAATTGCTCCATTTTCTGATTCCATAAAAACACTAATAATAATGAATCGAAAGTATAAGTACAAATAAGGCCTTAAATAAGTTTCTTTTGTTATTTATTATTTAACATTGACAAAACACTCGAAATTCAATTTAGAGATTATTATATTAAAAAATAGCAACAGGGTATAAATTTCAGAAGGCTTGGCGATCTTAAAAGCCTCCCTACTTATAATAAAATTGGTCACAAAAATCAACAAACCTCCAAAGAAACGAGGAAATCAAATTTACTTTTGTGATTCAAAACATACATAGTAGCGGGTGCTAAAAAGTTTTTCTTGATCAGTGCAGTACTTTAAACTTCTTGTATAAAGAATAATAAATAATTTTTATAAAGAAAAGCGTTGGAATAAATATTTTTGAAAGGCTAATAGGCTCATAATTGATTTCAAAATACAACAAATAAAGTGAACATCACTTCTTCAACGAATATTTAAAAAATAGTCGTTTAAGTAGTTTTCTTCTGCAATTTGTAATGTTTGTATAACTAGTCTAACAAATAGATGAGCTGTCCATCATAATTGGGCCACCAGCTCACGCAGGTCCTTACTCTTTCAACACCTCTACATACTATATACTCTTGTGTTTGAACTTTTGAAAACATTTAGTCAAATGGCATTAATCACACAAACCCTCCTCTTAGTTGGTTTAACCCCAGGCACGGGGCTCAGCCCATCATAGTTCTATGAATCAATTGACCTAGCTAGACTGTTGGCCTCATGTTAAATACGCCATATTAGAGAGTGTGTGTGTTGGCTATTAATTACGTTTCAAAGAGCGTTTAATAAACAGCCGAAAAAGCTCTGAGTAAAGAACCCAAGGCCGTTAACCAGAGACAATGAGGACAACTATGACGAGCACCAGAGTGAGCGAACAAGAGAGCGATTCAGGGCTGAAGGCTGTGGTCATTGGACAGGCCGAAGGATTATTATTACGCATAAGCTGGAAATTCAATTACTAATACTATGACAGCTCGCACAGATTGGTGGATTGCTGGATTGCTGGAGTACAAGTGTCAATGTCAGTCTTTGTTGTCCTCGTCGGCCGCACGACACGACATGTCACAGCTCCTAATAACTATTACAACAACAACAACAACAAAAACAAGCTGAGCTTCGCATCTATGTGTGGATCGATAAAAGACATTTGATCGATATCGAAACTTCCCCGAGCTACGGAGTCTAAACACTTTTTCTGTTTTCGAGGGGAGGGGAAGGGCTGGAAAAACTCGGGCACCTCTCACCTTCAGCAACTTTTAATAAAACAAATATACAGGGAGGGGGGAGAAAAACTTAGAGTAGAATTTTAATTGAGCACGCTTTGGAAATGCGGACAGCTGTCAACTGTCAACGTGGCATAAACACAAAGAACTACGTTGTAATTAGCCGTAATTAAGAGTTTGAAATATTAATTGAAAGCCACACGATTTCCTTTGTCATCAGCGACTCACTTGATTGTTAGCCCTGTACCTGCCTGATGGGTTCTACGTGCGCCATGATTGTGCAATTGCATTGCAATCAAGAAGTAATCAAGCGCCTGAAATCTGTTTTGAAATGCCATGAACCAGACAGATAGGTTCGCTGGCTACCATAGTCCAGGATGTGATCATAGATAAACAAACAATTTCTAAACAATTTCATTTTAAAATGCATGGCAAATGCTTTTCTTTGTTGCCTTAAGAACATTACAGAGATATAGTTGACAGATAATATAATTCGAATAAATGATTGGATAATGCGTTTTAAGTATGCCTTTATTTTACACCTTGTGCAGAAAAGTGGAAAAATGGCAAGAAAACGGTTCAAAATAATAGACATAGAATAGAAAAGACAGACAACATTCTTATACGAATGCTTCAACTAGCCATTTCCTGTATTTTTATTTATTTATTTCATCAACATCAACAAGCAAATCTGTCGATGTACAACATATAAATACAATAGATAAATACAATAGATACAAGCTTTATAAAATTAAAGCATAAAAAATTCTATAAAAATTAAAATAATATCTAATAACCCAACAAAAAAGAAATAGGGATGAAGAAATAAAAATAAAAAAACAACTAAAATGAAATTGGAATATATAAAAAATAAAATACATATAACAATATAATTAAAAGGTAAAAAGAGCAGAACAACTGATCCGGTGGTGAAATAAAAAAGTCCATAGAAAATACAATAATATCTAATAACAATAACAATAATATCTAAGCAATAATATCTATTAACCTAACAAAAAGGAAATAGAGATAAAAAATAAAAACAATTAAATGAAATTGGAATATTAAAAAAATAAAAGAGAACAATATAATTAAATACAGAAAGAGGAGAATCACTGATTCGGTGGGGAAATAAAAAATTCCTTAACAAATACGATAATATCTAATAAAAATAATATCTAAACAATAATATCTTTTAACCTAAAAAAAGGAAATGGAGATGAAATAAAAATAAAAAATCAAACATAAAATTTAATTAAAATAATAAAAGATGTAAAGAAACAGGTAGGGGAAGGTCCGGAAGGCTAGATTCTAAATTTGTGGCCCGCACGGCGGTTTTTGCTGGAACAGCTGCAAGTCAAAGGATTTCTTTACAATAAAGCTGCCAAGAACAACAACAACAACAATGACTCAACTAAGCTGACAGCAAGAATATAGTAACAACAACAAAAACATTGTGGCAGTGACAACAGTTTTTGAAAGCGATGTGGACCTACTGGCCGGGGTGGTCGATCGAGTATTTTGTTTGGGTCGCATAAACAATTGGCGGCCAGCAACGGGCCCACCACGTGCACCCATGTGTGTGTGTGTGTGTATCTGTGTGTGTGTGTGAGAGAGAGTGTGCATATGTGTAGTGGTTAGGTGCGTGTGTCAAAGTTTTCCATGCCACGCAAAATCCCGTGGAATTTCGAAACTCTTATGAGAGGCATTGACAAACTGCCGGCGAAGCAAAACAAACCACCACCACTAGCCACACAAATGTCCGCCTACACACACACTAATACACTCGCATACATACACACACACACACACACACTGGCAATTGCAGGTGGAAAATGGTTGGAAATCATAAAATATGCATTAATTGGAAAACGCGAGCACTCGCCTTCTCGGCTTCTAATGTAAAAAGCGAACCATTTGTCATTTTTGAAACTCAGTTTCGTTTCGGACGCTCGAGGAGCCGAACGTGAATGCTCTATTCTATTTATTAGAAATACTATAAGCTGCATAAATCAGAGCTGGTCGCTATGTAGGCATGCAGTGTGTGTGCGTGTGTGTACGTACATCTGTGTGTGTGTGTGTGTCATGTTTATAAAAATAAATGTAACCCAGAGATACGAAAGTACGAGTACATAGTAGACATTTGTATCTTATGCGCATGTGTTTTTCCTGGAGTTGCAACAACTTGTGGTGAAGGAATGTGAAAATGGCTCCAAAGCAGTTATAACAAATTGTAGTATTATTGAATTCAATTGAAAACACCACAAATAATTATTGTTAGAAAATAAGCGACCAATAAACCAATTTTAGTTGAAAGTGCGGCGAGTGTAGAAAGGAAAACGCCATAGCAAAAATTCTGCTATACTGGCCACCGAATGGATAATGGGTATTTGTTTAGACACAGGTGAGTAAATGGGTAATACGAGTTTACTCCCAAATTATCCAATACAAAATGAGATGGTCAATCAGCAGTTAATTAGCAATATGAGAGCGCACAAAACAGTTTAAATTATTTGTTAAATTCAACAGCTAACATACAAGTATTATGAGCAGTTGATAAAAGAGTTTGTTTGTTTTTTTGGCTTACAACTTACCCCATTAATGGGCTGTGCTTGCCGGCTCCAAATATATTTTGTAGGACCTTAAAAGAAAAAAAGGAAAATTATGAAATGTGCGAGTCTTGAAACATCTTTGCAGACAGAAAGAAGATTTTTCTATAACCTAGTGTTTTTCAATGATATTCCGACAAAGAACCAAAAAAGAAAACACATAGTTGATGAAATGTTTGAGAGTTGAAAATCTTTGCAAAGATGAAGAAAACATTTCTAAATCCTACTGTTCCATCGAGAATCAGACAAAGAACAACACAAAAAAAACCCACATAGTTGATAAAATGTATGAGAATTGAAACATATCTGCCGAGATGAAAAAAACTTTTCTAAAAACCTACAGTTCCATCGAGAAGCTGACATGTTGTTTCTAGCTTTTGTTTCCATATTTTCCAGCTTTTGCACAATTCTTTTGATAAAGTTTCCTGTTTAGAGGGTCGCGGAAAGGTTTATCGAACTAGTTCTATATACAGTTGGATACTTTATTCAAAATTACTTTTCCAAACATACATATTGTAGGATATTTTAGCAATTCCTAAAGCATGCTGTTTTGAGTAAACAATTTAAAAAAAAGTTAAGCAAGTTTGAGTCAAAATAATAATTGACTTTTACGAAATCTTGAAAAATTGCTGTTCCTATAAGTGTGGCTCCAACATTCGAATCAATTTTATAGCAGTTTTGCGTGCCGTTTAATAACAAAACTTTACAATACTCGTAATAGTCTTCGAAACCAACATATGGATTTTAAATTCGAAACGCCTTTTGAAACCCGCCATTTATTTGGCATTGGTATTCCATTCTATGGAACAATATTTATTTATGGTTCTTAACTTTAAACGTATTATTTCTAATATTGAAATCGAAGCGATGTTTTCGAAGCTATTTGAATAGCCATTCTTTTTGAATAAATATGTTAGAATATATTTTACATTTTTATATTTTATGTGAAAACAATACGTTTGTAAGATATTTATTCGTTGCTCACCTTATATCGTTCTTCCCAATTTAAATATAATATTGTATATAATACAAGTATATATATAATTGTTGCCAAGAACTGCAGTGGTTTTCTAGACATTTTTAAAAATGACTCTTAGTTTTTTATTACTTAGTTTTTCCATATAATTACTCTAAATAGCTATTTGTATAGCAATTATTTTTGAATAAATATGTTATAACTATGTTTTACATAAATATTTGAAAACAATACGTTTGTATAATAAGTATTTATTCGGTGCTCACCTTATATCCTTATAGGGTGGAACCCCTTTAAATATCTTATAATTGTAACCAATAACTGCAGTGGTTTTCTAGACATTTTTAAAAATGACTCTTAGTTCCATTTCTCTATATAATTACTCTAAACAAGTTGAAAGGTTGCAGTAAAGGTGCAATTGAAAACCGGACTATATATCTGTACTGAACCATCAATATTTTAGGGCACAAGCAAGGCCAAATTAAAGTTTATTGCCACTTATGTGCTGTCCACGAAGCGACATTATGTGCATTAATGGTTCAAGTATCCAATTATTTGACCTTCGTTAAATGAATAATAAATACATTTTATAATAGTACTACCCATATACATATAAGTATATATTCTTTCTGATGATTATTTTATAAGCTTTGCTCAATTACCGCCTCCAATTGTAATCAGTTTCCTGTTCAAAGGACCTTGGGCCTCACCCACATTTGTTTTAACTTTAAGCGGCCAGTCGGCCAGTCAGGTCCTTGGACATGTGCGTTGACCACTACGGGTAAAAACTAATACGCCCACTCCCCTGAGCCACACGGAACGCACGGATAAATGTAAGAACTACGCTCCGTTGTCATAAAAGACAAAAAAGAGATAGCAACAATAACAAAACAACATGTCAATTAAGTAAAACTGCAGGAAAATCAATAAACCTGCTAGGGACAGCGGGGAGGGAAGGGAAATCGGAGGGAACTCCGGACAAATACTGGAAAATGCGCAAAAAGCGGCGTAAGCACGTGAGTTGCGGACTGAGTGGGGTGGAGGGAGGACGAACCTTGCAAGTAGTGGGCCAGCTGATTTCCCATTCACCGGCGGCATGAATGAGATTTGTCGCTGATGACGTAATGCCTGGATTTCTGCATTCAATGGCCGGCAATTAAATAATTGTGAAATGTGCGGCTTAATGATATATGGGCAGCAATTTGTTTTCCTTACATGCGTTGCGGGGCGTAACGGAAAAACACGCCATCCCCGGCAGCACCACCAGCACCACCACCACCAGCAACAACAACAACAGCAGCAAAGTTGGCCAATTCCCTTTGGCCACAAATGACTTCCGCCCGCATTCCTGCAGTAATGTCCTTCAACACGTAAGGCAGTTGCTCTGCGCCTGGCCATACAGTTCGCCATGTTTTGCTAAGTTGCCAACACATCCGGTTTCCGTTTTTGTTGTTGCTGGCAAAATAGTACACTGCATGCAACATGTACTCTGACAAATCAGACATCATGGGTGTAAAGGGTTCAAGTCAAGTGCATGCTACTAGGCCTAGAGAAAACAAATCTATTTTGCAATAAAACAAAATGGGTAGAAAATAAAATTTGTTTCAATTAATAAAGCAAGAAACTCACTGAGCACATATCCAATTATTTCTCTAAAATATCACTTAATGTGTATTTAGAATATTGCCTTATGGTTCAGGAAAATCAAAATGCATTAAGATTTTTGCCCACTCAGAGATACAATTCGGATAAATGCGGCTCACCTTTCTCATAACATAATGGTTAATTTTATGAATTATGAATCAATAATATAGGAATGTAGATTGCTTTAAAGATACCATAAAATACTATATTAATTATATTATTATTAATTTTTTTAAAACTACCTATTAAATTTGTCAAATTGGACACGATAAGTTATTCAAGGACATTCAATCTCAGCCAAAAAATATCACATGATTATTTTGATAAAATATATGTATTTGGTAGAAATAGTTTCAATCACCAATCTCATATTTATTGTTTATTAATGGTTGTTGGTTCTTAGACAACAAACACAAGGGATAGATACATAAACGACCATCAGAAGAGTCTACATACCAAGTTTGGTCAATATGGCCTCATCAGATTTCAAAATGGAGGAGTTCATACAGACAGACGGAATTGTTTAGAAAGAAATGCAAAAGAAAAAAATCGCTAGTGAGATGCTATTTTTTTTAGGCTATTTTCGGGTCAAGTTGTCGTGTTCAAGAAGTAAATGTTTAGTTGTTTATAGAAAGTTTTTAGATAAGCTACGAATTAAGCAAACTTTTAATTTTGCAAATACACAACAAGTATAAGTATTTTGAAACTTTGATATAAAAACAGCTTTTTAATGCAGAAAAGAAACCAGGAAGCAAATAAAGAACATGTTCAATGCTTTTTAACTTAATGAATAAATAAAGAAAGTTTTAAATATAATTAATTGTACAACAAGAATGTAAAACACATTTAAATTAGATTTGTTATTATTTCATCCACAGTTGTATAGAGTTCGTGCTGCAATGACATTTTTCTCGAATATACGAATACAATAAGTAATGAATTATAGTATATAAATTTATGAAGAGCAAGGGAACAATTACGATAGAATGTCGGTGTAATGAGAGTCAGTTGTATACTTGGGTTCAACCATAAGCTTGAAGTTGGGATGCATATATTAAACGGGTTATAAGTACATGAAAATAAGCTTACGGGTCTCAATTAAAAAGCAATTGTGTTGTAATTGGCGATGCAATTGGCATTGGGGTCAACAATTTTTTGAGTAACAACAAAACAATAATAAATTTAGCTTCGAAAAGCAACAAATACGAACAACAAATGAATAAACAACAGTAGATAGTGTATTGAATGCACAAGAATTCTAGCCCTAACATACCTGACTATGTCAACATACTTATGCCAACTACGTTAGTTGCAACTGTTGCTCTCAGGTAGTTACAATAAGGGTCTGATAAGGGTTATTAGTATTTCGTCCCTAATTGGCTGTCAAATAGTGTTTGTTAAGTGGCATTGGTTGTTGGACTGTACATAGATGTGCATAGTATTCCCGTATTTGGTTATTAAATTATTCTTGTGTAATTTTTTCAGATGCCAGCGCGGCACAAGATACCGGCGAACCAGGCAACGATTGGAATCGTACACGGAATGGCCAAAATGGGCCAAACGGTACGACGGCGGCTGTCGATGGAAACGGACGCATGGGCTCTGGAAATATAGCCGCTATCGATATACAAAATGCTGGAAAAATCAAATTCGATCCACCCAAAGTGCCAGTGATATTTGTTTTAGGGGGACCAGGTAGTGGCAAGGTAACCCATTGCGACACCTTCATGCAGGAGCGACGCGGCATAACGCACATCAATATGATGGATCTGCTCCAGCAATATGCAATGGGAAATGGTAGGCGGGAGAAGCAGATCGGGGACTGTTAACTGTTGTTGTTAACGCAATTGTGCCATCCACAGATATGCAAGACTTTTCGCAATTATCATCGAAAACGGTGACCGAGGTGTTGATGTTGGAAATGAAAATGGCTCCAGCTGCCAAAGCATACCTTATATCGGGATATCCACGTTCCATGCGCGACGTCGTCGAGTATTCAGAGAAGGTAATTGACAGGGGAACACAAACACACCAAATACAACAATTGTATATACTTATATAGTATACACACACACATACATACTCGTACATCAGTAAAAGCTAATTTTGTCAACAATTGTCCTTGACCGCTTACGTTTGATTGCCTCGAGCCTGGGCAGTTAGCCTCAACCACACGTACTGACGCGATATTTATTATGAAATTCTTCCATTGCTCTGCTTCTATTTACACAAGAAATTATTGTTCAATTATTTGAACTAATTAACTGTCAAATACAAATGGGACGTCAGCTTGTTTGCTTCGTCGTAATTCCCATAAATTAAAACTTAACCACACATAATTCCCGCCCAACACGCATAACCTAATTTGATGTGCCTGGTCCACAAATCCAAAGAGGGCCTCGCTTCTCCGCATTTTAATCAAAAAAAAAAAAAAAAAGAAGAAGTGGGGACAGTGCCTAAGTACTCCTCTGAATCATTCAATATGGTTAGGCCTGCCAATAAGGTTGGAGCGCTTCAATTATTTATACAGTATGGGGAGAGCTTTATTGATGAATGAAAATATTGAATTGGATTTTGGTTATGACTTGCCACAATTATAGACACAAAACAATCTTCGAAATCACTGCTGTAATTGATTTATTTATATAGTATTTTGACTTGAACGCTAAAGACTTATGATTCCCAAAAAATCCCGGTAAACATATAATACAATGTCTAGCAGGTTTATATATTTGGAAAAATCAGTAATGCACGAAAATTTTTAAAAATTTGTTGTGTATATAGACAATTGGCCTAGCACTACGTTGTTGCTTCTCAAACAAATACGTTTTATTAATAATAATACACCTAATTTTATTATTATTAATAAAACGTATTTGTTTGAAAAGCAATTAAATATTAAAACGTAAATAATGAAATAGTTGAGACTTGAAGTTCAAACATAGAACTTTGCTTTACATTTATGAGTTTTTTAAATATTGTAGATTCGTTTTATTTATTTACTTATTTAAAATTAATAGCAAATGATACTGTCATTTTATATAACAAAGAAAGAGAAAACTTATAACATAAAAAAAGGGGGAAAAAAATAAATTTGTATTAAAAAATTTTTTTTTAATTTCAAAATACCCATTGTGATCGAGTAAAAATAATAAAAACGAGTCCAATGCTAGAGTATCCTATTCTGAAAAGCTATCCAAAATTACATTATTTAGTTGGTAACTAAAATGTATGAAGATTTCCAATAATAATAATATGATTTATACTTTGGAGGATCTGCTACACCGCTATTTGATTTTTTTTCCTTTTTAAAGAAAATCAACTATTAAAATCAGCATCTATACCTTCATACTTGTAAATATTTAAATATTCTTTACATCATCAAAAACCCGTCTGTTTAATAGTGTTTTGTTGAAAAAAAATCATAGTTGAAATTGCTGCGAAGTGCAAAAATAAGAACTGTTTTTAATAAGAAACTAATTTAGTTAAACAGTTTCTTAAATTATACTTTTAACTATAATTTCCAAGTTCAACTATTTTATTTATATTATTATCACCTGATCTTTCTTATAATGGCTAGTAGGGGCTAGAACTAATGCCCAACTTCTTTACTTAAATAAATACTTAAATTATATTGTTAACAATATCTTCCAAGTTCAACTATTGTATTATACTTGTAAGTATTATTATCACCTTTCAATGATCTTTCTTAAAATGGCTTTTGGCCTAGTGGGGGCTGGAACTAATGTCCATACTCTTCTTGTTTTGAAATAAGTATTTGTCGTTTAATAGCTGCCTTTTAATAAATGCTTTAGAGCCTTTTCGTCAGCTATAATTTGAAATATACTACATTACTTTATAATTGTTGCATTCCTTTGTCAAGGGATACTACCAAATATTAGAGATCAGCATTATTTGTTTTGAAATAAAGTTTTGAAATTGTGTATAGACAGAATTTGTAATTGCAAACAATATATTCTACTTATAATACCACAAATTGTCTGCTGTCTTTTTCAGATACAAGTTGTTAACGGCGTAATTCTCATATCCTGGCGACAATCGGTTCTGCAGAAGCAAATCGATTATGGTGCCAAATTAGGGCATGTTGTACTCTCCTTAGCCAAAATGGAATTGGAAAATTTCTTTAAAAATGTGATGCCAGTCGCTGATTACTTCGATCAGAGCGATATGCTATTGGCCGTATGTAGAAATGAATTGCCGTATCTCGATTGCCATGAACAGAATTTCTAATATTATTTTTGTTGCTCTTCGACAGGTTAATGGTGAACGCGCACCCACAGAGGTGTACAAAGATTTTCGCACCGCCGTTCTCGATATACTAAGCACGCTCGAGAACCAAGAGGCCATGCTAAATGGAGTTACAGGTATGGGAATGCATGGTATACCCGGCACTATTGTTAGCGTAGACACCGCCTCCAGTCATGCTCAAGCTCAAGCCCAAGCGCATCAACATCAAATTGCAGAAGCGATTCCGGCGCGACCAGCAACCACCACCACCACAACGGCGATTGCAGGGGATCGAAATGTCCCCAATGCTGTGATAGCCCATATAGCATCCAATGCAGCGGCAGCCGTCCAATCCGCCGGCGGCATGGTCAGCAGAAGTGTGGCGGCCAGCGCCGACGACGACAGCGGAGTGGTGATCACACAACAGCCAACACTTAGCCACGCAGGGACCAGCATGGATGCGGACGCCGAAAGAACTGTGCCACCCATTATCTGGGTGATCGGTGGCCCCGGCAGCAACAAGGTGACACTGTGCCTCAAGGCTGTTGGCCTGAATCCGGGCTGGGCACACATAAGGTGAGCAGAATTAGGGCCTAAAGCAGATTCATCGCATCCTATCGTATATACATACTTAATATTATTAATATTAATTAATTAATGAAGAGAGTTCAATGTTTGAGTAAAAGTAACGTTTGTATGTCCACCAAGGGAAGATAAAGGCAGAGTGTTAGTAAATAGGAGAGACTCCAATGTACCCCTTTTCCCCAACAGTCCCACAATTAAAACCCCCTCTTCTTGGATATTATAATAATAAGCGTTATTCTTTATACGGATCGGTACATATGGAAGCTATATGATACAGCGAACTACAAACTTTGGATTATAGAGAATTACTTTACAAAAGCTTTCAATGCCATTTCTAGTTGAAATCAGGGACCGCAAATAATGATTATGTTGTTTTTTTTTAAGCGAACAAATCATTCCCCTATAATAGCTTTGAGAGAACGAGGATCATATCAATATCCTTCATTTAGAATTATTTATGAATTTATTTTATTATTTATTTTATTACTGATTATTTACCAAGAACTAGAAATATCAATTTTTATTTATTATTTAGTTTTATGACAAAGTCTTCTCTACAACATTGCTCTGACTAATTAGCTTTTGTAAAAAAATAGTTAGTATTTGCGTTATCCTGTTAATATACGAGTACGATTGCGATTGATTTGGCACACCTTAAGTATTTAGTTTTTGTCATTCCAATACAGTGTGTTCTGAATGAAAAATTGCTTTTAATTTTTTAAGCGTTGGTCGTCTGCTCCGAAACATAACCGATTCGGCTCCTCGTGCCAATACCGAAAGCTATGCGGTGAAGGAAGCTCTGGCCGCTGGTGAAATGGCTCCCGAGAAGTCCGTGAATCAGCTGCTGGAAAGCAACTTGAAGCAGTTGAAGGACAAGACGGGCATCATCATAGATGGCTATCCGAGGAATTTGCAACAAGTTAAATATTTTGAGAACAAGGTAAGAGAAGAGAACTTGAAGTTTTATCAGCGAAACTTGAAGTATTGAAAAAACTTTTCCGATAGTACACACAACGTCCACCGATTATTTTGCTGGACTGTTCTAAGCTACAGCTGGGTCGAGGACGCATTGACGATACGGTGTCCTCGTTTCGACGGCGGCTGGAGCTGTTTCGCGAACAAACGCTTCCGATGCTCAAGCAGCTGGATGGAAGCAATCGTCTGCAAATTGTAAATGGATTCGCATAAATGAAAATGATATTCCGAGATATATAACAGTCGATTGCTTTACAGGTGGATGGAGATACGGACAGTCCGTCGGTGCAGCGGGAATTCGAGCGTCTCATACGGAATCACATACAGGCGCTATTGCAAAAGTCGGATGGCACGGATGTTTCGGCGCCGATGGGCAACAATGTGTTAAGGAATGAGCAGACAGACGCCATTTTGCATGATCTGGAGACGAATGTGCCGGGCGCTGTGCCAACAATTAGTCATCATGTGAGCATGATGAATGGCCACCTCAAGAATCGGGGCAGTGGAAAACATGCCACCAACATGATGAACGGAAATATCCGCACACGTCCGGAAACTGGACCCGTAGGAACGCCTGCTCAACCGCGGGATTTCAGGCATATCCTCGAGGAAGCGGAACGCTATCCAGTCGATTCGTATATGTAGACTTTAGATATATAAAGTGTACTTGGTTTATGCTCAACACACAAATCAAGCTCTACACGTATTTAGTAATTAATTATTTTTGTAGAAACACGAAACTTTAATCGGATTTGTTAAAATTTTGATATAAGCTTGAAAAGAGTATGCTGCGCATGTGATTGAGATTGGAGAAAAGTTTTATAGTTTTATATACTTATTAAAAACCTAGGCTATAAGGATCAGCATAAGATTGTTAATGTTGTTGGCTTGTTATGTGCAGATCTCGATGATCGGCAATTTTATTGTACGAGTATGTAGTTGAATAAGAATTTATTTAAGCGATATTTTGCATAGCGACATTTTGCACTCGAACTAGAGTTTCTATTAGATTTATAGGAATAGTCAAAGTAGTAAATATCTATTTGACAAAACTAAATAATGGCAAGTCGCATTGAAAAGGCTTAAATATTTGTAATTGTATTAAGAAGAGAAATTAATTTATGTATAAGATAAAAAGTGCTTATTAATAAAAAGGTGCCTTTTAATAAAAGGCAAAATGAAAACACACAATAACTTAAGTATTGTCGAGAAAACTCCACCGGAGAAAAAGGAAGAGTGAAAACGCTGCCTTCTTTTTGGGAAGCCCAGCTCTACTTTGTAAATACAGGGAGAGAGATAAAGGAAGAAGGATGAAGATATCGATCGAACTAGATCGACAGTAGAAAAGAATTTGCTATTATTAAAATATTTGTTGTTTAAGTCAAAACACTTTCTTTTACCTTACCTTGCGGACCTCATAGAATTTAGCTTGCTCTTTGTATGGGCATTAATTAATGAACAGATCTCGATGCTCATTTGGACTGATAACTGAACACGTAAATCACATTTTGATATTGGCAACCTTCAAAAACATATGTATTTAAATCACATTAACAATCACTTAAAAACAAAACAAAGGCACTGCGCAATTGATTTGAAATCACACGCTCCTACACACATACACAGCACATAAATCGCGCGGCAATTATACATTTGTTTATGTATGTTTATTCATAATTTTACTAATATTTAAAATATAAACCAAACGTTTTCTATTACTAGTTTTCGGCAACTATAACAAAAACAACACGGCGCATTCAAGAAGTTAAGCATAACTGAGCCTTGCTCTGCAGCTGCCCGCAGAATGCTCTCAAAAGAATGCAAAAGAGAAAGCAAAGAATCAAAAATCATAGCTCACAGCTCTCGCGCCTTAATGTTCTCTTTAAGAATGGAAAATAACTGTAAATTAGCTCTCACGCCTGTTATGCACATAAATCGCGCGGCAATTACACAATTTTTAACATACATACATATGTACATTATGCACATTTTACACATAATTATGTGTATTTACATGTTTGTATATAATTTTTACTAATATTACTAATAATTTAAATATAAACTAAAAGTTTTCTGTTATTTTTCCACAACTGCAATAAAAGACGACGCGACGCATTCAACAACTTAAGCAAAACTGAGCCTTGCTCTGCAGGTGCCCGCAGAATGCTCTCTTAAGAATGCAAAAGAGAAAGCAAAGAATCAAGAATCATAACTGTAAATCAGCTATCGTCCCTGAATGTTCTCTTTAAGAATGCAAAGTAGAAATCAAAGAATCAAGAATTATGTTAGTCAGCTCTCGCGGCCGCCGTATGTATATATATATGGATATTAGTAATATACTCACGCAAATTTGTTTGTTGATTCATAAAATTCGTTTGTTTATTTGTAATTTTCTTCTCATTGTTATGCTGCTGCACTGCATCGTGAGCAGTTCGTTTTAGGTAAACTATTTGTACAAAGAAGTTCCTGTAATTAACAACTGGATTCAAGATAAGTATTTGCGTACCTTGTACCCGCAGCATAAATAGTGTTGTATATTAAGTATACGCAGAGTATGTAGGAAGACTATAGAAAGCACTGAGGTGTTTCTTAAAGTAAATATATTCTTAATCAGAATGAAAAGAAAAAACGATAAAAGGGCTGTATGTTAAGTATACGCAGAGTATGCAAGAAGGCAATAGAAAGCACTGAGATGCTCCTTAAAGTAAATATATTCTTAATCAGAATGAAAAGAAAAAACGATATAAACATGCCCGTCTACAAAACAATTTGCCGTTCCCCTGTTGATATCAACACATATAATTTAGTGGAGGAAGTTTCCGATTTCGTTGTCGAGTTATCTCTTGTTAAAACTAACATTAAATTTGATCAATTAATTTTAATATTTTTGTAACAAACACAATACTTTTTGAGGTTCTTGTTGTGAATGCAGTTAGAGTCTCTACTGAATGTGGTCAGACGGCTGAAATCCATGTCCATATCCATGGTCTGGGACTTCTCCCTGTACTGCAGAGTTGCCTCAAACATGGCCTTGTTAGGCAACACCTCCAGACGTACGCGATAGAAGGTCACATCTGGGGGATCCATTGGCGATCGGCGCTTCCGCTGCGATTGTTTTATGCCGAAAAGACGGAGGGGACTGCACACTTTTGTCAGATTGTGCGAGGCCAAGAGCTGATTTATTCGTCCTACCACGAAATGGCACATGTCCTGAACCAAACTGCTGAGTGGCACGAGCTCGTAATTCTCGCAGGCACACCAATGCGCCTTGATGCCTGCATCTTGGCATCGGCGTTCCTTCGGCAACTCATAGAACAAGCTCTGGCAATACTTGCAACTTGGAGTGGGCAAGAGCTGAGGATCTGTTGCCACAGGCAACATGGTTAGATGCTTCAGGGTCATGTAAAGGTCGAAGTGCGAGCTCAGGCGATTGCGATTCGTTTGCAGGGCGCTTGCAAATCGCGGATATTGACGCTTGAACCACGGTGGCAGCGAGATGAAGAGCATAGGCAGACGTTCCTCCAATTGTCCTTCAGGCAGTCTGATAAGGTTGCCATAACGCATGCCATGATCGCTAAAGACTATCACTATGGATTCGTTATAAAGAGACATTGCTTCAAATTTTGTTAAATAGTTGTACAAGAACTGATCGTAGGCCGAGGGTCCGATATAATCGGCAGACGAGAAGCTGTTGGTCCAGAAGAAACCAAACATAGGCTGCTTTTTCAGATAGCGTTGCACAAACTTGGCGCAATACTCAAAGATATATTGCATGCCCGGCCGATGACCCAGACATTGGTTAAAGCCCCTGATGTCGAACTTTGGCAGATGATTCTCCAGGGCCAGCAAAAATGGGCGCAAATAATGATCGACGGGTGCATATTTAAAGCCAAGACGATAGTTATTAAAAGTGTTAATCTTCACACAATCCTCTGCCATTGCTGTCGTATAGCCTACGTATTTAAAATTCTTCCACACAAAAGGCAAACTATCCATGCAGCCCACATGCGTCTGATTATTCACATCACAGTACAGCTGGACAATGTCCTCCATGGAGTGGCCAGTCAGTGTGGCCAGCAGATTGGGAAACGTATTGTCGCCCACCTTGTTGAAACCCTGCAGCTCATGCCAGTTGCTGCTGCCACTGAGAAAGCGACTCACGCGTGGCAAGGTACGTCGCATATTGGCCCGGGACATCGAATCAATGCCAATCATGACTACGCTGGGCTGGCGATGGGCATCGGCTTGTCGCTCCAACTGCAGAAACTTTGGCTGCACAAAGGCCAGGCCGTCTTTAAAAAGCAGACGATCTGTCACGTAACTGGCATTTTCAAAAATCTCACACTGTATCAGCATGCTTTGTATATTTGGGGGCACCAATTGATGGTTCTTAAACCGGATGCCATGCAGTAGTCTACACAAACAGATATTCTTTTCAAATTGCAGTCTTCTCTTTGCACATGAACTAACCTGTATCCATTATCTATCTTTTTTCCTGCCAACTTGCCGCGCTGTATTTGTTGATATTGGCATAAGGTTGTTGGCGCCGACTTGCCCAGCAACTGCCTGGCCACGGACTTCTGCACATTGAGTTGATAGCGACCGTGTTGCGGATTCCAGCTGACAGTGACCAAAGGATCGAGGGACTTGCAGCTGCGCAGCTTCGATCTGTGCTTTGGACGCAGCGCTCGTATCTGCGGTGTTTCGGGGGCAACATATGGCATTTGACACATCTCTGTATTCACGTCGTAGCGCGGCTCAAATGCTTTCGGCAGCGTCTGATTTCCAATGACGACCGTGTCCTGGTAATTAAGGACTTGGCTCTGCACTCGTATTACAGAAATGAGAAGCACACTCCAGAAACAGGACATCACAATGCAGTTACATTTGAAAGCAAACTGACAAAACGAAGCACTAACGTGTCGGCAATCATTTAAGCCTAATTGAAGCATGCTAACGGATTGGCTAAGGTGTGTTGAAATTATACCCGATATTGTAAAATAAGGTGAAAGTTTAATACAAAATGCTAATGAAGATTATTTATTTATATATTGTTATATTTATTTATTTTTTTGTGAGCATTTTGAATGCTGGTTCGCAACCTTTTCGGTGACGAAACCAATAGCATGATAAAAGGCTAAATTTAAATTTAAATGATGAATGTACTCCAAGAATATTTTAAATGGAAATAGAACCGCGTTTTCTGCGGCTCTGCGGAAAGCTATCAATTTTTTTAAGGGGGTTTTTAACTATTTTAACTAGCTGTTTTTCCTTAATTTTTAGTGGATATTCTTGCCAGTTTCCAGTAGTTCTTCTGGTTATTAGCGGATTATTTATCCATTTTATATATATTTATAGCGATTTTGTATACATTTTCTTTCCTTTTTTGCATCAATTTTTAACTGAATTTTTCAATATCTTTAGTGAGTTTTCTAGCCTTTTAGTAGAATTACTTGATATTTATAGCAGATTTTCTAGCGAGATTTCTAGTCATTTTTAGAGAATTTTCTAGCCGTTTTCTATATGCTGATAGTTGTGTTTTTAGCCATTTTCTTCGATAACCGACAACTCCGTTTGGCAAATAAAATTCCTCCACTGAGTCGGATTCGTTATTAGATTATTAGCCTATTATTTATATAGGCTTTGTTTTTCTTTAGTTTTATCTTGTATAAATTCTGCATTGTTTTGATTTTTTTATCGACAGCTATGTATGTTTGTCGATAAAATAAAATAAAATAAAATAAAATAAAATAAAATAGGCATTTTCTAGCCATTCTTTTTCAGCCATCAATCATTGTTGAGTAAAGACTTTCCTTACCAATTTCAAAAATATTAATTCCAATTAAATCATTTCAATAAAGCCACAAAGTTTCACTTCACTGACACACAGAGGTTTTTTTTCTTTCGAGCTCGAGAGAGATAGAGCTGGAAATACGAAACCACTTCTCTATATCCATTTATACTTCTCATTTCTCCTTTCCAAATGCTTATAAAAATACTTTTTGGCAAGTTTAATAAAGAATTTCTTATTTAAAATACAACAAACAAACATTTCACAACATTTGTCACAATTAGCCAAATTTGCAAAATTATCTTTAATTTAGTGCCGACCAGAATTTTTGTTTACAAATACTCGGTATAAAATCAATAGCTACGTTTCAATAATTTATAGAGCTGTCTTGTCGACTTTGCGTGATGCTGTGGTTTGGTTTTGAGGCGGCACATATACACGACAAATGCAAAATTTCTTCGCTGTCTTGTCCTGCACGCACTTGGAGGTATTTTGATAGGAGCTGAGTCGACTTACGTCTGGCACGTGTATACGTTCCAAGAATTTCGTTTCCCGATTGTGAAAAACCGTAGCCTGGAAGCGGCCATAGGGAATGGTATGGAACCTCAAACGGAAGGTCGCAATGCTGCCGTACATCGTCTCCCTGCCATCCTCCTCGAATATGAGTTTGCGTTCGCATTTCTCCAAATCGGAGAGCATCAAGCGTTCGCAGGTTGCATTCGAATAGAACTTCATTAAATAGCCGTTGATGTGTGAGACAACGACCTTGGCCATGAGGTACATTTCCCCCGTTTTGGGAACCGAAATGAAAGTATTGCACGTACACCAATGCTCTGGTATATAGGCATCCTCACAGCTGCGATCCTTAGGCAGTGGATGAAGCAGGGAGCGACTGCTCGGGTACTTTTCTAATGGAGGCAATTCGAAAAATTCGTGTGCATTCAACTGCAAGATGTGCTGCAATGTGTAGTGCAGATCGAAATTGGAGCAGAGACGATTGCGATTCAGTTGCAGTGCCTCGGCATATTTTGGATAGGCATTACGAAACCAGGCTGGCAAGTAGATGTGCAGCAGAGGCAGGCGCTCTTCCAGAAAACCGTCCGACAGCTCCACCAGTTCCCCCACGCGTGCTCCCTGATTGCTGAAGAGCACAACTATAGCCTGTTCGAACAGCTGATGTCCCTCCAGCACACGCATATATTCGAGAAACTTGGCATCCAGACTAGAGGCGCCGTAGTAATGATCGTGCGTGAAAGAGGCCGTCCAAAATAAACCAAAAACTGGCCTGCCATGCTCCTCCATATAGCGCTGCACGAATTGGGTGCAGAACTCAAAGACATAACTGATGCTAAGCCTGCGACCGATGCAATAACTGTGCCCGAAACGCATATAGACCTTCATAAAAGCGGCAATTCCATGCAATAGGGTGTGCAGATAATGGTCCACGGGCACTTGGAGGAAACCCGGCGAAAATGTCGTGAAAATGCCACCACTTGGCACATCATCTGCGAGCGCAGTGCTATAGCCAGCCGCCTTGTACGCCTTCCAGATCCACGGCTGACGATCCAAGCAATCCGGCATGCGCCAAGAGCACAGATCGCCCATTTTTAGGCCAGCCAGTATGGGTAATAAATTGGGCAGAGTGCCGTCCGTAACTTTATTGTAGCCCTGCATTTCAAACCAGCCCTGTTGCTTAACAAACTTCGCCGTCTCCGGCATAGTGCGCTGAAAATTCATTCGCGACATGCAATCCAGACCGATCAGAATAACACTGGGCTGACGCTCAATCGTGGGTGTTGACTGAGGGGAGCTTGAGCTTAGGTTCACCTTCAAATCGATTTGGTTGCGCACTTGAACCAGAGGAAAGGCATCCTGCTGGATAATACGATCGATATTGTTGACGTCATGGCACTCCACAATTATGCCACTCATGTTGGTGGGCAACAGGACATCTTGCTGGAAGTACACCCGTGGATGTATTCTAAGGGCATAGCGTAATTAATTGGGAACTGTTTGTCAACAAAAAGGGGCGTAGAAGCGCTCCCAAATAGTTGTATAAACCCGATCTTTCAAATGAGCCACTCATTGTAGGAGAAGAACGAATAGAACAACTAGTTTGTTTCCCAAAAAGATAAATTCTAAAATACTAGAACTCCCAGCTGCATTCTCAGCACAAAGAGATGAAATAGACGGTCCCAAATAGTTTTATTGACCCCATCTTTGAATTAAGCAACGTTTTTGGGCTTACATCAGTGAAAGAAAAGTACGAATAGAACTAGAACAACTAGTTCGCTTCTCAAAAAGATTATTTCTAAACTACAACTAGAACTCCCAGCTCCACTATCAGCAGAGAGAGATAGAAAAGATGGTCCCAAATAATTTCATTAAACCGATTTTTGAATTGAAGAAGAAGAACGAATTGTTCTAAGAAGTTCATATGTCAAAGAGATTATTTCTAAACTACTATAACTATAACTTCCAGCTGCACTCTCAGCACAGAGAGATGGAAGAAATGGTACCAAATAGATTTATTAAACCGATCTTGGAATTAAGCTAGGTCTTTGGGTTTAGATCATTAAAGGAGAAGAACGAATGGAACAATAAGTTCGTTTCTTAAAATATTATTTCTAAGCTACTAGAACTCCCAATTCCATTCTCAGAACAGAGAAATGGAAAATATGATCTATAATTGAAAATAAAGTTTAAATACACAACATTCCGAAAAGTGCAGGTATTTTCATCAACCCGTACGCCCTACACACCTTAGATTAAACACATTAGCCTTACTTACTCGCTAAATCCACTATCATTTTCGTCTGGGGCTCTAGTCACGGCACGATAATAGCAGGCATAGGACGTCAGTCCTGGAACTAATTTAGGCACTAGCTTTTGATCAACATGTAGCCTATACTGCTGATGATCCGCATCGAACTCTACATTGATCACATCGGTTAGGTTGGAGCACGATTTGAACTTTGATGGACGGTATATGGCAAGCACCTCCGAGGAGAATGGATCTGGATAATGCATTTTGCACCTACGACTATCTACATAGTAGCTCTTTGGCTTATGTGCTCGGGATGTTGACTCGTCTGGGGCCAATAGAGGAATTGCTGCTTCTATCTTTAGTGTGGTGTGCTTCTGTAAGCTGCTGCTAATTATCTGTGATGGTGCCAAGTTCTCTGTTTCTTCTTCATCAAATATTATCCGTCGCATATGGGGACCCCAGCTCTGCATTTCTGCCAACTCATAGATGCGCGGACGACGTTTGGTTGGCGAGGGTACAATCCTATGGTCGAGCTGCGTAGATTGCTGGGGAAAGCTCTCCAGATTGTCATCTTCGGACTTTGTACGATAGTGATTGCAATATATAAAGATGAGTAGTAGAACGAAGAAGATGAGCGCGTATTTGCGTATTTGGAGCAATGTACGCTTTCTTATCATCTTTGATTCAGAGGATTTTGTTGCTTTTGTGTTGTTTAAAAATAGGGAATGTGTAACAGACTACTATGTAGCTTAAACGTGAAAAATAAAACTATCTTTCCATAGAAAATTAATACTTTTATTATGATCAGGATTATGCAAGACAATACTTTGTGTAACGAAACCGTAATTTTGATTCTTTCTCTTGATATGTATTCTATATTAAAAGGTAGTTTATATTGCATCTTCGTCACTAGGTGAACTCAAAAGAAGAACAATATTTTGTGCAACGAAACAATCATTTTATTTCTTCCTGTATATTCTATATAATGTATAATACCACTTCGTCACTAGGGTGGGCTCAAATAAGTAATAACAATACTTTGTGCAATGAAACAATAATTTTATTCCTTTCTCTTGATATGTAGCAATAAATATTTTATATAAAGAGGCACTTCGTCACTAGCGTGGACTCAAAGTGGAGCTCTGCTGCCTACCACACAAGCTAGTAACGTTGTAGTGTCAATTAAATCTTGTCATCATCTTTATTATATCCCTGAAATAAATCAAAAGTCTCGTACTTAACACCTCAATCATACTCGTCCTCATGGAAAAGCGAGGTATCCTCCAATTCTTGGCTTGTATTTTTGGCCAAGTTCGCCGCTCCTGCGTCCATGCAGAAGCAAAACTTCTTGGCTATACGTTCGTGGACACAACTCGTCTCACTCTGATATGAGTCCAGACGACTTATGAATGGCAAGTGAATCTTCACGCCATTCAAATGATCTCTGTTACACTTGATCGTAACTCGGAATTTGGCGACGAGCTTCTTCAAACTGGTCTGTGGGGCTTTAGCAGTAGTGTCGAATTTCAGGCGATAGGACTCGACGCCTTGGGGCGCTCCAATCACGTTGCCCCCATCATCAAAATGCAGTTTACGCTCGGCCATATCAAGACGCGAATACTGCAGGCGATAACAGATATTCTCATACTGCTTCATTCGCATCAGCTTATTTATGCGATAGACCACCATCTTGGCCAGATATTCCATAAAGAACTCGGGCTGTACTTTCGCGTATGGCTGGCAGGTACACCAGTGCTCTTTGATGCCCGCATCCTCGCAGCTGCGATCGCGTGGCAATTTCTTGAACAAGGGCCGACATTTTGGACAACCAACATCGCGGTCGAACTCGATGCCAGGACGCAACTGAATAAGGACATGCTTGAGAGCCAGATGCAGATCATAGACCGAGCTCAAGCGATTGCGGTTCTCGCGCAACGCTCGCGAAACTTTCGGATACTTTGCTCTGTACCAGGGTGGCAGGTATATGTGGAGCATTGGTAGGCGTTCTTCCAAATACCCATCTTTAAGTTCCACAAGCGGTCCGTAACGATAGCCATGATCGCTCAGCAGTATAACAATCGAATGATCAAATAGACCGAGCTTCTTGAATCGACGCAAAAAGCCGGCAAACTTGTCATCTAGGATGGTCGCACCCGTGTAGCTTTCGTGCGTGTAGCTATTTGTCCAGAAGAGTCCAAAGATCGGTCTATAGGTTTCGGAAATGAAGCGCTTTACCATTTGTTCGCAAAACTCATACACATAGTAGAAGCTGAGACGTCGGCCAATGCAGAACGGATAGCCGAAATGCTTCAGGGTCGTCATGGCCAACTCAACAGTCATCATAAATGGTCGTAAATAGAAGTCAACCGGCTGGCGATCGAAGCCCCGTTTGAGGTAATTGAAGGTGTCTATGCTGCTAATATCTTCGGCGTAGGCAGTCAAATATCCGGCGTTCTTGAAATGATTCCACAGATAGACTAATTGATTGAAACAGCCCGGCTTCTTAACATTACATATGTCTAGCGACTGATGAGGCGTACGACCTGTGAGCAGGGCCAACAGATTAGGCAGGGTATTATCGCCGACCTTGTTGTAACCCTCCATTTCATACCAACCCGGCTGGCTGACAAACTTCACAGTCTCGGGCATGGTTCGTTTGAAGTGCATACGAGACATACTATCGATGCCCAGTATAATAATGCTGGGATAAGTGTCGCGCAACCGATCCGGCTTCTCATGGCTGGCGGGAAACTGCACCAAGGCGAAGGCATCGCGTTGTATAACATTAAGGGGCTTGTGCAACTCGTGGCATTGCACTATAAGGCCTTGTATATGCCGTGGCACGGATTCATCCTGTAAAAAATATCTCGGACCGCGCGTCCTACAAAAAAAGCAGGGGAATTATCTATTAGGAGGACAGAGTCACATTCTTCAAGCTGTTGATGTAAGAGGCCGATACAAAGCAGAAACTACTTGAAAAGTGCCTCTGCTTAAACTATTCCCGATCCCAATACTAACCCACTATATGAGTCATTGCCCGCACGAAAGACTTCGTGGTAGAAACAAGCGAACTGCGATATATTCGGCTTAAGCTGTGCGCCCACTTCCATATTTATGTGCAGACTATATAGCCTTGTAGTCACATTAAACCTCAAACTGACCAAATCGGGCTCTTTTGTGCATTGTATGTCAAGTTCTGGACGCAGCATGGACATAATCTCCTCGGCATAGATATTGGGTTGCGGTATCTTGCAATTCTTGCTAAACACATAGAAAGACCTATTCGACGGATTGATTTGGGCCTCTTGAGTCTTAAAGCCACTTGTTGTTGTTGCATTGCTGGCTTTTAACGCTGGCGATGCGAGTAGTAATTCGATTGGTGTTGTTGCATCAATTTTGGGATCGTAGCTCTGTTGATTGACCAATATAAAGATCAGTATAAGCAGGAAAGCAATTAGGGTGTGTTTGCGATATTTGTTGATTAAACGACCCAACATTTTATGGCCTCGAATTTTTGTGTAAATCTGGCAAAGTTCTCAAAGCACGAAATCTTAACTGAGAGCTGAAAATGTAACAGGCAGAAGGAGGCGTGGCAGACCCCATATATATATATTCTTGATCAGCTAAGACTAGTACTACTACTACTACTGGTACTACTAGTATTAGTAGTTTATTAGATATTATTGTAATAGTTTATTATAGTTTATTACTAGACCAGTTCTAGAACTAGTACTACTAGAATTGGAATTAGAATTAGTACTACTAGTACTAGTAATAGAACTGGTACTACTAGTACTACTGGTAATACTAGTATTAGTAGTTTATTACATATTATTGTAATAGTTTATTATTAGTCATTCTAAATATTCTTAATACTAGACCAGTTCTAGTTCTACTACTACTAGACCAGTTCTAGTTCTAGTACTACTAGAATTAGAATTATAATTAGTAATACTAGTACTAGTAGCTGGTACTACTAGTACTAGTAATAGTTTGCTTTCAGTTATATGACTGTAATTGGTAAATCGTGGCACATAGATAGATAGATATTAGATATTATTATTTTATTTTATTATTTTAATTAATTTATTTCCATTTAGCCGGAGGTGTTTATTAGATATTATTGTAATAGTTTATTATTAGTCATTAGTACTACTAGAACTAACTAGTACTAACTAGTACTACTAGAACTAGCATTACTAGTATTACTAGAACTAGTACTACTATTTTAATTAATACGTTTTATTATTACTTTAAATTTAGAACTAGTACTACTAACTAGTACTAGAATTAGAATTATAATTAGTACTACTAGTACTAGTAACTACTAGTTGGGTGGTATAGGGTATTTAAGAGTTGATAATAGTACTCAACTAGTACTACCTGAACTAGTATTACTAGTATTACTAGAACTAGTACTAGAAAACATAACTAAAGTACATACTATTACTTGTATTTTATTAATTATTTATAAAATAATTTATTTTGTTGTTGGGTGGTATAGGGTATTTAAGAGTTGATAATAGTACTCAACTAGTACTACTAGAACTAGTATTACTAGTATTACTAGAACTAGTACTACTATTTTAATTAATACGTTTTTATTATTACTTTAAATTTTGAACTAGAACTAGTACTACTAACTAGTACTACTATTTTAATTAATTGATAAGTTTTTATTATTACTTTAATTTTGATAATGTTTGCTTTCAGTTCTATGATTGTAATTGGTAAATCGTGGCATAGTAGTACTAGTAATAAATTACTACTAGAACTAGTACAAGTGCTACTGGAACAATTGTTTATTATTAGTTTTTATTTAGTGTTTATTAGATATTATTGTAATAGTTTATTATTAGTTTTTATTAATTATTATCCAATAAATTCACTTTCTTAAAAAACGCAATAGCACAGATTGACCCTTTTTGAAGAATACATAACTAAAGTACATATAATTTTAATTAATACGTTTTTATTATTACTTTAAATTTTGAACTAGAACTAGTACTACTAACTAGTACTACTATTTTAATTAATTGATAAGTTTTTATTATTACTTTAATTTTGATAATGTTTGCTTTCAGTTCTATGATTGTAATTGGTAAATCGTGGCATAGTAGTACTAGTAATAAATTACTACTAGAACTAGTACAAGTGCTACTGGAACAATTGTTTATTATTAGTTTTTATTTAGTGTTTATTAGATATTATTGTAATAGTTTATTATTAGTTTTTATTAATTATTATCCAATAAATTCACTTTCTTAAAAAACGCAATAGCACAGATTGACCCTTTTTGAAGAATACATAACTAAAGTACATATAATTTTAATTAATACGTTTTTATTATTACTTTAAATTTTGAACTAGAACTAGTACTACTAACTAGTACTACTATTTTAATTAATTGATAAGTTTTTATTATTACTTTAATTTTGATAATGTTTGCTTTCAGTTCTATGATTGTAATTGGTAAATCGTGGCATAGTAGTACTAGTAATAAATTACTACTAGAACTAGTACAAGTGCTACTGGAACAATTGTTTATTATTAGTTTTTATTTAGTGTTTATTAGATATTATTGTAATAGTTTATTATTAGTTTTTATTAATTATTATCCAATAAATTCACTTTCTTAAAAAACGCAATAGCACAGATTGACCCTTTTTGAAGAATACATAACTAAAGTACATATAATTTTAATTAATACGTTTTTATTATTACTTTAAATTTTGAACTAGAACTAGTACTACTAACTAGTACTACTATTTTAATTAATTGATAAGTTTTTATTATTACTTTAATTTTGATAATGTTTGCTTTCAGTTCTATGATTGTAATTGGTAAATCGTGGCATAGTAGTACTAGTAATAAATTACTACTAGAACTAGTACAAGTGCTACTGGAACAATTGTTTATTATTAGTTTTTATTTAGTGTTTATTAGATATTATTGTAATAGTTTATTATTAGTTTTTATTAATTATTATCCAATAAATTCACTTTCTTAAAAAACGCAATAGCACAGATTGACCCTTTTTGAAGAATACATAACTAAAGTACATATAATTTTAATTAATACGTTTTTATTATTACTTTAAATTTTGAACTAGAACTAGTACTACTAACTAGTACTACTATTTTAATTAATTGATAAGTTTTTATTATTACTTTAATTTTGATAATGTTTGCTTTCAGTTCTATGATTGTAATTGGTAAATCGTGGCATAGTAGTACTAGTAATAAATTACTACTAGAACTAGTACAAGTGCTACTGGAACAATTGTTTATTATTAGTTTTTATTTAGTGTTTATTAGATATTATTGTAATAGTTTATTATTAGTTTTTATTAATTATTATCCAATAAATTCACTTTCTTAAAAAACGCAATAGCACAGATTGACCCTTTTTGAAGAATACATAACTAAAGTACATACTATTACTTGTATTTTATTAATTATTTATAAAATAATTTATTTTGTTGTTGGGTGGTATAGGGTATTTAAGAGTTGATAATAGTACTCAACTAGTATTACTAGAACTAGTACTACTATTTTAATTAATACGCTTTTATTATTACTTTAAATTTTGAACTAGAACTAGTACTACTAACTAGTACTACTATTTTAATTAATTGATAAGTTTTTATTATTACTTTAATTTTGAAAATGTTTGCTTTCAGTTCTATGATTGTAATTGGTAAATCGTGGCATAGTAGTACTAGTAATAAATTACTACTAGAACTAGTACAAGTGCTACTGCAACAATTGTTTATTATTAGTTTTTATTTAGTGTTTATTAGATATTATTGTAATAGTTTATTATTAGTTTTTATTAATTATTATCCAATAAATTCACTTTCTTAAAAAATGCAATAGCACAGATTGAGCGTTTTTGAAGAACACATAACTAACATACTGAACTAGTACTACTAGAGCTGGAACTAATAGTTTATTATTAGTTTTTATTAATTATTATTAAATAATTTATTTTGTTGTGGGGTGGTATAGGGTATTTAAGAGTTGAGCCTGCTCGACTTTAGCATTTCTTTCTTGTTTCCTTCTAAAAAGTTGGCAACACTGATGCTCAGTCTACCCTATATGTTCTATTTAGGTGTTGCCGTTTTTTTTTGCGCACGCTATCCTTGCATATACAGTACTTCTTGGCTACTTTCTGTTCAAGGCACTTGGCATCCTTTGCATACGAGTTCAGGCGACTTATCGCATTGATGTTCATTTGTATGGCCCCTGTAAGGTTATTATACCTCACTGTCGTCTCAAAATGCGCCGAGTTCGGTCGCGTCTTGAAGTTAACGATATAGTAGCTTTCATTTGCGTTGCTAGGTCCTTCGTCGGTGGCCAATATCTGCTTCCTGTCCAATTTGTGCAAATGTTTCAGCATGAAATCGTGACACAAGTTTGTCAATTTCTGCAATCGCAGTTGCTTGTTCATATCCCTGACTACGGCTAGAGCAATGCGTCGGGCATAGGAAGCCTTAGTTATGGTCTCCGAGGGCTGGCAGCTGCACCAGTGCTCCTCAATGCCAGCTTCCCTGCAGCTGCGATTGAAGGGCACCTCGAATAAGAGGGACTGACAGGTAGAGCACTGAGGCGGCTTGGGGTTTATCTCCGCCATCGACTTGCTGTCGAGTTGAAGCAAATGCCGCAGAGTCATGTAGAAGTCAAAGTTTGAGGATAAACGATTTCGATTCCCAGCTAAATTGGCCACCAAATGCGGATATTTCTTTCGAAACCACGGTGGAACGTAAATAAACATCATGGGCAATCGTTCCTCTAAATAGCCGGAGCGAGCACGTCTCAGTGTATTATAGCGATGGCCGTGATCGCTCATTAGAACAACAATCGAACTTTCGAATAGTCCGGCGGCCTTAAATTTCTTCATATAGTCCAAGAAGTGGTCGTCCAAAGCGGTGGGCGCATCAAAGTAATCGTGCGTAAAGCTATTACTCCACAGAAATCCAAAGATAGGGGTTTCGTTGATAAATCTCTGCACAAACTGGAGACCGAAATCAAAGACATAATTGAAGCTCAGATCTCGGCCCACACAATAGACGTTTCCAAAGCGTTTCCTCAAACTAAACTTATCCTCGAGTGCCGTAAGAAAGTGTCGCAAATAATAATCGGTGGGTTGTTGGACAAAACCCGGCTTCAGATAATTGAATGTGGAAAGATCTCTGCAGTCCTCGGCATAGGCAGTCAAATAATTGGCCCGCTTGTAGTTCTTCCATATGAAGGGTAAGCGATCCAGACAATTCACCTCAGACACATTACAAAGGGCCAGGGAGCCCTCCTCTGAGTAGCCCGTGAGTGCGGGCAATAGGTTGGGAAAAGTATTGTCGCCCACCTTGTTGAAGCCCTGCATTTCGTGCCAGCCCTGCTCGTTGACGAATTTAAACATATTCGGCATGGTGCGTCGAAAATTAATGCGAGAAACGGAATCCAGGCCCATTATAAGAACACTGGGCTTTCGTTCCCTCTCCTTCGCATAGCGCTTTATCCTTTCAGGCGTCAGTTTGTCCTGCACAAAACTGAAGGCATCCTCTTGCACTTTTCTCAACACAGTCGTTCGATTTCGCATATAACACTTGGTTATCATAAACTCCGTATTGATGGGCACAATCGTATGCGGCGCCAAGTGATATTTTTTCGATTCGCTAAAAATGAAATCGCTCGAAATTTATGGAAAGCCGCATTACAATTATTTTTACTTACATATAAGTGTTGTCGGGTACTCTAGCTTTCGTATCCCGTTTGATTTCCCGATAGCTGCAGGTTATGGTCTTATGTCCGGTGCTATTTAGATAGGCTTTGGTCAAATTTGCGTGTATATCGAGACGATATCGCCGAAGATCAAAATCGTATTGACTGCTGATCAAATCTTTGTCGTCAGTACAATTCTCAAACTCATTTATATTCATCGCTGCCAGTATTTCAGATGTAAACGGATTGATATATGGCATTTGACATTTCGCACTATTCACAAAGTACAGCTGTCCCGATTCATTTTTTTTAAAAGCTGACGACCCCAGAACTAGTCCCAGAACAGTCATAAGCACTTTACACTTGAGATACATATTTATAACTAAACCAAAGAGCTGTATTTTCAACCATAACATTCAGATGTAATGCATACATTAGAGAGTGTTACTAATTTAAAACAAATGTAGTATGTACGTCATAGACAAATTGTTAAGATAGGGCTTGACGTGATTATTCTAGAATTCGCTAAGGTCGCAGATCACTCTTACATATACAATATAATTTAGCAATTTTATCTTCTAAACAGGTCGAGTCCTCCTCGTACGAATTCGTGCGACTTATAGTCTCTACATTCAAATCAATATTCTCCGTAATATTATTAAACACAAACGTTGCCATAAAGTCCGCACTATTTTGTTGCACCTTGAACTTTATCCGATAGTTAGCCACATCAAGTCTTGGCATCTCATTGTGCCAATCAATATCTAAGCCATACTTAATCTCGATTCTATGTACATAGCTAAGACTTAAGCTAGAACACAGAGTGGATAAATTTTTTCCAGCTAAATATTCGTTCATTCGGTCGATGACCAATGGGGCCAATCGTGTGCCCCATTTGCCCTCAATCCTTTTATATGGCTCACAGGTGCACCAATGCTCGAGTATACCAGCATCTGCACAATTACGTTGCTCACTTAGGGGATAAAATAAAGAATGGCATTTTGGGCAATCGTAAGCCTTGGGCAGCTCTCGGCCATCTGGAGTCCCCCCAATTTCAATGATGTGCTTAAGTGTGTTGTGGAGATCATAGTTGGAGCTCAATCGATTGCGGTTGAGAGCCAGAGCCTTGGCATATTGCGGATACTGGCGACGAAACCAGGGCGGTAGGTAAATGAACAGCATTGGCCAACGTTCGTCCAGGAAGCCGCTCGTCAAACAGGACAAGCTTCCGAAACGTGTGCCGTGATCCGCAAAAAATATGAAGATGCTCTCCTCAAAGACCCCATCGCTCTCAAAGTCCAGCAGGTACTGAAGTATTTTCTGCTCCATTTTCGATGGCAATGCAAAATCGTCATGACTAAAGCTATTCGACCAGAACAGACCCCAAATGGGCTGCTCATTAATATAGCGCTGTGCAAACTGTCTGCAAAAATCGTAGACATAGCTGCTCGTCAATCGGCGGCCAACACAATAATCCAATGTGCAGTCGGCACATTTCTTCGACTCCATCTTCGACTCGATGGCAGTCAAAAGGGGGCGCAGATAGTAATCAGTGGGTGGATCCTTGAAGCCCGGCTTCAAATAATTAAATGTGTTCATACCGGCTATATCTTCCGCATACGCCGTCAAGTAGCTGGCATTCTTTAGGTATTTCCAGATAAACGGAAAATTGTTTAGACACTCCCGATCATCTGTATCGCACACTTGCTCCTTAGCGGTATCTGGCGTATAACCGCTTAGTACGGCCATCAGGTTGGGAAATGTGTTGTCGGCTACCTACAGTCGAAAGACACCGTTTTAATTCTCTTTTCCATAGTCTTATTAGAAGATAGAACAATTCGTGGAAATACTTGTATGTTGTAAATACATGATGATGATGAACACCAAATTAAAAGTGTTATTAAAAAAATTACAAAATAATGATTCTTTTATTAAATTTATTCCATCGCTGACAATTTAACGCTTAATTCTGAGTTTTACTTAAGAAATTAACCAATAATCATTATTTTTGATTCGACAAAAATATAACTCAAAGCATTATTTTAGAGGTTTAAGTTTTTCTTTAAGTAAAACTCAAAATTAATCATTAAATTGTGAGCGAATGAATAAAAATTAAAATTTATAAATCATGGTGAAAATGCATAGATAATCCTCAAAAAAGTATTGAATGATTTTGTTGTGAAAAAAACAAAAAACAAAAATAATAATCATTATTTGCGATCCCTGCTAAATTGTGTTATACTTTCTCGTATGTTTTTTAATTAATGCTTTCTATATTTTTTTTCTATTATCTAAGCATCCTGAATTGGTTTCAATGATCAATGTATTTATTCAGACACCTCCGGAATGTCTCAAAGCTGTCCTTTATGAACATTTCAGCGTCCAAGAAAGGAACTAAAATATAAATTTATAAAAACTTTACAAAATTCTATCAAATAAGGAGAAAATAAAATAAAAATTTTAAAGTAATTCAAAATATAATACAACATATATAATTTACTCTTCAAAAACCTTCCTCTAATTTTTCATTGTAGGGATAAGTATGGCTCTGACTTTTGGGAACGGAATACAAACCTTATTGTAGCCTTGCATCTCATACCAGCCCCAACGTGTCAGATACTTATAGACTTTTGGCATAGTTCTTCTCAAATTAATGCGAGAAGTGCTATCGATGCCAAACATAAGGACACTTGGCTTCCGCCTTGGTGTTGCCCTTGGACGCCCAATGGGCTGTACAAGGGAGAAGGCGTCGTGCTGCAATACGTCCGATTCGTTGGACATACGATGGCACAGGACTATCATCGCTTCCACATGCAAAGGCACGACATAGTCTTGTGAGAAATATATTTGCGGCGAAGCCCTGAAAGTACAAGCCACAACATTGTTTATGAACGCTAAGTATATGAAACTTTATAACCTAATGTTATAATTCAGGTCATGACTCACTACATATTTTAATCATATGATTAAAACTTGTCAAGGTTATCATACAAATTTAGTAATATTCCAAGCTAGGACAGACCTAAACTAAACATTAAAGAATTACAAAAAAAATTTATAAATAAATACTTGTATTTAATTAACACGACGAGCTTCAAAATTACCTTCGTCTGCTAAATATAGTAGACTTTACTGAGCAATTCAAAATATAGTGATTCCTAATAGTTCGAATTACTTATAAATCAATCTGTTGGTCTTCTATGCCTATATTTTTAACTAGAAACAATTGTTTAGTTTTTTGTTTAATTTATTCAATAATCAGCTTTAACCACAACATTCCCAATACCTTTACAAACAAAAGGTTCTAAAGTTTGTTTATCAATTGCATTTTTTAAAATGAAGATATATAGCTTCATGTATGTATGTTTTAATAAATAAATTCATTTAATTTTTCATTGAACTTTAAGTGTCATTCACCAAACACACGACTGACTCCAGAATTTAATTTAACGCCTTGCAGGACAAAAGGCAAGCGGAAAGCTAATAACGATTACAATAGATAGGATAGGATATAGGATATTGTCAGTATCGACATATCGACATCGATGTGCAGCAAAAAGAAGTACAAAGGTTCAACACAATAGCTCCTTAAATGGACAAGCGGACATCGCGATTTGGATCTGCATTGTGTTTTGAATTTATTCCAAAAGGAATAAAGACTTTCTTGAACTTATTTTGTCTTTTGAATTAGTATAAATGCCTAAAATCTATGCAGTGAAAAAAAAATCGAGTGGTACACATGAATACAAGTATTTTGATATTATATTTCTATTCTATTCATTGTTCGAATATTCTGTAATTAAATCAAATATAAAAACAATAAAATTAACTACAACGAGAGCAAGTCCGACAGTGGAATAATCTGTATCCAAACAGATATCTGACTCTAAGATATATCAAAAAGAAGAGGAAGAGCGAACTCCGTCCTGCAGTTTGTGGGCATAGATCCAAGGTGAAATTGTTTCACTAACCAACGTTTCGATTTGAATGAATTTAAAAACAAAGGTAGGGAATTATACATAAATTACGTATGCAATACTTGTAGCTTTCGAATTATGGAGAGTATTGACGAAATTCTGTAGCGCGGCAAGGGGAGACATTAAAAAATAAAATAAACTTGTGTTGCCTGGTGACTAGGAATGTTTATATACCAAGTTTTGGTCAATGTGCGGTCAGCCGTTTGCGTAATCCAGCCGTTCATTCGGACAGACGGACAGACACTTTGAATTCAAAACGTACGTATACTCTATTAAAATCGATTTTAAGTGTGAACACTTTCTCGATATTTCATAAAACGAACTCTTAAGAATATTTGAATCTTCTAATAAAAGATGTGTGGCTTCTTTTTGAGTTTATCTACTTATTTTAAACATTACATTTTATAGCTGTCATCCGATGAGTCACGCGTGACTTCCGTATAAAAGCAATAATAATCGGCATCCTTAGACTTAAGCAAATGTGCGGCCAGACTCTCATTTATATGCAGCACATAGCGTTGCCGATTCATATCAAAAACGGGTGTCACGAGATCCGATTCATTGGAGCACGTTTCAAACGGTAGCGGCTTGAATATCTCCCGGGCCTCGGGCGCAAAAGGATCCACGTAAGGCATTTTGCATTTCGAATTAAACACAAAATATTGAGGTGGAGACTCGTTTTCTATCGCCTCATCAATATCATAGCTATATTCAATATCGTTTGAAATCTCACTCTCATCACTCTCTGATTGGAAATCTATATGTTTGCTTTTCATTTTTTCGCGACTCCTAAATGGCACAAAGAATACAAAATAGACCAATGTAAGGAGACAGAGCCAAAACAATTTGTTCAACGGATGGGCAAGTTTGAAGCGCACGTTCATGTTCGACTCCGGCGACGAATCGAATTCAACTGAATATACTAATATGTCTTCTAATATTCACGACCGACATTAAACACCTGCTCTATATGTTCTGGATGCAGAACATGCTGCTTCAAATAGTCATTATCAGTTGTCGACTACCTTTTAACGACTCTCGTGCCTATCTATAAGTACAACAAACTAAAATGACTTCTTCGGCTATGCTGAAGCTATATTCCCTGCTATTTCTTCCAAGACTGAAAAAACTTTGTTTCACAAAATTATTAAATAATTAACCGAAGGAGTTGGTCATATATAATTATTTTTTACCAAATCTAGTAGCATTTCTTCCTTTTAGAAATATTCATTCAACAAACAATATACTTGTATGTATACACCTAATTCAGTTTTTATACGATAGAATGGTTCCAGAAAAAGTCATCTGTTATTTTAAATCCTGCTAAATAGAATAATGTCGTGTAATCATAAATACAATTTACAATTTTCAAACCGTGTTAAGTCAAAACCGTATAAAAAAAGGCCGTGTAAAAACAGAACTAGATGCACCCCTTCACTTTAGTAAAAAGCAATATGTTGAAAAGCTTTTTTAAACAAAAAACTAGACCCAACATAAGCACTTGATGGACACAAGCACAAGTTATGAAACAAAATACAATTATTATAATTAAGTAATTGCTACAAAGAGCAGACGTCATGAATTCCATCTTGTATAATTAATTAATTTATACCCCGCTTACTTGTTGATGAATTAACCGTCACTACTTGGGTATTCATTCTTCAATTTCTGATTCTACTTAAATCCAGCTTTATTTACAAGACAAGTGTTAAATATTATGTTTTAAATAAAATTTTATTTATTTATATTTATGTCATTGACTGTCTACATAGGAAAAGAATATGTAAAAATTATAAAAAAAAAACCTATTAAGCTAGTAAGGCCTAAGTAGGAGAAATCTAATCCAATGGGATAATACTTGTAGTTGGATAATTATGACCCAATAGACCTCAATAGATCTACCAATATAAAAAGAAAAAACTTAATAGAGAGAAGCTTGTAAATAATTAAAAACTAGCTAAAAATGGGAACAAAGAAGAAAATGAAATCTAATACCTTAGGTATTAATCAAAGAAATGTGTGAATATTTGACAATTATTTCGATTTAATCCTCCAAATGTATATAGTTTATTTATAACTATAATTTTATAAATTATATTTTACACTTCGTCCAATATCTGTTCTGCCATTCCCTCATGTGGTTGTTGCCTGAAACAGTAACATTTCATAGCACCCGTCAACCAGACGGAATAAAACGCTCAATCGGAGGTATATATGTATAATTATGTAGTTCTTGTGAAAATGGCAAGTGTGTGCGTGTACGTGTGTGTTTTGATAAAGTGTTGTATCGCTGAAGTTCAAGTTTAATTGAAAACTTGGTGATAGTTCGTAGAAAAGTGCATATGGCAACGAGCTCATGACGTATTATACTTATAACGTCATAGCTTCGACAACATACGATTGCGAAGACTAGAACCACAGATATCAGCTCGTTCGTTCACGTTTCCATTCAGCAATATTTGGATGGGGGAAGAGTCCCCAGAGACAGCGTCATATTCAACTCTTTCCCCTTTTACACAAGCACTGATATCAACTCGAGACATGTCGAATGTTGAATGATGGCTATAATATCGAAAGGGGGAAATACAGGTAAAGATGCTCAATCAAAATAAAAAAGTTTGGTTAGGAGATCTCCTTCATAGCTTCATTTCGAAAACGATTAGATGGTTTTCAATATATTTAATGCCCATTATTTTAGCCAAAGGTCCAATGCCTTTCTAGACCTCCGTACTCCTCCGTCTTAGTGGGAAGCTGCTGCTGCTTACGAGGGGGTTTAGCCCACTCTTTATCGAACTGTACGTCTTTTGTCTCATCTGGTAATAGAATGGTCACATTTGTTTCGGAACTTCTCTTCTGTGCTTCTATTGGACTTTTCACCCGAAACGCACCCCAAAGAAAGCAACAAAGCAGGAGTTTCGATTCCCCAAACTTACTATTATGGAGTAGCCTACATAATAGCTGGACCTTTACCCAATAGAATACCTTTGGAAAAATATTCGAAACGGACTGAAAAATGTTAAATATTTCCGAAGAGTTGCAAAGCAACAAAAAATACTATTATGAATATTCAAGTCGCACTCCAATGAATAGCTTCCATGGAGTCCAGTTGTGCTGAAGTTATCAAAAATAATTGGAGAGCTACGATAAATTCATCCTAAATGAAGGGGCCCAAGTGTTTGTTTGTAGTGTGAAGAAATCGTTTGTTTTTTTATTTTATTGTTCTCATTACTAAAATAACAGAATTGGGACATAGCAGGAAATCAATTCTTTCGTTTATAAAAATCTTAAATATACTGAAGCTATATTCGGACAGTCAAAATATTTATAAACAAAATGGACAAATCCTGACAAGTCCCAATTATGTTTATCAGCGGAATTTGTTTCTAAGTATTTACAGGGATTTTTTTTAAACTGTTGGGACATATGCAGAAAAATTTCACGATCCTATCGGTTTCCTTTATACATTTCGAGTCGTAACCATAGACTTTTGTGCGACTGATTGTCTCAACATCGACCTGAACCTGCTCCGTAATGTTGTTGAACACAACGGTGGCATGAAATTCTGCCAAATTTTGCTGAGTAGTGAACCTTGTACGGTAGACAGCTGTCTCTAGTTGTGGCACCTGATCCAACGAATCGATATCCATTTTGATTTCAGTCTTCATTATCTCATGAATCGTTAAGTGAACGCATTTATGTGCCTTCCCCTGGTCCACAAGATATTTATTGATAATATCGAGAACCCTTGGTGCTATGCGTTTGCCCCAATCCTCCTTGATCTCTCTATACGGATCGCATGTGCAATAGTGCTCCGATATGCCCGCATCCGGACACGTGCGATTCTCCATCACTGGATAAAACAATGACTGGCAGGTGGGACAATCGAAGGATTGGGCCCTCGGCTCTGGGGAGTTGCTGCCCAATTGAATGATGTGCTTGAGTGTGTTGTGCAAATCGAAAGTCGAGCTCAGCCGATGCTGATTACTGGACAGAGCTTGGGCATACTGTGGATATCTGCGTCGGAACCATGGTGGCAAATAAATAAACATCATTGGTAAACGCTCATCCAGATAGCTTTCTGGCAGTGATTGCAAGGGTCCGAAGCGAGCCCCATGATCCGAAAAGAATATCATAATGGTGTGCTCGAAGGCGCCATCTGCACTAAAATTGAGCAGGTCTTGCAAAATTTTGAGCTCCATGCTGGCCGGCATTGTGAAATCGTCATGAGCAATATGATTGGACCAGAACATGCCCCAAATCGGTCTCTCTGCCACATAGCGCTGCATGAATTGCCGACAATAGTCGAATATATAGCTATTAACCAAACGACGACCCATGCAATAAGTCATATAGCAGCTGGGGCACTTATATCTTCTAGTATATCTCTCCAGAGCTTTCAAAAATGGTCGAAAATAGTAGTCGGTGGGCTTCTTTGTAAAGCCAGGCTTTGTATAACTAAATGTGTTAGACACGCTTATATCCTCGGCGTACGCAGTCAGATAGCCGGCTTTCTTGAAATCGTTCCATATGAACGGCAACTTGTCCAAACAACCACGAAAGTCTGTATCGCACAGATGCTTCTTGGCCGAGTTTGGCAAATAGCCGGTGAGTAAAGCCAATATGTTCGGAAACGAATTGTCCTCCACCTAAGCATATACATTTTTAATTTAAATGAAATGAACTATATATGTATGTATCGTATCGTCTGACCTTATTATATCCCTGCATTTCGTACCAACCGCGTCGCTGCAGAAACTTGTACACCATAGGCATGGTTCGTCGTAAGTTGATGCGCGACACAGTATCGATTCCATACATTATTACGCTGGCCTTACGTGGTTGTTCTGGTTTGTGTTTCTTCTTCTTATTCTTCTTCGCAGCATTCAATTGCCGTCTATACTGTATGAACATATAGGCATCTCGTTGAAGAACCCAAGAAGGTTTTCCTGGCACTACACACTTCAATAACAGACCCTCGATATGTAACGGAACTACAAAGTTCTGTCTCAACCGTCGGACTGGCCCCAAACTGAAAGACAATATATAGTATAGACGTGATAGGTAGTATGGGGCCTGCGTTTTTAATAGTAAGGAGCGGTACGTAAAAAATAATCAATTGTGTGATATTTCGAGTTAGCGTCTCAACGAATAATTTAACAAGAGAGAGCGCTACAGTCGAGCAAGCCCGACACTGAAATACCCTGTACCCAGGCATATACGCCCCTAGTAGAAGCAAATAGAAGAAGAAGAGCGCACTTGATGCAGCAATTTGTGGGCGTAGTACTGGTACTTTTCTTAGAATTGACAGGATTGAATGAAATTCAAAATAAAAATTGACAATTTCATAAACATTACGTGTACAAGGTTTGGTTCATTTAGCCTTAAGTGTGGGAAAAATTTTACAAAATAAATAAACTCGTAATGCCTAGGGACTAGGAGCATCCACATAGCAAGTTTGGTTAATGTGCGCTCAGCCGTTTCCAAAATCCAGACGGACAGACAGACGGACATTTCTAGATCGATTCGTCTCGTCATGCTGATTAAGAATATATTTACTTTAAGGTGTCGGAGATGCTTCCATATGTACCCTTTTTACCCTATGGGTATAGGGTATAATTAAAATTGACCATTTTGTCGTACACATTCCACTTTTGTTGCTATATTATTACGTATCATAAGTCTCCGTTTGATTTCCATAGCAGATCTTGTTGTAATAGCATTTATACCCAATACGGTTGGAATTTAGCAGTTGATGGGCCACCTCCGTATTTATCCGCAGCACATAACGCTGCAGACTGTTGTCGTATAGCACCGAAACCAAATCTGATTGGTTGGTGCACGGTATGAATTCAATTGGCTTGTAGATTTTCATGGCATCGGCATTGAGGGGATCAACATAGGGCATTCGACATGTTCGAGTCTTAACGAAGAATTTTTGATCACCATCCGCTTTGATCATCGGCATATTTGAGCTTTTGACATCGCCAACGTTTCCCAGTTTTGGGATACTCGAGAATATGATTATAGCTATTATAGATAGCAGCACTAGAAGCCGTAACTGTAACTGAACCATTGTGTACCGTGCCATATTTAAAATATTACTAAACCCGCATGTGCTCTACGGTGTGATTAGCATTGCATTTTATGCTCTACGAATTTTTGAAGTGTTTTAATCAAATTTGTCGCAGGGCTGCATACGAAAACATTCTCAAATGAATTGCAGACTTGGACTCTCTAGATAGCATTTGATATTATTGTAGTTTTCCTATTTTTCAAGTTCCCTCTGGTATTGTTTTTCTTTAACCACAGCTTTCTTTGTCAATGAATAAATGGATAGGCAAAGAAATAAATTATAGTCGAATTCTATAAGCAACTTATACAGCTTTTGTAAATAAATAACAAATTAGGAAATCCGCAACTTTAGAGAATATGCATATTGATTGAAGAATTGCTGTTTGATTAAATACTTGTCTTAAAACTTAAAATAACGTTTTAAAACTTTTAAACAAACAATTATATCATTATCTTAGCCCACACTCTCCGTATTAAATTAACAATTTCTTTCAATAGAAAAATATAAGGCAACAAGACAGTACGCTATAAAAAAATATAAAAAAATAAAAAACAAATTCGTATTTACTGTATAGTATATAAATATAGGAATATATATAATAATATAATATAATAATATATATAATCGGGTTGGCAGATACTTCCTTCTGTCTGTTACATTCTTTACACAAACCTAATAAACCCTTTTTTAACTTTAAGTTTCGGATAAGAACTCCATCAGAACTGTCATGCTTTTCCACCCATTTTTAACATCGCTTTTCTATATTTCTTTATTCATATCACTATCATTAAATCATTGAATCAGCGTTTCACGAATATATTCCAAATTCTGGCCGATATACAGTGTTTCTACAGCAAATCAACTTGCCTGCTTACGACTATGCCTGAAAATGTCAAACTTCCATTAAAATCGTTGCATGAAACTAATTTTCTGTGGCAATTAGCTAAGTTTTTATTACTCATTAAAATTAGTCATTAGCCGATGTACAAGGCAAGTGATTCTATTTACTTGCCTATTTGCACTTTTTGCTAAAGATATTGGTTTCGTTTAATGGCCGCTTTGGATAACACTTCACTGAAAGTCCTATAAGGAAGTCAATTTGGAAACAAACATCATGGGCAGAGTAAAAAAACGTGAAATGGACTGCTCGGTATCCTATCTTCTCAGCCACTTAAAGATTTATTGACTCATCATTCGTTTCAGAATACAAAGAAGATTCAGTCTGGATTTTTGAGCAAGTGGTTACGCCTCTCGCAAAGGCGTTGATTGATTGCAGAAACAGCTTAACCAGCTTGGTAAGCAAAAAAGCACAAGAAATCGATTATATTATACTAACTTATATTATAGTATCTAGAATATTTAACACAGTTAGCTTCAAAGCAGCACTTATTTTAAATAGAAGCTTACTAGACCTATGTATATAAAGAACAATATCTAATACTACACATATAGTTTATATGCAGACTAATATGTAAATGGAATGTACGAAAAGCTGTCCTCGTTTGTTGGCTTAAGTATTGCTCTATTATCTCGAGATTGAATGCAAAAATAGGGGATAAGATAAGATACTGTAAATGTCAGATTTATGGGAGATATGCATAATCTAGAATTAAGCAAACAATGACACAAAAACTGATAAAGACTTCAAGAAATGCAGTGGAAGCAGTTCAAAAAAACATGTTCATGTACTTGTTATCTTTTGCAGTTTCAGATTTACAGATTGGGCTGAAAAGTTCGGGCTTAGCCTAGAAAGTACAATAATGGAGTTGCTAAAATGAACGCTCAAATACATCTGTCAATTGTTAAGATGATGGACATTTCTTTTTTGTGCCTCCAAAAACAATTTTTTACTGGAAATAAAACACTTATGACTTGATAATGAACTCGTCCGAGGGGATCCGGCAACCAAAGAAAGAAATAGATCTGTCAAAAATAATATTATACGGATCAGTAGAATTGAACTGCTTTTGATCAGCAACAGACCCAGACAGACGGTAAATAGATCTTGCCACCCCTTGTGACGAGAAAATATATTCCATCCATATCATATGTACATATGCATATCTCCGGTCCCTGTGTCTTAAACTAAAAACTCTTTGAAACGAATGTCTAATCTGCTCTCAATAAGTAATCAGAAGCAACGAAACCCCTAAGAGCTGTTAAGAAGAATAAATGAACACCTAATTCTGTTTTTACACGGTAGATTGGTTCCAGAAAAAGTCGTGTAAAAAATTACCGTGTAAAAAAAGACATTGATCATATGTTATTTTAAATCATGGCTTAATGTAATAATGTCGTGAAACCATATATAAGGAAGGCGTTAATTAGATATTATTGTAATTTGATTAGATTTCTCCTTCTTAGGCTTTTCTAGGTTATAGGATGCTTTTTTTAATTTTGATATATTTTCGTCCTATGTCGACAGTCAATGTTTGTTGACATAAACAAATAAAATAAAAAAAAACATTTATAATTTTCAAAGTGAAAAAAAAACAGTGTATTAACAGAATTAGGTGTACTTATATTTTAATGGAATAATTTGGTTATTTATTATTAATTATTCTTTATTAATTAATTAATTATTAAATAAATAACCTGGCTGCAACCGAGTGCCTCAATTGTGGTTTTATTTTAAACATTCAAGTGTTTCTCAAATCCTCCATTCAACATAAACACACAAGAGGTGTGTTTTGTAATAAACAAATGGGTGTCTCCATAAAATCGATATGGTATCAAATTTCTAGGCGAGGAAAAGCGAGAAGCAAACTATTCGCTACACTAGATCATTTGAATTTAGTTCGAATGTAGGGCTGATAGGCGGTCCATATTATCATTGGCCTCTTATCAATGCATTATTGTCTGCTCTACAGTTCTGTGTATGCTAAATAATTAAACACATGTGCACACGAGCACTATATATTTAATAATACTATCAGCCACTTGTGCATATGACCGACACTTTATCAGCTGTGAGGCATACATTTAGTATAGCCTGTGAAGCGCCATAGACCCATCCGGTGGCAGTGGGTGGGTGTGGAAGGGAAGTCGGACAACCCGACATCTATTTATATTGGGCGTTATTGTCATCGCTGGCAGCAGCAATCACTCAGTTAATCAGGCAAAGACATTGTCTAGACTCGTTAGTGAGCTGCGATAGCTCAAAAGTAGCGGACGTTTCAATTTCCCAACACGGCTGGTTCCCTTACACGATTCTATAACTCTCCCCCCCAATCGTGTGTGAAGTGGCAAATAATTAATGCACTATGGCTAATAAAAGCAACGTGAAGCGCAATTTTCCGACCAGCGCTGGTCAACTGCATTACTATCACACCGATTTTTATTACTCGATGCCAGATTTGCAAAGTAAGTAGCAGAGTACTATGTATTTCCGATTTGAAATGAAAATGCACCTAACCTGTATGCTATCTTATCAGTAAAAAGATTACATGAATAAGTACATATTTGCATTTTACGACAGTACAGACTAAGTTAATACAAACGATAATTGCAATTTATAATTTAAAGCATCGTCGCGATAATGTTCTGCCGTTTTATTTATGTTTTGGTAGAGTTTTCAATTTAGACAAATTTAAAGGTAGAGAGAAATGCATATAATTAAAGAAAAAAAAAAATATATTTATGCCTAGTTTTATTTTAGATCCAATTGTTAAGCAATGATTTCATAATTTCACCTGGTTCGAAACAACTTCCAGGAATGGCCCCACATCAATTTTAATTCCGAATTATATACTATACTATATATGTTCTACTTAAAATTAAATACTACTTTATTTTTTTTCATCATTGAAAGCTAGTTTGATTTAATTCCGAATTATATGTCGTGCTTAAAAATAAATACTATGTATTTCATTTAACGACATCTTATTTGTTTTTTCCATTGTCTGCATACAAATAGAGACAATCGGCCATGGAAAAACACAAAATATAGTCGTCGATGTGTGATTGTGGTTGAAAACGCCAATTAAATTGTGAATGGCAATCTTTTGAATTAAAAGGGCACATCGATCGAGATCAAGGGAAATCGAGAGATGGGGACCTTTATAAGATCCCATAAAGCTCATTGCTTTAGGCTGTATTTGGATATGCGGTGAAGTCCATCCGAAACAAAATCAGTTATTTATGTTCTGTGATTAGAGGCGCATTAATTTCGGCTACGATCTTGGCGGCGATAGCTAAATTTTCCAACAGGACAATGGACAAACTGGGTTTTTGTTCAATCAGAAAAATGTCAGTTATAATAGCCAGCGGTTAAGCCGAATCTAAATCAGATAACAGTTCTGTTAGGCACCTTTTGACGGAAAAACTATTAGAATGTTTAGTAGACAGTTCGAGGCAGTAGGATAACTTAAAGACGCTTTGTTTGCTGATCAGTTTAATAAAAAAACTATACTTATTCTTAATACATTACTTATTCCTAACAGACAAAAATTTCTGTTGGCCGTAAATTCAAAACTCCACCATCAATAAACTTCTCTCTTCTACCACAAAAGATAACCAACCGCAACAAAGAACTTGCGCTCTTCCCAAGCCACAATTGGAATATTATAATCAGCTTATATGTAGAGCGAGTCATTGCGATATTGAACAATATCCTTCGTATTGACAAGCCATATATTTTTCCTACTTTATGTAATGGACTTTAAAAATTGCATATTCCAAAAATTAGCCAACTATTCCACCAACTTATAATTATACACTTCATTAAAATGTGTTTTAAAATTTTCATAAGTTGAAAATTGATCATTTTTGTGCTTGTAATAACATATTTAGAACTTTATTTTATGTTTAATTTGCTATTTTATTTTATTGATGCATAATAAAATGTTTGTATACAAATCCAATACACAATCCACAAAATGCAGGCTTAGCGAATTTCCAAACCCCCTAGTTGAACACCACAACGAAGCGCAGCCAACTTCACATCAAAACAAACGGTGGTTTTCTCTCGTAAATACTCAAGCACCCCCAACAATTGTTTTGGTTTTCCGAGCCAACGCTGAGTGCGCGCTCTGAGAAAACTGGTCGGGAGAGCGCTCGCCATGCTACGTGACAACAGCAGCGCGAGCGCGCAGTATCTCGTAGCTTTTATTTGTTTTACATTTTAAAATTTCCATTGCAACACAGGCAGTCAGTCTGCCTGTCAGCTTGATGTGAGCGACAAGTTTAGCGCGGAGAGGGACTTTTCTATTTTTGACAATTTGAATAATCGGAAAATTTGAATTTAATTGAAATTGAAAATAATATAAAGCACAACATATATAAATTTGTATATATTGCATACAATGTATTTCTCTACCCAGTGCCACAGAAGTGTTTTTGAACAGAAATGCGGAAACAATGATTTAAAATAAAAAAAAACAACAAAACACAACATAATCAACAGACAAAAATAAAAACGTAATACGAATACAAAAGAAACTGAGCGGCAAGAGACTTGAGTCGCTGCGAAAGAGCGAGCGAGTGAGAGAGTGAGTGAGCGAGCGAGCAAGTTGTAGATAAGCCCAAGAGCGTCTAGCATTTGCTGATTAAAAATGTGTGTCAAAATATCAGAGACTGTGAACATTGTTGAACATGCCCGACAATGAAAAGTCTCTGCACATTTCAGTGCACGTGTAATCCGTCTATCTAATTAGGGTCTATTTTAGTTCTAATTTCATTTCGGTGCGCTAGTAATTGCAATAAAAAGCGGACAATGACGTCACAAGTGTAGAAGAATCGAATGCCAACAACAGGCAGGCAGCGGCAACAGCACAATAAACAAAACACAATAACTTACAACAACATACACATACATTTGCAAAAAGTCGCACTTGTCCCAACGCTGACGCTGACGCAGTCGTCGACGTCGACGCAGCTGCAGACGTTAACGTTGACGGCGCTAATTCAAATCCCACGCGCAATTCAAAGACACAAGCACTGCAAGCGAAAAACATGTAAGTTTACAACAAAAACAACGCCAAGTCATAACCTACGACAACAGCAACAACAACTACTTGTTACTATGTATATTTGTATAATAAACAGCTAACAGATACTTACTACCTCTGTGCATATTTATGCAAATTCTTTATGAGGTACACGCGCCAAACTCATGCGATGTCTCATTCCTAGCCATCCAAGAAATCAGCTTGATTTCAGAATGGTTCGACCAACATTTAAAACTATTTTTAAGCTGCCATGTTCGGTTTAAATTAAGGTGCTTTCATGTCAAGATAAACACAATTTTTATCGTACCCAACAATAACTTACTCAATGGTAAAATAATATAAACAAAAATGTACACACATGTGCCTCTATTTAGCTGAGACTTAAAATAAAACATCAACTGAAGAGTTTCTAAATTGTTGAAGTGGGAAGGAAAATGCACGATTGTGTTTGAAAACATTGTTTATTTTACTTACAACAAATTGAATACAGCTCGAACCATAAATAAAGAAAAGAGTAACAAAACAAGTCGTTGACGCCTTTAAAAAACACATCGAAATATAAAACAAATATACAAAAATGAGCTATCAATGACATTATCTAGAGCCACAAACCTAAAGCGCTTTTTATTTGTCAAATAACAAACCGTTTTTGAAAGGCAAAGCCGACTCTTGAATACACTGCAGGAATGCTGTTGCAGCGAACCACTGTATTGGGGAAATATTTGAAATAAAATGTCAAAAAATAAGACACAACATCTGCATTGTGGCGTACATAGCTGCAGAATTAAACATTTATGGCATTATTCCGAAGTTATAAACAAAAAAAGTCAAAATTAGACACATTTCCTTTTGCAAATTTTAAATAACTCAAAATATTTTGTACTGTACTATTTAAAAATGTAATCAACAATGTATGTAAAACAATTTGTTAATTCCATAATTTCACAAAGCATAGAGGAAAACTGCGCATTACAAAAACTAAGCTGAATATGGATTAAATACAGTGAACGTCAAATATATATAAATTTTTAATTTGTAATTTTTGTAATTTTTTTTGTAAACTTTTAAATTAGTACGCCAGTCACTAAAATTCCATTGCGGATAATGGAAAATTTGGATTGAAAAAAGTCACATATAAACATTGATTATTATTATTATTTTTAATAAATAAATCTATCAATAAATACTTGAGTAGATGACTCACTGTTTCTTAACTCTATACTATTATCGATTGTTTATTGATTAGTTTTAGAACAAGCAATAATACATTATTCATTATTAAATAATTGCAACTAATAATGAAAATGTTTGAATTGCGGCTTTTTTAATCGTATATTTAATTTTGTCCAAAACTGACATTTTCGAAAAGAAAAACATTTTTTTAATGACTCATTAAAAGAGCGTTTTTCTTAAGAATATATTTTGTTTGGAAATCAGAAGCATTTTGTTTGTCATTAAGTGTTGCTATATACTCGTATATATGCTTAGTATATGTATAAAAAATATTTTTATTGTCTTTATATAGACAAATCGAATTGGATTTAATATTGGCTCCAGCATCTTTTTCGTTGAAAATAATTTTCTTACGTTTTGAAAATGTAAGAGGGCTGCCCAAAAAGTACACGTGTCTGAAATTAGAATAATATTTTTTCACAAATTATGTCATGAAGCTTTTCGATGTGTGTCCCGGCTATTCTTCCAATAACTCATTGTTGTTCTAGATAGTGAAGGGTCCGCACTTTACTTTACTTTTATTTCTCCGCCTGCTCTTGAACCCAAAAACAAAAAACGCTTTACGGATCGATTAGGCGCTTTTTCCATTTTGTGGATAAATGCGGAAAATAGCACACAAAAAATGAATCTATATCAGTCTGTTGTTTATCGATATCTGAATAAAAGGGTAAATAACTCAGCAAGTATTTGTGGAAGAGCTCTCGTATATTTTTTTTGAAAAGATCTACATACTATGCATACATATATAAAAAAAGTAGCAAATAAAATTATGAAATATTCCCATCAACAATGAATAGAATAAAACCAGTAGTAGCTGATATATGTATCTATGTGTAGGCTATACGTAGATTGCCAAAAATATTGTTGGCCACTCGACAAAAACGTGTTTATGGGAGCTAATAAATTTATAGACAACTAGGCACGTTTTTGCGGCGTGAAGCAAAATGTTGCATTGTTTTCATATAAAAAAAAAACTGAACATGTTGATAAGAAAACCGACAACAATTTGGAAAAAATAAATAAATATAGGCACATGCTGTTATACATATACATATAGTAGTATGTAGTATATTACCAAAACACCTCAATTACATTGTTGATAAGTAGGATGGAAGCAAATACAAGGGGTTCTATGTTTTGTGCATTTTTTTGGTCTTTCAACAACATGCTTATTGTTGGCTTATAACAATAATCATTAAGTTAAAACAAACAAAGATATTATGGTACTGTGGCAAGGTGTTAAAACATGTCATTAACTGAAATAAATGTTGGTGTTTTCTTATCTCGTAAACAGAATGAATAGGATGCCTTAATCATTAATAATATCACATAGATACATCAAACTATCTAACCCAATTATGTCCAAAGTATAAGCTACTACATAGTACATATGTCTATATATCACACGTGTATCTAATCAAAAAATGATTAACATTCAAATCAGTTGCTAAACGCTGCTTAAAAGTCTTGCGGCTGATTTGAAGCCGCGCCTGCTTAATCATTAAATGACAAGCAAATAAAGTCTGTCACTAACTAAACACGACCAAATTAATACTGTCAATAGAGTATACATATGTATGGTATGTGTATTTGTACTTTCCATTGTTGTTGATATGTCGACATAGTCTCTCACACCTAACGCCACTAATACATTCGCATTCGGAGCCAAATCGTGCGATAAAAATTATGAAAAAAGGCCGCATGTCGCATTTGATAATCGCACAAACAAGGCAGTATATAATCGGTCTGGCTAGCGAAAGCACGTAACGCACAGTTCCTTCAGTTAAAGAAAGCATCAGAATGTACCAACCAACGGAATATCGGTTTGAAGGTACAAATCTAACTACGATTTCAACCTCTCTTATCAGAAATCAAAATAGAGTCATTTTTGTGTTCTTTTTTCTAATATCTGTTCAAGAGTGCAATACGATCGTTATATTCATATAATAATGTTTAACTGTTTCAAAGGAGAATATCAATCGAACCTATAGATCCTTCATCATTAATTACTGATCCAACAAGATTATCCGATTATCGTTCAAGTTTCCCAATTCACTTGTTCGTTATACATCGAATTGTATACAAGTTTGTCGCTGATTTTGTGCGTGTTTTTAATAACTAACGTTTTAAATTATAAAGTCCGTGTTATCTGTAAAAAAAAAAATTACTTTTAGATCTTTACCGGGAATTTCGTAGACAAATTTTGTTTCTATATTATTTATTTTATTGGGAATTACGAAGATTAATTTCGTTTCTATATTATTTATTTTTCTTGTTCCCACACATCTTATAAATGCCGATGTCCCTCTAGAGGCGAAAAATTGTAGTAAAACGAAATACAAGTATATCTCCTTAGCTGGATATTATTATATATTGTGTCAAGAACATCTTCCAACTTTCCCAAAGGTTCTGTAGTGGAACCATACAGATTTGTTAAAGAAGAAACCAATTGAAAAAATCGACTTTATTCCCGATATTTAACAAGTTTTTAAAATTAAGTTTCAGAGCGTCTCTTTTTGCATGTCTGCTTCTTCTTTTACAATCAATCTCTTTTCATTTTTTATCGACTTATTTTATATCTTATATCGACTAGTCTTATTTTCGATAACTTACTGACTACATTTTATACAATCATTAAGTAAATTGTACAAATACTAGGAAGACTCCTGCAGTTAATATTTGATCACTAGTATTTCTTTATTTTGCTGTTATTTTAATGATAGTACCAATTTTTGCGTGCTAATATATCTCTTCCACAATAAAATGATTCAGCATTTCAGCAATTCGTTAGTTGCTTAAAAGATTTAACATGCCAGATATATGTGATATGGCTCTCAAAAAACATCAATTGCAGTCTAGAAATACAAATTAGTAATTGCGGGAATACCCTTATTTTTGGCAATACTGTAGATGAGCGATTCTGTGTCTTCCACAGCGCAGCGACAACTACGAATTAGGGATGTAAATAAACATCGATGTATCAAGCAACGACGATGTTTTTACCACGATGCATCGATGTTTTCCGATGTTTTTTTTGATTGCAACACATCGTCGATCCATCGATGTTTGTCCAAACATCAAACATTTTCATTGTTTTGTTAAGCGGTCATTATTTTGGTGAGCTTTGAGCGGAGAAGTTATATTTGTATTTCAATTTTTTTTATGTTTTCATTAAATCGTATGTTTTTTTTATTTATATTAAGCATTTAATCTTAATTTTGATTCGTATAGCCTCGTTTAATATACTGCAAAGCGTAGGATTGATTTGCTTTCAAAACTGTATATTATAACTTATTTTTAAAAAGTCGGAATTACGATTACTTTATTGATATATATAAACATTTTTATATACAATTGATATATAAACATTTTTCATTTAAAACATTGCGGTTGATTTTCTTCCTAATATGAGCTTCTTTTTCTATGGAAAGAGATTTTTTTCAAAACATCGTTGCATCGACCATGTATCGATATTTTATAAAGGGACATCGATATCAATGTTTTCCCTTTGACTTGCATCCCTACTATGAACGTGGCATTATACATCAATAATGGTGTTATATTATATGTATTTAAGACAAATGGTATGTTTTTTTATTGGCTGGATTAATCCCTCTCATTTCTAGTCGCTTGTATGAAGGAAATGATCGTCCCTGATTCTATTTGTATATGTATGTCTGTCACATGCACAATTTAACATTTATATTGGATTATGTGTTAGTTTCATTCCGCGATAAGTAAATGTACAATTGTTGTTGAATAGCAGCCTCAACAAGTATATAGATTACCAGAGTTAAAGTCCGTTCTTGTGAACAATCGCAACATTTGCACAAAAATCGTTGACCCCGGCTCTACTGCAATTCCCTGATAACCCTGGCGCCCAAAGTACTGTATATTTTCTGTTGATTTGTTTTTAATTGCTGCTTGACTTAGTCACGGACTCCAAATCTCACGTGAATTCCCATCAATTGTAAGAAAAAGCGTTTGCTTTGCATGAAAAGCTCCATTTGGATGCAGAAAGGAAAAGAATTTCGTACGCAACTTTACATTGTACCCGTTAATTTGAAAGATAACCGACAAGTGTTACAATTAACTGCTCTTATCGTCCAACTCTAAAATACACGCTGCTTGCCATATTTCCGCATGTTTCCAATGGCGTTATCATAGCTTGTGTCGTTGTTGTATATTTTCTGGTAAAACAACCTTTTCAATTATGCTGCGACAAAGACCTTCCTGTCGAAACACTAGCTTTAATAGCTAGTTCTTGTTCGCTTTGAAAAAAGAGTCCAAAGGTAGGACTGGCCCCCATGGCTCTCAAACTTCAAATTAAAGCTCCAGCAGAATAAAATGAATATTTTTATTGGCATATCCCCTTTGTCAGGAGTGCACAAATGTTTAAAGAGAAGCGATTTGCTTGTCTGCTTCTCTTAACGGTTGGACTTGGCCACACGCTCCAGTTCGTCCTTCTTCTTGATGGCATACGAGTTGGACGAGCCCTTGGCGGCGTTGATGAGCTCATCGGCCAAGCACTCGGCTACGGTCTTGATGTTCTTGAAAGAGGCCTGCCGAGCGCCAGTGCAGAGTAGCCAGATGGCCTGGTTGACTCGTCGGAGTGGCGACACATCCACAGCCTGGCGACGAACGGTGCCGGCCCGTCCAATACGGGTCGAGTCCTCGCGTGGACCGGAGTTGATGATGGCGCTGACCAAGATCTGCAGCGGATTCTCGCCCGTGAGCAAATTAATGATCTCGAACGAGTGCTTGACGATGCGGCAGGCCATCAGCTTCTTGCCATTGTTGCGACCCTTCATCATCAGGGAGCAGGTGAGGCGCTCCACAATGGGGCACTGGGCCTTGCGGAAACGCTTGGCGGCATAACGGCCGGCAGTATGGGGCAGATAGCGAGCAAACTTCTCCTTGACCGAAATGTAATCCTGCAGTGAAATGTCGTTGACAGTGACGTCATCGCAGGACCAGCGTCCGAATAACTTGATTTCCGGCAGCTCCATTGTGTTGGCCGCATTTTTCTCGAACACCGTGTCGACGCTCACGGTTTCGAATGTCTCCACCTCCTCGAACTTCTCAACTACGGTTTCCTCAAAATCCTCCATTATTCTCAGAAAAAAAACGTGCTTTTTAGGCGACAATAAAGCAACGAATATAGAATCGACTGCAAAGGCGTAAACCAAAACTAATTCGTATAGATATAAGACTTCTAATATATAATTACTAAATACGGGAGCGAATACTTACAAATATTAGAATTTTACGCAGCTATCACCGCTCAACACGACGATTAACAAGAAAAAGAAAGAACACAATATCCCAGGGCTACACTAATAAAGCTGAGGACGGGGATAACCACTCGCTCAAAATGTTTTTATCGACTTATCGATGCAGCAAACAATTTATAGTACTTTCCCGAATTCAAAAAAACTCACGAGTGCGGAATTGTTCGATGAGCAAATTCGAAAAGTAATTAATTAAGTAATTAATGAATGCTTAGAATTTTTGATGCATCTTTTATATCAAGAAATAAAAAAGGATACTGGATTTCTAACATCTAATAAATAGCCAAACTTTTAAGAAAGATTTATGAATGCAACTGCTTTGCCAAAACAAAATAATAGGGCACTAATTATAAAAGTTATAAAAATTTGTGGTTGACTTTTGGAACATATGAACGCATCTGGAAAATTAGCTAGCATTCAAAATCTAAAATAAGAAAATACCTAAAACATAACCAATCGTTGAATACGTGACCGTGAATTTCTAAAAAGCATTTAAAACGAAAGTTTGATTAATTTAAAGAACTTTCTCAAACTCTTTCACTTTCCTAAGCAATACTTAATAAGAATAATAATAATATTATAAGAAGACATGCCCTTTGAGGAATTTCACATTTTTAAAGATCTAGAATAGTTCTTCAACCCTTTCAGAGAGAAACTATGCGTCTAGTAATGCTCCTAATTTAAAATGTCTTGCCATATTTTAAAAGGTATGTAAATATTTAATCCAAATAAAATTCTTTGTACCCCCTATCTTTAGGTTCAAATTCTACACCTAAATACACTTTATTGTAGATGTCATTTATATTTATGGGGATGGATCTGATATTCAAGCATTATTGTATGCTTCCTGATTGTGTTCAATCTAGATGGATAACTGGATGCGTCTAGTTTTGCTTTCTTTTAAAAATTCGCGTTTCTTCTAATGCTGGTTGACAGTAATGCTGCATTTTTAACAGAAAGGGACTTATTTAGTTTATAATATAATCCGAACAAGCTGCTGATTATTTTAATCAAGATATTATTACGAAACGCATAGAGAGTGTCTTTCTTTTCTAGCAACTCCGACAACTGCTAAACCATAAGGTGCAAGTTGATTACAAAAACGGTCATTAAATTACATATATAATAGAAGAACCTTTTAATCTTCACTGACAGCCGTAGAACTCTAACCGGATCACTCTATTAACACATGCTTAAAGCCTGCTTAAAACTTATTAAATTTTTATAGAAAGAAGATTAACTTTGTATGACTTTTCAAATTGATAGACAGTCTTGCATTTTTCATATAACAGAAGAACCTTTTAATATTCACTGAAAGCCGTAGAACCCATACCAGAAAACTATATCATCACGAGCTTAAAGCCTGCTTAAAACTTATTAAATTGTTGTAGAAAGAATTTGAACTTTGGATGACTTTTTAAATTGCTAGACAGTCTTGCATTGTTACATATAATGGAAGAACATTAAATGCTTCACTAAATACAGGTAGAACCCATACCAGAAAACTATATCATCACGAGCTTAAAGCCTGCTTAAAACTTATTAAATTTTTATAGAAATAAGATTAACTTTGTATGACTTTTTAAATTGCTAGACAGACTTGCATTGTTAGAAGACTTCGGAGAAATGTTTGTTTTAGCTGATTGTTCGGTATATTTAAATTATTCTTCTTTTATCTGCTTGTCCACGAACATATAGTATTTATATGTGTAATAATTTGCTTATCTTGACACTTTCTATCTTCTTTTTTTTCGTTTCAGAGACGGGCAAAATGCACGGCGTTAAGCGTGTTCTAGTGTTTTGCATCATGATTGTGATATTGCCGGCCACTCTGATCATAATGCCACTGTACCTGCGGAAGACCGTATTTGCCGATGTCATCTATCCGGTGGCCGAGTCGGATATAATTGAGATACGGGATGGCATTTCGTCGATATTCTGTGCTCAGCACACGCTGCAGATGGACAGCAACTTCAATGCCTTTCAGTTGCGGAATAAGCCCGAAATTTCGACCAGTCGCAAACATATACGACTGAAGAAGTCGATGACACTGCCCGATGATACGCTGGAGTATTGGGGCTTCTTTCTGCTGAAGGGGGCGCGTGTGAGCCTGAAGTTTTGCTCCCGCTACGACGGCTCACGGATTCTGGTGGTGAAGGGTCAGCGTGAACTGAAACTTTGCGGCCTCACGGATCATAACAAGAACAAGCTGGGCGCCAACTATGCGCAGGGACATGACCAGGTGAAGGTCTTCTTCGAGGATGTGGTGGAAATAACTGAGGAAAAGGTGGAAAAGGATGGCTTGCCAGAGCACGAGAATCACGGCGGTGAGGATTTGACGGATGATGATGCAGTGAAGCCATCAGCTGGGAATGCCACAACAACGACGACGTCGTCGCCACCAACGAAACGCTATCGCAAGAAACTGAAAAAAGGCACCGTCTATCAGCCCAAGTCGACAGAGATCGACAGCAGCAATACGTCGGCGCCAGCCTCCTCCTATAATAGGCAAAGGCGACACGAGGACGCCACGCATGCGCAGCGCAAGAGGCAGCTGTACGATGAACTCTACAAGCGGCACGAGCGGCAGAAGCGCGAGAATGTCTACGATCGGCGCTACAGTCATGGCGGCAATGCGGTCAACTTTACGGAAACCGACGAATCCAATTCCATATCCAGTTTCGAGAACGGTCTCTTCGAGTGCTTCAACGGCGCCATATTGTTGGCCGAGGGCTTTCCGCCCAGTCCCGCCTGCACGAATGCCCATTTCCTGGAGAATGGCTCGCATCGTATGATTAGCAAGCACGAGATAGCCGAGGACGGCTACTACTATTATATTTTCTACAGTGACAACGATCTGGTGCGCAACGACATCCATGCCATATTCGATATATATAAGCCGACGTTTCAGTACTCGAATCTGAGCGATTCCCAGGGCTGTCTCAATGCCACCCATTGCACCTTTCCCATCGGCTTTCTCTCCGACGAGATTGTGGTGGTCGAGGTGCCCACTCGGGATGGCATCGAGCATGAGGAGGACGATATTACCAATCTAATCTCAACCTGCCATCCACGCAGCGAAATCTATGCATTGTTTCCCATCACCGTCCTCATCCTCATCCTGTGCTGTTCCTTCTTATAGGGGTTTCACGGGTTTTACGAGATATTGCAGTAGAGGCTGGGAAATTTGTGATATTTTCTTTTGTACGCAGGCAACTGAGTGATAAATGTATTAAATAATAATAAAAATGCCAATCGGCCAACCGATAATTGTTGAACAACAAGTGCTCCAGAGCTTCGACTTTGAGATAAAAAAAATAAAATAAAACCCATATGCTTAATAAAAAGTCTGAACCATGCGTAACCGAAGCACTGAACATAAATGACTTTTGTGTGTAATCGATAGGCAATATTAACTGTAAAATAACCGAAACGACTCATTTGTGCGTCCTACTATCTGTTTCTTAATTATGGACGAGTTAAAAGCATTTAAGGCGCTTTACAATAATGTATATAGACTGTAAGATAGTTACGTTTACTTAAATAGAAATAATTCAATTCTAGACTTAATAATAAATTGTTCATTGAAGAACAAAATAATGCAGTTTATGATTCACAAAATATAGAAACTGGTCCGCTATACTTAAATATATGGGTTATTAAACGAAATAACCAGAGAGCCATTCAATTAGTTTTGAAAATTAAATAAAATATGTATACGAGTGGTAGATTTATGTTTAATAATCAATTAACATCGCCACTAATTGAGCAATAAAAAATGTAATTTAGACATTATTTGAGCGACTGAGTGAATTTTTGTAATGCCTTGTTAAACACAATTGAAAACAACAACACGTGTAATTGCGCTTCTGCAACGAAATGAAATAGCAACAAATTTATGTTATTATGTTTGTTTTACTCATTTTAGTTAATTCACACGCACTCTATTTGTTTGCTGTGTGACTCTCTAAGCTTGATTATCTGCTATGTATTTTAATATATGTATATGTGCATATAGTACTATAAGTGGGAAAATAAACACCGGCATTGTCGTCAGGAGGTAAACAAATTGATTTAAGTGTAGAATGCGAAATTACTGAAGCCATCATCAATACAACAACAGAAGTGCCTTATTCAAAATAATAATCTACATAATTGATACGAATTCAAATGTAAACAATAAATAGAGCATAATAAAGTACTTATTTCAAACACGAGCCTTTCTTTCTTTCAACTGTTAAGGTAAGTATTACTTACCTATTTATTGCTATTCGCACATAACGCCTCGATTGCGCGTAGAAAAAACACTGCTTGTCTACAAATTGGTTCTGAACTTGGCTAACTAAAAAGCCCAATGGGAAATTTAAAGCAGCGATGTATCAACAAAAGCAAAGTCATTATCATATTAATTCTAATATATAACAAATTCCCTTCTCACATATAGAATAGCACATTAATTCTAATACAAGTATGTTTTTAAAATCCTTTTCGCACATGCATGAGAAATTCCAAAAATGAATCAAATTGTTGGTCGCCAGATTTTTAATTAGGTATTTTGTTTATCACAAATAACTGAATACAAAAATAATATTGTCAGCTTAAAATTTATCAAATTGTCAACCATTATATTCTAATTTAGGGTGTGTTGACTGTTATGAGATATTTGACACTCTTATCATAAAGGCAATTTGGTTGAGTGCATCAAAAGTTATGTAAATATCGTTTATCTTATTTTGTCAACTTGATTTTCGCTAGATATGACGTAAGCTCTTTTTTTTTGGATATACCTCGTCATATTTTATTTTTAAAGAGCAACGAAAATAAACTGCTTTATTTTCAGCGTGCAGCTTGATCTAAGGCGCGCTCCAAAAACATCCCTTACTTGATCGGAGTCTAAATATTCAAAATATAACAAACAGCTGTTTGGAGGGAAAGCCAACTCGCTGAGAAAGAGCGAAGGGGCGCGTGAGAACTGAACATTTCGCACAGATGTCATTCACACCTGGTTGATTGAGAGCGTGCTCTCTTGTGACTGTGGACGTAGAGGGTAGCAAGTTATCGCCCGCTCTCACAAGGGGGTTGTTAGAACGCAGCAGAAACAAATAACAAAATGACGAGATTTGTAGTTCTTTGTCGCTTATTGCGCGCCACCTATCAGGCTTATTTATGTTTAGTGCGTTTTATTGTTTTGCGGCCTCCTTTATCATAAAGGCCGGCTGCATATACTTGTACATACATACACACGTATGCCGGTTCTGCTCGGGAGTCCAGTCCGGCCGGTCCACCCACCTCCCCAACCGCTCTCTTCGACCTTAGGTCATTGTGTGTGCAAGCGTGCGAGAGCAGCGCGCATGTCCCATTATCGCTATCTCTTGCTTTGCTCTTGCCGCTCATTTGACGTTGACATCGACGTCGACGTCGTTTCTGCTGTCGCTGCTGTTGCGGCTGTTGGACAATTATACTAAACAGTTGAGAACTTTTCGCGCTCGTCAGTTGGCGTTTTGTTGTCCGCTCGTTTCGTCGTCGTTCTCTGTTGAATGGCCCATTCGGGAATAATATTTAATTAAATTGTTGCCTTTGGATGTGATGCGATGCCATATTAATAGTATACGACTGAAAACAACAACTAAAAGCTGCAAATCGCTTGAATCATAACAGGAACAACAACACACACGCGCGCGCATATCGTCTATTTAATTATGTGTGCAGGCAAAAGCCACTGAAGTGCAAAAATGCGTAAAGCAACAAAAACAAATGCTTAAATAAAAACAAAATGTACACTCGAATACGTGCAAGAGAATGAAGTGGAAGTCCTGCACGTAAAAACACACACCAAAGGAAAATGTGAAAAAATCAATTGTAAGTAGCGACGGCAACTATAAGAACAACGACTATAGGAAAAATATCAAAATATATATATTTATGTACACATGTATGTATTTATGTACATACGTGTGTGGAAACGCAGTCGCATGTAAAATACTTTGCACATCGTGTGAAAAAGTGCTGAGCCCATCAACAAATAAAATAAATTGAAAAAACTGTTTGCTCGCTTAGTGTGTCAAAACAAAAATCAAAATTAATGAAACAGCAACCCAAAATAAGACATGCATATACTATATGTATGTACATATGTATGTATGTAAATAGCTGATTAAGAAATGGAATGCTCAAGAGAAGAAGTAATAAAAGAATAACACAAATCTGACACGCCTAACGGAATCTGTCTGTCAGACAGCCTATGCCGAAAAAAAAAACTGCATCCAACTTGGAGCCGGCAGGAGCTGCAAACGTCACACATCGAAATTTTTACATACATACATATAATTTATGTATGTTTGTATGCACCGTACATATGTCATATGCCTGCAGTTTCCTATCGCGTGTCCCCTGCCGCCTGCTTCTGCTCTGGCTGTTATTTATAAAGTGCCTCAATCCAATTCCCTCTCCCGCCCCCTTCGTTGAACAGCTGCATTGTCACTGGCTGCCCTTTTGCGGTGCATGCCTCTGTCTCTCGCGCTCTCTGACTCGACTCAACTCAACTCGACTCGACTCTGTCGCTGCCATAGCCAGGGCTTTGCCATTTCCTTTGCTGCTGCGTGTGTTGAGTTGCGCTCTTCGAGCGCTCCGGGGTGAACGGCAGCCAACCCCTCGCGCGCTGCTTCAAAAACTACAGTGGACGGCGCTGAGAAAGAACTGCAATACTGAGTAGTGCAGCGATTTGTGAATGCTGATAATAGAGATTCTATTAAATCAAGAATTAAATCAATTAACTGCATATATACTTGTACTTAGTAGGTATGTATGTATATTGACAGTAGAAGCGCTAGTGGCCGCCTGCATTTGGATTTTGATAGGTTTATTGACATTCTATTTCAAAAGTGTTCCCCCAAGACTCTTCAAAACTCAATTTATTATTCAGACGGCGCGTGCGAATCATTTTCATATTGCTTCATAATTTTTTTAATACATACAATAAAGATAGGGATAATTGAATTTAGAATATAGAAATGCCATCCGTGCTGTTTAGTATGAAATGCATTTATTTTTAGCTTCGTTTTTAAATGGCATCTACAGTATAGTAGTATGTATGTGCATCGTAATGAGTGCATTACTTAAATATATTTTGTGCTGCGACTCGGCAAATGTGGTAATGTTGATTAGTTTTTGCTCAAGTGCTGTTGTTTCCGCACTTTAGTTAGATTGCAACTACATTTTGTTTGCATTGCCCGCTGATAAGCGATGCAATTATTTTGCACCAGTCTGTGATTTACTTCTTTTTTTACTCGTCACCCTCGATACAGATAGTTGCCGTCGCTCTCCTTTAAAAAGGAATCCCCCTACCTAGAGCTGCAAAATAATCGCTGTTGACTGCATCGATCTTTTTGCGATTTTCTCACAAATAAAGTCGATTAATCGTTCATAGAACAAAATGGAATAATCAGCGCTTTTAAATTTGCATTTAACTTTATACAATCAATCTATTATTTAAAAAAAAGTGTTAAGCATAGATTGAATTGTTTCTTATTGCTGTTCTAATTTTAAATGTTGGTCTTAATTAGTCGCATTATCGATAAGCAAATGCAGATCCTTCAGATCAGCATTCAGCACTGAACAGCCGTGTTTAACCACAAGTGGAAATAAATAAATTAAATCACACGATTATTGGAAACCGGAGATTATTAAAAAGCTCCCGTTTAACCTTTTGAAAATAACAAATGTTTAAAATGCCCAAGAATTTTCAATTAAATTACAGTTATTTCTCTGCCTTTTACTGATTTCGTTCTAAAAACGATAAAAAAAAGTAGTTTTTAGTCATTTAAAACAAATCTTTAGGTGTGAAGCATAGTGGTAGATTTACTTATAAACAAATCGACCGAAATGAGCCATATGAAGATTGTTAAAAAGCTCTTTATTGTTCTCTCAAAATATCAAATATTCAAGAAATCATCTAATTTTCACTTAAAAGCCAGTAACTTCTCTGCCTCTTATTGATTTTATTTTTCCGTCGATACAAAATAAGTTTTTTGTAATTTAAAATAAATCTTTAGGTGGGAAGAATAGTTGTAAATCGAATCGATCGTTTGATTTAGGAGCGATTTAGAAATGATGGAGTATTCAATCGACTTCCAAGCTGAAATTAACTTTTATTTAATTCAGGGAAAAACCCAAATTCTCAAAATTCTTGATTAACTAGAAGTTAGAATACACTTTGCAACATTTTAGTGGACGGTTCAATATAAATATTATGTATTGTATTATTTATTTATTAAATTTTTATAATATTTATTTATTATAATATTTATTTATTTATTATAATATTTACATATTTATTATAAATTGTACTATTTTGTGAGCTGCAAATGGACATTAATAAACAACTGAATAACAAAGAAGTTATTTGTTGCCTGATGGTCGAGATTTTGATTGGCACACTCATCAATAGACGATTATATTCCAACATCTATTATCTTTGTTAATCAGGGGTCACATTTTATCGAATCGTCATCACGGAATTCCGCAATTACTTATAATCATTCTATAATCGAAGTTACCCGACTAATAAGCCCATTAATCACTAAAAAAGATAACCTGGTTAATGAGCCCATTGCTTCGACATTATCAGCGACGGGAATATTTGGCAATTCCCCATTAGTAAGGGTATCACAAATATACTTAAAAAATAGAACTAAGTTATTCGTTTAAATGTCTGAGCGAAATTAATCAGAACGGAGCGGAAGACCAACGAAAAATGCCAGATAAGAAAGAATGCTCATGACTAGAAGCGCGATAACAAATGAGTAAAAACAGAGACCCGTCTAGCTTATCCAGTAACCAACGGAATTACACACATTTGGATTTATTCAAATAAAAGAACAAAGCGATGTTAACCACATAACAATTCAATTTGAAACAATTGTGCGTATTGTTCGTCAATTGTGAAAAACTCACTGCTTTTTGTTTGCTGGGTTTGCTGGGCCCCAAATACATATATATGTATATATGTACATACTTACATACATATGTACATAGTTTAAAGCAATCGAAGCGCGACCGATTTTATTGAGTAACCCGCCCGAGGCCAGCAAACAAACTCAACAATTGGATTGTACACCCGCAACGAAATAAATATAATGGGGAGTGTAGAGCAACGAAAGCAGGGAAACAACCATTAGGTCATGCAGTTGATTTGATAAACTTTTACTATTTATTTAATGAGTGTATTAAATATATGTAGTATATTTTTTTTTTTGTACTTCTACCATTTGTAGTGTTTTTCTTTACCATTCGAAATGTTTTAAAATAAAAACGTTTAGTTCAATTATCGAATTATTTCGATCATTTAATGGCATATAGATTTTGTCGCGAAACTATATAATTTTCCATGTCTTTGTATATTTCATTATGTGCTGGTTTGGACACAGATTTTGGGACTTTATATATAAGTACTTAAAAATATATTGCAGTGGCTAGTCTGTCCTTAATTGTTAGGCATTTCAGAAGTTTTAATTAGTTGTCAGAAATGGTTGAGTCTATATAGTTTAGCAATAATAAATAAAATATATCCACCATCCAATCATGAACACTCATTTTCTCCTTAACCCTCATAAACCGATAGCAATGTAAACTTATATATTTGTCACACATAGTTTCTAACAAAGTCATCATAAATTACAATTCCAACAATTCAAGGCAGCTTTGTGCAAGATAAAACAATTCACTTGCCAGCATATTGTTCTTTTATTTTGTATAATTAATGCTATAGCATATAGATGGTGCTCAGTTACGTTATCTAGTCGCTATCATTTTCGACTTGGCCATTAACATTGAACTCGCATTCAAAAACAAATGTGTTGCAAGAAGTATAAAACATTATTGCCAGGCTTGTCATTTGATTTTTTTGATTACACAACAAACAACATGCTTGTCAATATTTTTTGTTATCGAAAAATTATAAAAAATATTAACAAATAATTAAGATAAAATGAGAACATTAATGACAACCATTTCTTTTTATCTATGTACATAAAACCATGACCGCATTATCATTTTAAAAGAACTTGCACAAAGTCATAGTTTGATAAATAAACATTTATATATATAATTAGTTCTCCTGGGATATTAATTCTAAAAAAATAATGAGCATATTGTTCAGTGCAAAGTAACTTTATTTTGTGCTCCTCCCTTTTTCCCAATTTATTTAAATTGCGATTAGTGTAATATTAGAGTAGCTCCCAGAAAGAGGCGTGGCAGATGTTTCTGTTTATTTTCCGGAATGCAGAAACAAAATTGCATATAATTGAGCCCGATTTATATATTATATAGCTTCACGATGCTACCTGTTTCCATACTTATCGGCAAGAATTAAATAACAAATGCCAAACATAGTAGTTAGTCAGATAGATAGCCTTTCCCTCCAGCAAGTAAGAAGCTTTGTGAAATTCTAAACCTGAAATAGACAGCATACACATTACTATAATTTTGTTATTAAATTACAATAAATTATTGATTATTACTTGTTGTGTGAATATTAGTTTTATAACCTACGGGGTTTATTTATTTTTGAGTAACAAGTTACACATTTAACATCAAATACTTGTATTTAACAATAGTGCAATAAAAACCATATGGCTTAATAAAGAAGATTGGTTGAGCTATCTAGTACAGGAAGTACTAGCTTGTATTCCTAATTATATACAATAACAAATCCTGAACAGCTAAAATCATTGTAGAAAATTGTGGCTTCAACTCACAGCCCTAATCGATCAGAGATTAACACTGAAACGGATATAGCCAACAATTTTTATAGAGTAGAGAGAGAGAGAGAGAAAGGGAGCTATTTTGTTGTTTCATGTTTT